ATTGAATGGGGGGACAACGTTTGCCCCATACTTGTCATATCTTCCAATTGAGGTGACGTAGGCATATTGAGGAGCAACTGATCCGTGGTCGTCACAGCTGCCCTTCGTTGCCAATTGAAACCATCATCGTGACAAGAAAACACCTCCCCACACCAATTTGATATATCTGCCTCCAGAAAGATGCGCATTGTCATTTATTGGGTCCACTGTTTTCAAGTGTAGCTTCAACAGCACCCATTCATATATAAGGTGCCCTAAACGACCAAAACGGCCATGATGCCACGAGGTGTCGAAAAGGGCGGGATGGTAAATTGGTAGATTCGTTATCATTTGGAATAACGATCAAAGCTCAGGTGGGTCGTGCTGTACCAGAACGGATCTCACTTAATTGCCCCATTTCTGAGCAGTGGGTGACATCCAAGGATTGTAGCCGTGCACCGAGAAATTCTCATTGGAAAGAGGCGACGATACGTCAACCATCGAGCCTCGTAAAGCAGGATCCACCATGTCTTGCTCTAGGCCTGGACTATGAAGATAGGGACTCCATTCCGGAGGTAGACTGACCGGGTCTGGGAAATTGTGTATTTCCTGGAAATGATCAAATCCGGGATAGTGCTGGCCTGTATAGTAGAAGAGAGTTAGCAATGCGATAAAGAATTAAAGAATTAGCTACACGAGGGCAGTCTGTTAAAATTGGTGTTACTCAATTCGGCTGAGTAACTTAGATGAGTTGAGTGGAACAACGGGAGATTTTTCAACTAACCATTGGGGTAGAATTCTTGGCTGGTGATTAACTGGTAGGGCTGGGTGACAGCCTGGTTGTGAATAGCTAAACCATGATTCGGATTCGAATACTGTTGTTGATGCTGCTGCTGCTGCTGAATATTGTGGTTCATATTCATATCCGGAATAGATGCGGCAGAAGAAATAGGGTCCTCGGAAGGAGGATCCTCTTCGGCCGCGGCCAACTGATGATTGTCTTCCGACGGCGGGCCATCAGGCGACCTTGGCGACAAAGTCTCATGTGTAATACGTTGATGGCGGGTCAAGAGATCTCGACGAGAATAGGCTGACCCACAATGACAGACATATGGTTTTTCCTTTGTGTCTATAAGTTGGGAAATTAGCATTCATTTTAGATTTTCTAGAAGACCATATAGATACGATTTAAAAGGCACGATAAGGGTATATAGAAGGGGGAAAAAAAAAAGGTGTGAGGTTTGGTGGAGCAAGGTTGTGCAGATCGAGGAACGTCGAATTTGGGGTTGGGGTAACCAACGGGTTCTAACGTGGCGCTCCAAGTGCTCAGACCTCTTGAAGCTTCGTCCACAATGCGTACACAAACGCTGTTGTACACCTGAAGATCCATCTCGTCGTCGTCGACGAGCTTGGGACTGATCCATCTGTTTTTCAGCCATTTGAAACTAAGAGGATGGAAATATTAAGTTAGGACGAAGAATGCGAAAGTTGGAGAAAGACAAGAACCTTTCATCGTCAAAATTGTGGGGGCAAAAAGGCTCACAAGGGGGCTCCATATTCTCCTTCCAAGGGCTATCCAAGGCCTATCCAAGGGGAAAGCCAGAATGGGAGGCGGGGGTGAGCAGACAAGAAGGCGGGGGAAAGAGGGCCACGGGGTCAAGTACGAGAGCCACCCAAAGGTCCTTCTAAAAGAGCCACCTGATTTTGGCTACTGTAGGTAGTTAGTCAATTACCTAGGTACATGCCCATTACATTGACATTACATGACATATAGTACCTTCTATACCTTCTTGTTTACCTGTTCCCCACCATTGCACCTGCGCACACTGCATCTCGCAGCGCTCTAGTGCATCTTTTTCAGGGATTCCCGCAGCGAGACAGGGGTCATTTCGGAGGGGAAGGTTTAGGTGGTTTGGGTGGTTTGTGGGGTAACCAACCCGCAACCAACCCGCATCCAACCCAATCTCCCTAATCTCACCAATCTCTCGCTCCCGGCAGTACCGTAGTAGGCCGTAGTTACCGACCCTCCTTTTGAGCCAAGGTACTTAAGTTAAGGTACTTTATTTATTATTCAAGGTTACTCCCTCGTGCTACACTCAGCCGCCCTCTCCCTTTAATCGCCAATGGGGAACGCCAATGGGAACACCTAGTACCCGCATCGTCTTCGTCAACCTACTTGCTTGTTTCGACGATCCGAAGGTTTAGGCGAGCTCCATTAGCGAGTCTTGCCGGCACGTTTCATTTATACCCTCTATATTTTAAATATATACCAAATACTTTTGAATCTACTGTCTATCATCTAACATTCTCTCTCTCTCTTTTTTCTTTTGGTTTTTTTTTTTTCGCTTAACTATCCGAGAAAACACCAGACCGGTAACATTCTAAACTCGCTTGGATAGGCGAGGAGGTACGCGGACGTGGCTGTCAACCCTAGCCGAAGCCTTAGGGGTCACGAGGAATCAGATTATATTATCTAAGCAGCTTGAGCGGAGGGTATCTCAAAGCAGTGATGGTGCTTACGTCTTGATTACCTACTTACATATACGTACCTCATACATGTCACGCCGTATATTATTTGACGAATGTGAGGACACGTAGGTATTACTCTTGGTTACACACGCACTTAAACCTACTCTTAAAACACCCCTCGCAGTTCTTTATTATACTAATCAGGTTAAAGAATAGGCGGTGTATAGACTTACTTAAAGTTATAGATGTAATTAATAGCAAACATGAAACATTATTTATATCATTGACGTAAGTGTAATATAGCTTGATCAAGTAAGCATATACCCAAACTCGTCAGTCATGGGTTCATTAAAAAGCTGTTCCTTAAAGGCTTATAAAATACGAATAATTCCAATATGACAGACAACCTTAAATACTTCTATATTAAAACCTATATGAAAATACTACCTAGATGATTATTACGGGTATAGTCAAGTTGAATCATGCATACCTATCTTTTATAAAAGACCGAAATACATATTAAGAGCCGACCTTAACATTCCCAAGTTAAGCTCTTGAATGCCGTTAATTTCAAATTAGAACCACAGTCACATTATTGACTTGTCAACCAAAAGTCTACGGACATTTTAATCTGATTAAATATACCCGTTCCTTTTATACAGAGACGTGGGTCTTCTCTTTGATTATGCCTGATGTGATAGGTCCTTTACATCACTTATACACTAACTACGGGCTCCTACAGCTCAATCTTATTCCATATTAGCCAAAATGACTACAAATGCTCCGGAAATTATATGTTTCCGTAATTATATACGTAACAATGCACTTGACGAATTTAAATTACATGTATTCGGTGGTATGTATAAACAATAGTGCATAGGTAGTTAATAATAGTACTTGCAGACTATTACCACGTCCCTTTTCGAGACTTACGTTTTAAGACAACATATCGACTTGACACCAAAGATGAGTAAAAAAAATAATCTGCGATGTACATTCATTGGTGGTTTATTATTTTATTATTCTCTGGCTATTTAACAAGACTCAAGCGTATCGAAGATAGTTCTGCAAAGATAGCTCATGTATACGCAAATATAAGAACCATATAAAATTTTTATATAAGACGATCAAGGGCGCTCTCTTTTGATACTAATTCCAACATAAATATACCTTATTTAATATACTAGCGAAATTTGTTTCTTCTTTTCTTAACTCTCTTCGCAAATTAGGTGATCTATCTAGTTCTCTTCGGTAAAGGTAGCCCTTCCCTTGATAATATTATCACCTTTAAACTCTAACTGAGAACTCCAGGGAGCATTTTCCCACCTAGGAATCTCGCAAACGTAGTGTCTTTAGCATAGCATGCATTATTAAACTTCGTTCCCAACTTAAAAGCTGGAATATTTCTCAATTTAGCTGCTGACTTACACTCGCTTCCTATTCGGGTCGGTTTAGTCAAATATATACTTCATATTCCGATTACAATGTAATGCTCTTCCTTTATTTATAGTCAACCCTTTTCAGTAGTTATAACAAGTTTCATAAAACTTTATAATAGAACCTAGTTATTTGCCTGATAAACATTCGAGTGCCCTAATAATTAACCTGAACTACTACACTGCTAGCAAGAGCCGTTGGATCCAAGTTTATATCGATTAATAACTGTTAGGTACCTATAGAAGTAAAAACGGGGTAGCCGGGTCGCGAGCACTGATATTCCACTTGCGTACTGCCAGGTTTCTCGGGCAACAGTCGTCGATATCCCTGAACTGTCTTTTTACACATTTCCTTCTCTGTTGACGATGTATAACATCGCGGTTCTTATGAATATCATATAGAAATGGTCTTATAAACGAAGATACATAGGTACATGTAGGTGGACTTCATCGGAATAAGCCCGATAACCAATTCCATGCTTCGCGTCCTAGGTGCCGTAGTACTCTATTTATATAATATCTTAAGTTACGTGAGGGATTCGTTATCCCTTTTTGCTTCGTAGATCTAAAACTACAAAGTTACTAAGGTAGCCAATAAAATTTAGTTGTCACTTAGCACCCTACAGTATATAAAAGCGAATAGACCACGGAATTCTATTAATACTGCTATAGAAGTGTGACGCGGTTCTGTACCTAGGTAGGTAGCCGAGTCATATAGCCAGACTCATAATTATAAAAATAGGTTTATTTTCATGATTCTCGAGAATCCTCTTTTTTAAATCACCTTGCTTGTAACAGACTCCCCCCAGGTAAATGCAGCGCCATTCCGCCCCGGCCAATGCGTAAGGTCCTTGAACTACCTGCCCATGCCAACACTTGTGAAGCATAAGGATACTGGATGCTCAGGGGCACCTAGTAAACCAGTAAATGATAGCCTCCATCTATGCCCGCTCATCCTGAAAGCCCCCCTTCTAAAAGCCGGGTACTGAATCACCGTTATCATGATCGTTAGTATCAAACATGAATAGATCCCACAAATACGCCAATCCGCTAGCGCCGGGAGAGCCCTCAGTCCGTACTAGTATCAACCCACCACGATATCGTAAATGGAATAGCTCATCCTGAGCGTGCCGCGGCCGGCTCCGGGGGTTTTTGTGCATAAACACAATGAAATGGGATGTAAATGTGCGCCCTAGAGCGTAGCACTGCTTTTCGTACGTTCACCAAGTAAACTTCAACCTCCTCGGGGGTCCAGTCATAACCGTGGGTAAAAGGCCTGATGGCAAAACCATGCAGGCCGTCGTACATCATGTTCCGGCTATATAGGCCGATTTTTGACTGCTGTGGATCTTTAGGCCACGTTCCCAGCGGGGCTTTCAGCATCGTCCTTTGGATATTGATGAAGCCCGCGTCCCTTAACCACTGTTCGTACATGTCCAAGGCATTAATACAGTCGACGCCAAGAATACTCATCGCTCCCGCGATTTTGCTAAGGAATTCTGCGATAAGATCGTCCTCGCGCATTGTGTCGTCGTCGCATTCAACGGCGCATTTTAGATCTTGTAATTCGAACCAGCCGCCCGGCTTCAATGCCCTGCACCCTGTGGGTCAACGATCTTGCGGTGAGTAGGAAAAAACGTGTCGCAGTGTGAATATCTTACTTGAAAACTTCTGCCATAAGTGCGGGCCAGTCCCGAATTGTCGATGCCATTTGGCGAGCGTGAATATAATCCAATGAATTTGCAGGCTGAAGCCACTCTTCTTCTATGTTGTCCACGAGGAATTGGACATTACGGGGTACCCATAAAGGTTGTATAGGGCTCAGATCTATCCCTAATATTTCTGCGTCTGGATACTCGTCGCCCACTAGTTATGTTCAAAAGCGAACTTGTTAGTACTGAATTAGGTCGCGTAACTTGTAATTCACTTTTGGCTGAAGTGCGCACTTACTCTCTATCGCCCAGATGCCCGTCCCTGTACCAATATCAAGTACTGAGCGCGGGTTGTTAAGTGGCGCAAAGTGTAGTTTGCTGTCGCATAGAAGCATGAACATTGCATGTTGCATATCCTCGCGCTCCTGTTCAGCATCGTCGTTAGGGAAATGGTAACGGCCTTCTTGGTATTTGTGATAACGCCGCGAGTTCTCATAGACATAATCGCGAACTTCATCGGACATGGATATGGAGTCGGCAGAAAGTGAAAGAGTATCGAAAACATCTTCGTCCGTCGACACCGATAGGATCGAGTCGGCGTCGATTTGGGGTTGTTCTTGGTCTCTGCTCATCGTAGGCAATAGTTAACTCATCAGGAAGGTATTTACGTTCGGTTGATGGTTTTATGATTGGTCTAGTTGGGCTTAAGACAAGGTTGCATTTTCGTAAAGGAGCACCATTAAACAAGAGGCTCTCTCTTCTTTCTACGTAGATCGGGGGGACTGCGGGAAGTATCTATGGTAGGGTTTTGGTGATCAATGATGGCGACGGATTGGTTCCAGCACTACGGAGAAAAGCCCCGCCAAGATGGCGACCAATATCGAGACGATGGACTATTGGCTATGGATGGAAGGGATCCCCGCTTGCTTGCAGATGGAGGGTGTCGAGACTTTCAATGAGATGCAAGCCGACCTTACCAAAAGTGAGGTGATGAACGCAACTTGGGGCCCCAAGAATAGGAACGCGCCGACCCAAGCATGACCCATTGCGACCCAGCAATTTGGAACTGAGCGCAAGCGGCGCCTTTCTGTCGGTGAGAGACCAAAACCCGACCTCGGTTTTGTACCGTAAAGGGATAAGGACAAAACTTAGGAGGCTTCCTTGCTTCCTTGCTTCCTTGCTTCTATGCTTCCATATTCTCATGTTCCCACGTTTCCACGCTTCCATTAGAAGTAAGGAAGCTGATAGGTCAAAAAAGATTCAATGCGTGAGATGTGAATAATAATAATGGGGAAATATATCAAACTTTACTGGAGCTACGTTTCACATGAATCCCGGTTCTATGGTACACATGTTGTACAATGTGAAAGAAAAAGAAAAAAAAGTCTTGGTTTCGTACGCCTTGGATCAGGTCAGCTTTGGTGTACGTACCTCCCTAGAATACCCGGCTGCCCGGATAGACTTTTTAGTGGACTTATGGGCCTCAATATGTAAGGAAAAGGTTAGGCAAGTCACCATTTAGAGCATTTAGACTACCTCTTAGATAAAAGGTAGTTACATGTTAGTACTTACCGACCTGCCTTAAACAGATATCCATATTATATCGAAACGCATGAATAATTAGGTAATTAAGCATTGAATATTAAGCATTAAAAAGTAAAAAGACATGACTATGATATGATTGTGAGAAAAAATGATTTGATTAAGGGTATCCTCGGTAACTAATATCGGAGTTATACTTTTCTGTGTGTACGTACCTCTGACCCAGCTGACCCGTCCGTATGGTAAAGACCTTATGCTGTGTTACCGTGTGGCGTGACCGAATTGGAACGCTTGCTTGGGACGATACATGCATTTAGGTTCCGGAACGGCGGGAGCGCTTTAACGCGCTTTATGATAGGTAGACAGTATAATCCTTTTTAATTTGATCATCAACTTATAATAGGCAATACTACCCTCCCTTATGTAAGTAATTCTTAAAACAAAACAAATAAGAAAGAAAAAAAGATAAGTACCTACCTACTTACATATTCTATCGACCCATTTCTATGGAAACAAAATTGATAGTTTGTAACGCGGTAATGTTAGAAGTGCGCACGGCTCATTATAATGCTCTCGTGTCTAAGTACCCAAGTTAGTTATAGCTATTAATAGCTGAGCTAGGCGGCGTAACCAGGCAAGCTGACAGGCTTGTAAGTTATAGGTTCATAACAGCTCGTCCCCCTTTGTCTTAATACATAGAATTTAGTTCTTTCGAGTAAAAGTTTCGTCAACAAAAATCATTTAAAATATGGGATATCAGAGAAGACGATATGCATGCCGCTTACATACATCTCCTGAACACCACACCCCAACCAAAGACAACCAAACTATCGGGTCCAGAAGAGCCCAGACGGTAAATACGCAGACCGCTATCTTCCCGCTTATATATACTTTGTGACCTCTCAGCCAATGATCGTGTCAGGCAAACGAGATTAAATAATAATTGGCTGCGAGGGCTGACTTGCAGATCAGCCGTCTCAGCCCCCATGTTACAGTTTTGATGACGACTGACGAAGGAGCTACATCACCGCGGGATGTAGTAGCTTGAATTCTTGGATCCGTGGAGGACGGCTACTACCCTACCTACGTTGTGGTTGCAAACCATAGATATTGTATCTTTGAATATATCATTACCTATGGAGTCTCCTAAATCGTGGAGCGATCGAAGGCAGATCAAAACTACAAAAACTACAACTTCAACATCCAAATCCGTGCCTGCGCGTTGCAATAGGCAGTGGTCATAGATATGCCTCCACGTAGCTGTCGATGAACGCAGTCTGTATGCCACGTCAAACCCCCTTTCCATCACCGCCCTCGCTGTCACGATAATTACGAGTTGATCGACCTTCCTACTATAAGTCGACCTATTAAGAAGCACATTAAGCTGGGGGAGCGGCGGTAGTCGCCTGCAAATAATGAGAACACATATACAGAAGCTATTATTGTTCATTAGCTAAGTCAGACCGCCTACTTAAAACACCAACATTCGGGTGCAGATATTGTATTGGATTGGTGCGTCGCCTTTCTCCGAAATTGCTGCTGTGGTCCTCTAGGCAGCAATTAGAAATCACAACGTCAGTGTCTACAAAGTTCTACCAATTATACATCGATATCTTGTATTCTCGACGCTGGTAACCTACTATTATCGAGCAGCCTGTCAGGAATCTAGATGAGACATCTGGAACAAAGGATACTTTCAATACCTAATGTATAGAACGAAGTTAGTTGTTTCCTTGGTTCTTGCTGCACCTCACGATACAGCCTAATTACCGTGAAGCCCGGTTTAGCCTTGCGAAATTAATAGCTATGTGAAACCCTCTCCTCTCAGCTTTATATTTGATACTTTGTCTAGGAATACGGCGGCTTAGGAGAACAACATAATAGTACCTAAGACGAAATTCTAAGGACACAATCAAACACAATCAACCCTAATTTGGGGACTTCGGCTTCCTAGCCTCGCACGTATACTCTAGCTATATCGCTAAGCAAATGACACCGAAATCTGAATTTCCTCGATACAACACGATGAGAGCTAAGATATCTATCAGGCCGTGGAAGAAAGACCGACTGAACAGGGGGATTCCGCGCCAACGCGGAGAACAGCCGAATACCTACCTAATGCAACTAGCACCTAGAATCCCGGCTGCTCCCCGCTCCTCGGAAACGATCACACGTGGCCTACGCGACCAGAGTCGGAAGAGCTCCGCTCCCATGGCCACGCTATCGAGATGTGCCATGTCCAATATATTCACCTGATCAACACACCGCTCTTCGCGGCTTCTGGTATTCGACCAAGGATAATTGAATATCTAGTCGGGAGATGTAATGGGTAGTAAGGCCCTATATTACTACAAACATCGAGCCCGATGAACTCCACCCGTACATACAGATATTGATAGATACCGCATATCTCGCCGGGGCATACATATGTTAACGCGGGGCATGCTGCCTTGTCCTCCTTCGGTTATAACTCATGCTAACTTGTTCTAATATATGGATCCCTCCACCTTCACTAATCGTAGCCACCTCCCCCTAAAGCGCTTTTAATACACCTATCTATGAAGATTGGGATCTGTCTAGTCTAAGTTATAATCACATTGTATCGCGTCGTGCCTAACAGAAGTATATCATCATGGTAGTAAATCCCATAAACTTTAATCATACAAACCGATGTTAAGCTGCCCGCTTGTTATGAGTGTCCTCTGTCATCACGGTATTATCTTATAGTCTTTGTTCTTGTCCACGGAGTTCACCACTGTCGTAGGATCCGGATGCTCTGGACCGACTGGCCGCTACGGTAATACGTTGTGGAGTTGGCGTTGCTTGCACAGGCGTTGCAACAGGAATTATTAGTAAATTTTTTACCGCAGTCTCGTCATCCTGGAAGTCCTCTCTGGGGACTTTATGTTGTATCATATGCACCTCTTCAGCCAGGCGCGCACTCAGGGGCTGTCTCATATTATCCATACTCAAGCTGGCTAATTGACATTCTGCAGTCGCAGACCCGCGCTTCATTGTATCGATTTGCTGTTCGAGGGCCTGCAAATCTTCGTAGCCCCCCTGTATTGGGAGAATCTCAAGCTCGGGGTATTCCAGGTGTCCGTCTAACTTCTGTCGAGTATGATATGTTTCCGAGGAAGCCCGATTTATAGTGCCTTGGACAACCCTGCTCAACCCTCCTTTCATAGCTCTACCAAGCTGAGCAGACAAACTTCGCGTAGGAGCAGCGTGTCTCTTTGATGACTCTTCAGGTTTATCTGTAGACCACGTCGTACCACTACCATTTGATTCTACTCGAACTGCGAAATCCCTCGGGATCACATTATCTTCTTCTCCTGCTGGTCCCGTTCTTTGTTGGCGTGTATGCGAGGGCCATTTTGCCCATGATGCAGGAGGTGTCCGGAATCTCCAAACAGCTTGGCTCTGCGGCTCCACCTTTGGCTCATCATGAGGTTTCAAGTCCTGATCGTTCATCAAGTTCACCCATTCTCTGAGGACGGTACTAGATATATCTGATTGTTGACTACTATTGTTTTCGTGGCGAGATGGTGGTTTAAGAGTTGAACCTTGTTCTTTTCTTCGTTTCGGATGGAGTATATGATCAATATGACTGGTTTTGTGATACTTCAGAGACTCTGAAGAGTTCCCTTCTTGCCGTCGAACTTTGGGGATGTATCCATCAAATACAGCAGTCTGTTGGCGCGGTTCCACATAGTTTACAACATCTTCAGATTCCTGTCCCAGAGACGAAGTTACTTGCTTTCCGTTTATGGTACTTGTACTTGCTTTGTGTTGGCCGAGGCGAGCACCATCAGCGTCTAGGTTCATTTCACTCCTACACATAGTGTCGCATACACTATACTGCCGTATATCTTGAGTTGGATATTTCGCTATTTTGGGAATCTGTAAATGAAACTTAGCTAGTATGGAGTTCTTAGAAATCATTGAAGTTCTAGTCCTAGGTTCACTAAATTCCTCTCGGAACTTGCTGACCATCGGAACGGTGGTATCACGGCGGGGATGAATTCGTCCGAATCGCTTTTCAATTGATTTAAGCTCTGTCTCTCGTTGTCTAAAACTTGCCGTATCTGAGACAGCTGCCGAGTTTGTCTCCGCTGTAGGACGCTGTAGCTGCCGGGTTCCTTGCAAGGTAGTCATGTCTAATGCCGAGGCGTTGTTAGGAGCAGTCTTGTATGAGCTAACGTCTGACTTCTCAGCATCTGTCGTACGACTGGACGATGTGAATCCTAAGTATTAATGTTAGATACCATGGTGATACTTTATACGGCGGATTAACGTACGATTGAATCCTAAGAATGGAGCCATCGTCTTCCGGCTTCCCAGAAACTCCATCAAGCTCAGACGCGATTCTTTTACCGCAGTATGGCAACTGTTGGGTTTGGTGGTGTACCGCGAAGATGAGTTAAAAGATGAAGAGGCTTCTTGAGTCTGGTCAGTTGGTTTCAAGCCTTGACCATCAAAAGCATCGCTAGGTCTTCCCATAGGCTGTTGCAACTTGCTAGGCCAGTTACTTAGTATCTCAACCGGTTCGGTTCTTATATCTGTACTTGAGTTCCGTGGCCGTACTTTTAGAGGACTGTATCGCATTACAGATACTTTATCTAAAGCGTTCTGAGGGCTACTAACACTGGAGCTCTCTGGAATAGTCCACTGTGCCATATCACTTGTCTTTCTACTCGGCGTAGCTGACGCCGATTGCAACTCTTGGCTCCGTAACCATATATTTAATGGAGAATCTTGGTTAAAACTTGTGTCTTCAGGACCTCCGCTGTATAGACTTTCAGAATTATCTGTGTCGCCTTGGGTATGTTGCTGGCCTTCACCTGGGGCCAATTCGTCGTGAATCATATCTGGTTCTTCGCTCGTCGCGGGCCGTTGGATACGTAGTAAACCGTCTTCAACTTGGTTTATACGTTCATCTTCTCCACCAATTATACCGCTTCTAGTATTAATTTCAAAAAGTTCATAGGTTTCGTTAGGGCTAACCGTCTCGGGTACCCCAATGTACCTTGCGAGTTGCTCGGCGCTGTATGAAAGTCTCCATGAACAGAGGGATTCCGAGCCTCTAGCACTCGGTATATGAATGGGGGTTAACTGGGGAGAAGAGGGAAATCGTGGTAAGGAGCTGCGTGCCTTCACGGCTCCATGACCCTCTAGACTAGCGTCCTCGTGAACTCGAGAAGCCGAACTGGAACCGGGATAGCTACACCGGCGAAGGGAAATCCCTGGCTGAGAATGGCTGGTTGGGAGAGCAAGGAGCACAACATCCGGAGAGCCATAGGCATCATCCCGAGGACCAGTTTCGCTTACATCCAAGACACAAAATTCTATATTATCGCGCGGCCCACCACGAGGGAATCCGACGTTAGCGGTGCTGCACGGCTTCGATCCTTCAGTATTTCCCGGTTTCGTCTCGACCTCTTCTTGCTCTTTTTCACTCTTCAATTCCTCCTGTATTCTCTTTCGCATCAGTCGCTTCAGTTCAGCCCGCCGTGCGATCTCTTCATCGCTTGTACCAAGAGATTGTTGCGAATGTCTTTTAGATTCGGACTTCTGAGACAAGCGTCTAATAAACTTGGTTCTAATAGCTCCTAGAGTACCCGTGCTAGAGTTTCTGGTACTCCGTACCAGTTCATCATCATCATCATCCGAATCTTCGATTTCGATAATAGTAGGATCTACCGTGGCCTCCTGTATTTGGTTATGTGAAAGCGATGGTATTTCCTTAGCTACGATCTCTGGTGGCGGTAGCTCAAATTCAGATGTATGGAATGGTGGACTGGATAACTTCACACGTGGAGGGCGAATTGGAAGTTCAAATACGTCCTGGCCAGTTTCTCGGCCTGTCGTTCGCTGAGTACGATAGCAACAGAAAATGGACATTCTAAATAATGTCCAATTGAAAGTGAATGGATTTTGGTTAATATCTGTCATGGATTTCCAAGAAACACTGGGAAGCCATATAACCAAAGTTGGATAGGGGGGGAGTACCTAACATTCAAAATGGCTTCGATACATTTGGTGTCGGACCAGTTAACTTTACTTCAGATCATCTAAATACATACGAGTAATTAAGTATACCTAATATAGCTCTTTCTACGACGGAATTCATTACCGAGAAGAAGCTACTATCTAAAAGTGAATTCGAGGAAAGTGGTAGACTTGTAGGAGTCTATCTACGTGGCTTCCCCCTATTACAGCAAGATAGCAATGTATGGATAAAGTATTCTACCAATTTGCATAGTTAATATAATCTCTAATCATATATCATATAGCACGAGACTTAAAGATACCTGAGATTTCATACAGTGGTAGCTGATTGTTATTTTCTCTCGAATACTCAACGCATCATGCTTATATTCCAGTTGAATCCACGTCGTCTTTAGCTAATGTACCTAGGTATGTACGCTGAATTGGCATGTTAGACAACCATGGGACCATGGGTTAGTATTGATGCTTAAGTCATACATTTACAATACAAGCGGGAGGTGCTTTATATCTAAACATACTATCGGAAGTCAATCATATAAAATTAATGATTTTCTATTCGTGATTTTGTAGCTAGGAATTGACTTGGATTCTTATCTTACATACATGTACCTAAGACTAAAATCTGACGAGAATAATACAAAATGTGGGTTTGACCATCATTAAACTTAGATAGACTCAAACCTTTTGATGTTAGATGTAGGCGAAATAAGATATACGCTAAGAATAGGTTGAACGTTAATCATTTATTGCGCGGTAAAACGACGAAGTTGACATATCGATGTTGATTTTAGCAATTGTCAGAATCCACTTAAGGACATAGTGCTTCGATGCGGCTATTGTTTACTTTAGGTAGTAGGTAGATAAGGTGCAAACTTATTTACCTGGATAGTAATTAGTCCGGTAGTAGTCTGTAAACTAAATACGACTCTGATATGAAGGAATGTAACCGGGACCGATCGGGTGCGGTGCTATTGTATGCATCCAGAACACTGGTTCGGCCGAAGCGGCATTGATTACCTAGGTACCTAGGGTAACATCATGGATGCAGAACAAGGGTAGTAGATTGATGCCATTGATACCTAAGATTTCTACATAGGTATTCCACCTGTGAAGGATTACTTGGCCCGCTTGGATTTGAATATGTAAGATATCGGGTCGGGAGCCGAGTTGTGTCGTCCGGAGAAACAAATTTTACATGTAGTATGTAGACATTTTTGTTCTGTACGGGTCGGCGTATCAATTTAGTGGCTTGCTACTTAATTTGCTATTGCAACCCCGAGTCCGCAGATGGTGGAGGACTAATGATGTATCTTTCAATTTCACGTGTCACAAAAATAAGCAGAATCTGTTAGGATGTACATAGGTACCTATGTACATCCTACCTACATGAATGTACCTAGGTATACACTAGAGGTAGGATGTATCTTATTGTACCTACCTAATTATTTAATGGAAGGCATGCCACAACTCGTCTTTACGTGAGGTAATAACAGCATAACAAATAAAATAACCTTACATTGATGTAGACGTTGAACCTTATCTTACTGCTTACTTAACGATGAGGGGCATAGTGGGAAGGTGGACAAGGGGGGTTTACCAGCCTCAACCTTCCAACCAAGTCAACCTAACGGATGCTAAGGAAGCAATGGGGGGGTTATTGATGGAGTATCTACTCCCCGCTTTCGGACCCTTAACAGTGCATAGAGCTAGTGCATATTTAGTGGCTCTTGTTTGGTTCTGTTTCGTTCTGTTTGGTCAACTCATAGCACGACAATAGAGAAAAAATTGTTAAACCCCTCATCAACCAGCACTGACCAAGTATTCGACCCTTACTGAACCAGCAACCTTCTAGCCCTCCAGCTGTTCTACTGGTCTCGACTTTGAGCTCACATAAGAACCCCACCTTCACCGCTTACTTCTGCTTACGCCTTTACGAATCCTTCTTCTTCCTCTTGTCATCCTTTTCTTCCTTAAATTCTTCTACTTCCTCTCCAGAGACTGTTGTAACACATTAATTCATCCAACCCTCTTAACATATAGAGAGTTGGAAGTAGCAGTCTGTTCTTCTCGTGAGTTTAGACCTTACCTCTCTCTTTCTCTTTACGCTGTACTCTAGAGAAAGATTATTTCTAACATCGTCAAAGAAAGTTTCTTTTCTCCCAGATACCTCGAACCACCTTCAAGATGGTTCAATCTGCAGTTCTGGGTTTCCCCCGTATGGGTGTGAACCGTGACCTGAAGAAGGCAACTGAAGCTTGTAAGTTGCTCTACCGACCTTTCCGGTCGTACTGAATCATGTTGCTTAAGATTGCATTACTAACCACCTCCAAGACTGGGCTGGCAACCTCTCCCAAGCTGACCTCCTCACCGAGGCCAAGCGTCTTCGTCTTGCCCACTGGAAGATCCAGAAGGATGCCGGTGTAGACATTATCCCTAGCAACGACTTTGCTCTCTATGACCAAGTCCTCTCTCACATCCAAGACTTTGGTGTAAGTTACCAGCCAAAATTCTTGACCGCTACCCCCTACATATTAGCTAATACGTAATTCCGCAGGCCGTCCCTGAGCGATATTCTAGCGCCAACCTCGACCGCGTCGATGAATACTTTGCCATGGGCCGTGGCCACCAAAAGGGCGGTGTCGATGTTCCCAGCTTAGAAATGGTTAAATGGTTTGACTCCAACTACCATTACGTCAAGCCTACTCTGCAAGACAACCAGACCTTCAAGCTCACCGCCAATCCGAAGGCCGTGGTTGAGTTCCTTGAGGCCAAGGAGGCCGGTATCAACACCCGCCCCGTACTGCTCGGTCCCGTGTCCTTCCTCCACTTAGGCAAGGCCGACCGTGGCCAGAGCGTCAACCCCATTGACCTTCTTGACAAGCTTCTACCAGTTTATGAAGAGCTCCTCGCTAAGCTGAAGGAAGCTGGTGCCGAGACTGTTCAGATTGATGAGCCTGTCCTCGTCTTCGACCTGCCCACCAAGACCAAGGCCGCTTTCAAGCCTGCCTACGAGAAGTTCGCCAGCTTGGCTGCTAAGATCCCCAACCTGGTCTTCACTACCTACTTTGGTGATATCGTCCACAACATTGACCTCCTCCCCAAGGATGTCTACGCCGTCCACATTGATCTTGTCCGCAACCCTGAGCAGCTTGAGACTGTTCTTGGCGCTCTTGGACCCAAGACTGCTCTCTCTGTCGGTGTTGTTGATGGCCGAAACATCTGGAAGACGAACCTGAAGCGTGCAATTGAAGTTGCCGAGACTGCTATCCAGAAGCTTGGCAAGGACCGCGTCATCGTTGCCACTTCCAGCTCTCTCCTCCACACTCCCCACACGCTCGCCAGCGAGAAGAAGCTGGACCCTGAAATTGCCGACTGGTTCTCTTTCGCCTCTGAGAAGGCTGTTGAAATCGCCATCATTGCTAAGGCCGTTACCGAGGGACCTGCCTCTGTTCGAGAGGCTCTTGAGGCTAACGCCAAGTCTTTGAACGCTCGCGCCACCTCGAAACGAACAAACAACCCTCAAGTCAAGGAGAGGCAATCCAAGATTGCTGCCTCAGACTACAACCGAAAGTCTGAGTTCCCATCCCGAATTTCGCAGCAGCAGAAGAAGCTCAACCTCCCTCTCTTCCCCACTACAACCATTGGTTCTTTCCCCCAGACCAAGGAAATCAGAGTGCAACGAAACAAGTTCACCAAGGGAGAGATCACGGAGGCTCAATATGACAAGTTCATTGAGCAGGAGATTGACTCCAATGTTAAGATTCAGGACGAGCTCGACCTAGATGTCTACGTCCACGGTGAGCCTGAGCGAAATGACATGGTTCAGTACTTCGGTGAGCGTTTGGACGGCTATGCCTTCACCACGCACGCTTGGGTCCAGAGTTACGGTTCTCGATGTGTGAGACCTCCTATTATCGTCGGTGATATCTCTCGCCCGGCCCCCATGACTGTCAAGGAGTCCAAGTACGCCGTGTCTGTCTCCAAGAAGCCCATGAAGGGCATGTTGACTGGCCCTGTTACCTGCTTGAGATGGTCTTTCCCTCGTGATGACGTCCACCAGTCCGTCCAGGCTGAGCAGCTTGCTCTAGCCCTCCGTGACGAGGTTGTTGACCTTGAGAAGGCTGGCATTGATGTCATCCAGGTTGACGAGCCCGCTCTTCGTGAGGGTCTACCTCTCCGATCCGGCAAGGAGCGCCAGGCTTACCTTGACTGGGCTGTCAAGGCCTTCAGGCTCTCTACCGTCGGTGTCGAGGATTCGACTCAGATCCACTCGCACTTCTGCTACTCTGAGTTCCAAGACTTCTTCCACGCCATCGCCGCTCTTGACGCTGACGTGCTGTCTATTGAAAACAGCAAGTCCGACTCGAAGCTTTTGGGCGTTTTTGTCGACGAGGCTTACCCTCGTCACATTGGTCCTGGTGTCTACGACATCCACTCCCCGCGTGTCCCCAGCGAGGAGGAGATCAAGGTCCGCATCGAAGAGATGCTTCAGTACCTTAAGCCTGAGCAGCTCTGGATTAACCCTGACTGTGGTCTTAAGACCCGTCAGTGGAAGGAGACTAAGGAGGCGTTGGTCAACCTGGTCAACGCAGCCAAATTTTTCCGTGCCAAGTATGCCAAATAATTGTCTCCCGCATGAGGAGGCCGGAGTTTTCTTTTTTACGAAAATTGATGATAATTGCATGAAGATGTGGGGAGTTGCCTGCTAAAAATTTCCATTGGGAACTGCATAATCGATTTCAACATCGGCGTTTTTACAGGACTGGGTTCTCAAAGGGATCTATACCAGAAAAGTTCTACAGGAAAGATTGGCGGGATTCGGAAGTATTCAACATTAGGCATATAAAGGGCGGGAAAGAATTATACCACATGGTCCATCAACCGGGCCTGGGGAGTAGGTGGCGTTCTTGCATTTAGTCTGCTTCGTGCAGGAAAGATCGTTTTTGCGATCGGATGTAGATGTATGAGCAAGTATCCCAATTCAACTGGGTGATGCTTTCGGGAAGAATTGAGTCTTCCTCAAATAGTTTTTAATCCGAATTATGCTCGAAGTGAAAGTGAACTATAACTTATCCGCGTATGGTAATTGGACTTGTAAACGGTGCTACTCAAATTAACAATATAGCACCGGACGACCGAGGTGAGCAACATGGGGATTTCGAGTGTGGCACCTTATTGGTTTGTTAACGCGTTACGCCACGCGCATGCAGATATGTGTGCAATTACCGACGACTCTCGAGGCATTATTCCTTTTTTTTTTTTTGCCTTCCTTTTTCTTTCCTGCCTAATGGCGCTTGATGACTGATGACGAAATTATAGCTTCTGCATGTTATGATAATTTGACGAATCATAATTCAGTTGGCGAATTAGTGAAACGGTAAGTCAGCCCCTTTTTCTTCATATTATTCGGCGGTGTTTTAGTAATAAGAGTAATAAGAGTAATGAGAGGTCCACCCAAGTGGCCCTTTTTTTTTTCTTTAGTGTATTTTTCTCGAATTTCCTGATTTCAAGCCAGCCAGCCTTATCCTAGTCCCCGCGCATATTTCTGAATTCAGCTGCTAATAATTTCACCAATCTCAATGAGGTAACTTTCGGCAACCTTCGTTAATTGAAGGATTGGGACCCTGCGCGCTCAAAAGACCCTGTCAGCACGGACCAACCAGGAGCCTAAGCGAACGCTAGATCTCTGGAAGACCGTAATGAATGAATGAGTAAATTGGGCAGGTCGATGATTAATTGACGTCGGCTACCACATGGAAAGGAAGGGATATTTACTGCAGGACTTGACCAACAACTGATCCTACGTACTTACACCACCGCATCATGAGAAAGAAGAAAAATACATAGAATATGGTATACTGTTGTCTTTCTCGCAAAGAAATTGTTTTTTTTTGCAACGAGGTTCGTAGAACATTCTACAAGAGCCTTACCGCTCTTACATATTACAAGGACAGGCGTGGCGCCAAGGGGCTTGTTTGAGATTCTTTGATGAGCAGTGCGGTCTAGAAGTCCAAGACCGTCGCATAGTCGAATCATCCCTTAATACCCCCCAGCTCGAGATTAAATGCGATTAAATGCGATTTTGCGAGCCGCCCTTGATGCACTACTGAGCTGGAAACCGAGCTGGAATGCGCCGAGCGTATCACGACTGGTCCTCCCTGCATAATCCGTCTCCTGGCCACGGTGGTCTTGGCTACGAAGAAAGATGATTCTTTGTTCGCCAGGACAATGCGGGAGTCTCAACCCGTGTGTTGCTCCGCGGGATCTTCTGCAGCGTCACGTCCTGGTTAGCCACGAGGATCGCGTTACTTGGCTTTGCGCATCGTTTCGCGGGATCGTATTCTGGAATATACTATTCGCGGCTCTGTGCAGGCCTGTATTACACTATAACATGGTCTTACAGCATATGGGTTTATGATCTATGATTGCTAACTATATTCCACGTGTCTACCGCTACCGCTACCGCTACTGTAAATGCAGTTAGGGAGTATATTCTTAGGATAGTTGCAGCGTATGAGCCGAGTCGAATCTTTAACACGTATCCATATGTGTTTCGTTAGTGAGAAGGAAAAAAAAAAAAGAAGTAAAAAAAAAGATCAAACTACTTACTTTTTTACTTTGAGATCAAGATGATTTTATATTATCTGATCTGATGACGCTACTCGCGCGGCGCTTATATCGCAGATCATCAAGCTAATCGAAGATGTGCCGATCCCCAAAAATATTCAAACGTCTTACCTCAACCATGCGCAAGCTTAATCTCGTCCCAACTTTTACCAAACCACGATCAGACGATGTACCTGAAGACATCTACACTGCTACAATAAACTTTAGTAAGAAATAATTATGCAGCGCGCCATTCTGCGTCGTCGTTGTTGCACGAGCTGCGTACGTAAGGCTTTCCTGGCTCATGGCTGGCTACTGAAGCCTCAGCTAGCCATAATTCTCCAATTCTTATTGGCCTCTTTGCCGGTTTCACCATGTTGTACCTGCGTTTTTAACTGACAGGGGTCACGATAATGGTGCGTGGGGCTCAGGGGCACAAGTGGCACAGGAGAGCAACGCATTTTCCCATTTTCTTATTTTCCCTCCCTTGTTCAAGCTTGTTGTCCTTCTCTTTTTCACCCTGTCACTCCCCTCCCATCCCCCCAATCCCCCCCATCCCCGGTCCCTAACGACATTTTACCACATTTTACCACATTTACCAGGTCCAACATCATCATGTGGGTCCCGGAGGTCCTCCCTAATAGGTCGCGCTCATCATCAACAACATGACGGGGCTAGGGTATGCTAGGTATGTCGGGTTATGCTTGGTCGAAGACTTGTCTCCCCCCCGGGCTTCTTCACACTAGCCGCCAAGGTAAAGGAGTCGGTCCTGTAGGACCTGTACACACACACGGGTAGTGAGTACGAGTAGTGTAAAAAGGCTCACCACCCTCCATTATCGTCAAGTGTCTTTCGTTTCTCCCTTTCTTTCCTCACCATCAGCGTGTTTCTCTCGTTTCGAGTCTATCTCAAGTCTCTCTTTTCTCTTCAACGTCGTCGGTCAAACTCCCTAGTCCCTTTCTTCGCGAAATCGACTTTCGCTCATTGATACCCGCATTGCTTATTGCATACGTCCACTCTTTCGACAGCAACGAAGTATATACTCTGTGAGATCAGACTAGAACATCCTTTGTCAAGCACACCTAGACAATCATAAACCGCAAATAATATCAAAATGAAGTCCGCAACTGTAGCTTTCGGCCTCTTCGCCGGTATGGCCTCGGCTTCTTACCACCAACCCCGTCACTTCCACTGGCGACGAAATGATACTGCTCCCGGGCAGTACCCCGTTGAATCTTCAACTACCCTAACCGTCGCCATCACCACCGTCCACACTATTACCTCGTGTGCTCCTACTGTCACGAACTGCCCGGCCGCCACCGGCAACAGCACCGGCCCTGCCGTCGTCACCGAGGTCATCGATCTTACCACTACCGTCTGCCCCGTCACTGCTATCGAGTCTGTTTCCAAGTCTCTAGTCGGTGCTCACAGCAGTGGTCTCATTTCCGGCTCCACCCGCACCGTCACTTTTACTCCCGCACCTACCACCTCCACCAGCGGTAACTCTCCTGAGGCTACCCAGCCCAGCAATGGCGCCGGCGTTTCTGTTTACCCTACTCTTAGCACCGTCGACCAGACCGTCAGCATCACTGTCGGCCCCGAGAGCTCTCGATCTGTTTTGGTCACTACCCTAAAGTCCACCCTCACCCAGATGGTTACAGTTACTGCTGTTCCTATCCCCGAATCTAGCTCGGACAGTGGTAACAACAATGGCAATGGTAACGGCTCTGGCTCCGGCTCCGATGTTAGTAGCGAGGCTACTACCACCACCACCCGAACTTCCACTGGTACTCGCACCGTCACCGTTACTCCTGTCGAGACCTCCACTGCTGTCAAGGCTGAGGAGACTGGCTCTGGTAACGATTCCGGAAACGGCAATGGTAACGGCGCTGGCGAGTGCGTTGCCACCACTGTCACCGTTACCGAGACCCAACCTGCCAGCACTGTCTACATCACCGCCCCTGCTCCTGAGGCCACTGGTGCTAAGCCCGTCACCTCCGAGTCTGCCTCTGCCTCTGCCCCTGTCTCTGCTTCCGAGTCTGCTGCTGCTACCACTACCGGCACCCCTTCGACCGGCAGCGGTGAGGGTGGAGATGAGGGTGAGGATGTGGGTGATGACTGCCCCCCTGAGGAGAGTGAGACTGGCGTCGTAACTGCTACTGCCACCGCAACTGTTGTCCCCTACCCCACTGGCAGCGGCAACGGAAATGGAACTGCACCTATCTACCCTACCGGCACTGCGCCCAGCGTCCCTATCGGCACTGGTTCCGCCCCTAGTGTTCCCATCGGCACTGGCTCTGCACCCAGTGTCCCCGTTGGTACTGGTTCTGCCCCCAGCTATCCAACCGGTACTGCCATCCCCACCGTCGTCCTCCGGTAAATCGACGCACGTTCTGCTCTGTAATTACAATACCCCGAACTGTAGCATAACATGACGAGGGACGACTGCACGACACGTTTTCGAAGCGCCATTTCAAGGCGTAGAAGAAATAGAGCAAGCATTTTCCTATTTTTTCAGATCAGTTTTTGCAAGAAAGTGTCTTGGATTACGCGGTCTTGGCTGATTCTTGAGTCCCCGTTTCTGGTCTGGTCGCTAGGAACGTGGGAAGAAGGCTGATTGGTATCTTCGGCTATCTACTAGGAGCTCGCCGTGCACGACTGACAGTGCGCGTGTTGAGAGGCCATATGCCCGCCTTCATTATATTCTTGTGTATTTAGTGTAGTGTGTAGATGAAACCATTTAAATGGAGATATATGGAGCTTCAGTTTGTTTTACGTACCTAATCTTATTGATTTTATGCGGTGTGTGAGATTATAATATAGTGATTCGTTTTAGAATCATGTAGACTTCGGCGATGTTCGATAAATGCGATGTTATTTTAGAGGTATGATGTTACGTATGTCTACGGTTTGACAACATTGTATGAATGTCAATCTGCCCAATAAAAGAGAGCCGCTGTCTTGCTGGAGTAACCGATTCAGATCTATCTTTTATGTTCCCTGGCAGAAAAGTGAGATCCTAGCCGACATCCGCCTTATAACTATGTCGCTTTAACTAGCATATCACATCTATGTCATATATAAACACTGTGAACTCTCCCAGCGGCCTAATCAAAGAGATATATATATATATCATGATAGCTTCAGCACTAATCCTCGCTACACTTAGATTATATTTTATCCTATATTTATCATACCACGCTCTTACACTTCCTCGCATCACTACTAATAGAATGCCTACTCCAAAGGCTATTTCAAATACATCCTATATCGGTATAATCAAACTTTGCAATTTTTTGAATCGATCCCATTCCCATACATGATGGATCTACAAGGGATGAAAACAACGTCGCTGTTCCACGAGGAACTATCAGTATACACATATACTTAAAAAAAGGGTTTTTTTTTTTCTTTCGCTCTACATGTCTCAGATAATATCTCGATACTCGTTCTGTTTCTATATAACTATATGAAAGTAATAGTAATAGTAATACTTGCAGCAGTATCATTCGCCAGCTAGAATAATCTTTTGACTCGCCGTATGTACCTCGTGCTGAGGTGGTCCGCATCTTCCAGCACTATGGGGATTAAGGTATCTGCTATGCACAGCTGAAAAGCAGGAAGATACGTCTGGGGTTTTCTTTCGTTTGTTATTAGCTACTAGGCTAACTCGCCCATATACATCCCCTGGAAGCCTACTATATAATGTTAGGGGCAACCCACACCGTAATTACCGGTCTGATAGGCAATGACCTTTTTGTAACGAGGTCAAGACACTGAGGTATGACTCAAGGCTAAACACTCCGAATCCCATTCGTGTTTCTATCACTATCTACAACTTAGTCTATCACATCGAGGCCTATTCTCCACAACCAATGCAAGCAGACGTTATTTATCTTCGCCGCTATGATATTTGCCATTATTGTATTATTATCTTTATTATATTACTACTTGTTACTTACTACGCGCCCGCCCTCTTTCAGAGTCGCCCGCTCTAAGACGTCTATCACTTCGATATATAATAGATATATATATATATATATATATATATATATAAGTACCTATCTAAGCGACCGTCTAAGCACCACTTCTCCTTGACCTTGAAGGCCAGAGGGGGGCCCCACCGGTTCCGCTGTCCGAGTCCACAACGCTATCTCGTCGATGGCTCTGCCTCCTGGGGCCTGGGGAGCTCGCTTGGTTGCGATATTGACGCGTTTCACTGCCCCGTGACGGTATGCTGCGTGGCACATGGTTCATATTGTACAGCTGCGACGGTGTCAGGTATATGCGCTGAGATGCATCTGACACGGCACTTACGTTAGCCCTTGTTAGTGGCAAGGTGTTCGTCTCTGCCCGGTTCGAGCTGACAGAGCCCTGATCACTCCCGAAATGGGATGCGAATGGCGGTCTCCACGATGAATGACTAGACGGTCCGCCAGCAGGCACCTGGTTTGATAATGGACTTGGGCCCCGGCTCTGGTTACCCCCAGCGCGCGACCGAGATCCATTGCTATTAGTCCGAGAGAGACTCCCGACCGTGTTCTGCTCCGACTCGGCTTCGGACCCGGCTTCGTAGACACTCTCCTCATAGTCTGATGACTGAGGATAGTAAGCGGTGCTTGGGGCATACTGCGACGGCGCATGCGAGTTACTAGGAGCACCGGCCCAGGCGCTGTTCCCGTATGGATGATAGTTCCCTTGGGGCGCTCCGTACCCGTGTTGCGGGGGTGGTGGGTTCTTCATGTGTGTGTGGGCATCACGATACGTTAACACACCATTTCCGGCCCATTGGATTTTATCGCGGAGCTCTGGTGAGATTGCGTTGGGATCCATGATGGTTTATTATCAGCTTGATCGTATAAGGATTTATACACTGGAGGTTAGTAGATACCTATATACTAGAAATGATAAATATATGTAGTTACGTTTAATAGTGAAAGTAGATTGAAGTTAAGAAAGCAATTGATGCGTTTGAGATGCTGTATAATAATTTCACATATCTTTAACTACCGATTACTTATACTTTTCCTTACAGGATTTCGTCCTGATAGTCGATGACCTTGAGAGCTGTTTGTTTCGAAACTACCAAGTTATTATCGTATTAGAGAAGCGTCAACATGCCCTTTCAACATAATATCAAGGGCCTAGCTCGTTAGGTCTATCACAAGGGATTGTGAGTCCGTTAAAGAGAAAGTGTATATGAATGCGATTCTTAATCACTTTTAGACTTTCGACAAAGAACAGTTGATGTACTGAGGTAAGTAAATGTAACTTGATACAATGTGCCCTACTAGGTAGTCTTTAACAATGGGAAATATTCCGGATCCCTAATTCATACATTAGGCCTATTCACGTCAATATAAGGCAGGAATTGTTGCTCTTTGTCAGCCGGGTCATTACTACCTAGACACTTTTATAGCTAGCCAAGTATGATATTATCCAACTGCTCACAATCTAACCGTGACTGTAGCGCAGCCCTTAGTAGACCCTGGCTCTTCGTGATGGCGGGCACAACCCCATCGATCTGTTGTAAGTTCCCTCGCATGCTTTCCATATGGTTCGCGATCTGGCCGGCCAGATCAGCTAGCTCGTCGTCTAGATCAGTGAATACTTTACCACTGATATTCTCTGTAGGTACAACCTCTCCGACGGAGTCAACCCTCAACTCAGGCGGTGGCTTTTCCGGTACTAGCACGTGCATCTTCCGCATCTGATCCCTTCTCTCCCTAGCCTCGGCGTGGGCATTGGAACTGAGCTGGGCGAGCGCCTTATACTCGCGGTCAAGCTCCTTCTCAGCGCGTTCCTTCTCGCGACGCAACAGCTCAACACTGTGAAGTAGCGGATCGAGCTGGGACTCAAGGGTCTGGATACCCGAGACGGTGCGCTCGAATTCGAATTCCTCCTCACGCCGAGTCGACGTGGTAGCTGGTGGGAATGGTAGGCCTCGCGCTATCTTGGAACAAAGCCGTTTGCTTACGGTATTAAGAGCTGCAGCGGCGTGCCCGTGCCGCTGAGGGTTGCTGAGACGTAGAAGCACAGGCCGCGATGCTGACTGGAGGAGCGAAGCTACGCTGGAAAGAGCTGGTTGCTCGAGGGCTGTCCATTTAGACTCGATAATGTTGAGAGGAACACGGCGTGTGCGCGTTGTAAGGTGTCGGTAACGGGGTGGAGAGGTAGCTGAATCAGGTGATGATGAACGGTCTTGTTCATCGGGAGATGGCCTGCGTCTCCCTGAATTTGGTGATGTCTTATTAGACTGGCGGGGTTTCTGTTTTCTTGGGCGATTCTCTTCTTCTATAGAAACATCTTGGCCTTGTGTTGGCTGGCCTTGGGATTTCTTTCCTTTTCCTTTTTTAGATGATGAAGCGTTCTCGTCAGGTGGTGGTTGACGGCCACGTTTCTTCGGCCGATTTTGGGGTTCAGGGTCGGCCTCTGCTGGGGGTTGAATACTGAGAGAAGGTCGGCCTCGCTTCTTCTTATGTAGGGGAGTAGGGCCCTGTTCTGCTTCGGTCGTGGTTCGTTCATTTATAGGAGGGCGTCCTTTCTTTTGGCGTTTATTAGTTATTTGATTGCCTAACCCCTCCTCATTGGCTGGCTTCGCTACCTTTTGGGCTCCTCTAATTGATGACTCTGGAGATCGTCGAATGCGTCCACTCCGCCGAAGAAGGCTCGAATTACCTTCATTCTCATCATCGGCCTCGTCATCTTCGATTTCGTTGCCCTTAGTTACCTCCAATCCTTTTGGTGGCCGACCCCGCTTACTTCGAGGTGCATTTTCATCCCTGATATTTGTTACACTATGTTCTTGAGCCTCAGTCTCGTCATTCGTTAGTGAAGATCGAGGACGGCCGCGTTTTTTTCGATCAGTAGGTAGTTTCCCCTGGTCCTCATCTCCTTCATCCCTATCATTATTGGGTTGTGATATCGGCGATGGCCCGCGCTTCCTCTTAGCTTTCTGTGTTTGAGAAGGTTTAGGTTCGGGTTGTGCTTGTGATGGAACCTCAGTGTTGGCTGGACGTCCGCGCTTCCTGGGACGGGATGATTCTTCCATTTCCGAATCTCTTATGTTTCCAGAAGTTGTAGTTTGGACCTGGCCTTGTCTCGAAATGGAGAGTTGGGATCCTGACGCGTCACCGTCGTCGCGCGACACGTTGGTAGGACGGCCTCGCTTGCGTTTTTGATTTGCAGCTTCGGGTTCCTTGACATTATTATGTTAACTTGAAATTGAAACCGAAAGGATCGAAAGGATATGAACTGACCATATTCTTGATTTTTTTTTAGTCGTTACTACTTCATTAGAAGAATTAAAGTCGGCAACACCTTCGTATTGTTTGTTGCCTCTACTTCACTAATAATATGTTGTACATACTTACTATCTTATCGTGATTGACGTATTCTTCTTATCGCATTAACACGGTGGCTTGATAGAGCCCTGTATGTAGGTATGTTGGTAGTTGTGTAACGCCCTACGGTGGTACCTAAGGAAAGTATTTTGTAGTGGTATCAAATGTTACGGTTAGGTACCTCTTGTGCCACAGAGCATGCGGGGCTCAGCGCTAACAGGGATTAGGGTAGGATTTAGCGCTCCAGTCAACAAAATAATGCACTGCTAGAGGTGGAGATGGTAGGCTTGGCAAGAAAACGTAAGGAAGCAGGGAAGCAGGGAAGGATACCTATGGTCATCTCGTACAAGCTTAGCTGTCCGGGGAAGTAGCTGTTGGAAAGACCGAACAGCGTCCTAGGACCCTAGACAATCCGTTACTCGACATATTTTTATTTTCTTCTGTAACTCTCCAGCTGAATAGACTCTACCTTAGATTCTACGCTTACTCTCTTGCTGGTTATTTTCTTACTAGTTCAAGACAGCTGACCGTTGCAGTTTCGAGATTCAGCCTTATTGTTATCCTTATTCTAGGGGATTCTCCTAGGTATATCTTCTTTCAATTCTTTCAATTGATTTTTACTTGGCCCTGCCGTGTTGGAGAAAACTACAGAAAATTACATCATTTTTCCGTTGTGGCTTGACCTGATCCCGAGCTATCCACCAGCAACTTTAAGCTTGACTCTTACTTTACTTTATTAGATTTTGTATTTCACAAACTAATAAGCAAGCAAAATGCGATTCTCTACTGCTTCAGCTGTTCTCGGCTTGCCGTTGTTAGCAGCCGCAGATGCCCCTGACTATCAAGCTCAGTTTGATAACTACTTGGGCCAGGCCCAGAGCGTTTTGGGAAAGTTCGCCTCTAAGATTCCTCATCCTAAAAAATTTGATCCTGTCGCTGCTGCTGAAGCTAAGGCTGGCGCCTTGAATATAGACATCTTGTCTTTGGATAACTGGAAGGACACCCTTTATGGACCCGTGAAGCCAGACACTACAACTCCCGAGGAGTGGTGGGTTTTGATCACAGGTGGAAACAAGACTTGTTTTGGTAAGGATCTCTACCGTCGCTTTGATCCATAACTTGAGCGTCACTCCTAACATTAACTAGGCCACTGCGGAAGGATCGAGACTGCATTCAACGAAACTGCTGGGAAGTGGGCTCTGACACCAGGTTCTCCTCATACCGCTCTCCTAAACTGCGAAGACCAGCCTGTTCTTTGCAACTCCTGGTCCGCCCCGGTCGGTGCGCTGTGGATCTTCGAGATACTTCCCGAACCTGCGCCTGTTAACATATGGACGAAGCGATTCAACATGACAACTGTCACTTCTGATGATATTGTCGAGCTGCAGCAGGAGGGCTACAAATCCGCCGCCCACTTGCATGATGGCTTCTTCCATCCTTTCAATGGCCCTCTAGCCAAGAATGGCCTTGCAGCTCCAGTTGGGTGGGTTCTCTGGGTTTTCAACCTTCTCCCCAGCTGGGCGTTTATGATCCTCGTTTCTATTTTCAGCAGGAGCATGATGTGAGTTAATTCAAACCCCGTGGTATAGAACAAGTGACTGATAACAGTATAGGAGCAACCGCTTGAACCAACAAATGGATGGCGGCCGACGACCTCCTACTGCCGGCCAAGCTGCTCCCCGAAGATAATGGTAATATGTAGTTGGCATATTGGACACTCGCTATAAAACTGGCTGTGGGCATGTTGGGATGCAACTCAAGAAGCTTCGTTATAAGCATTGTGTATCATTGGGTTGGGGTCACATAGATAGTGATCTAATAAATCGGAATGTATCATGATTCACGTTTTGTGTTCACACACGTCTTGCATGCGCCGAAGGCCATCTAGAACCTCGTCTTTTAATTTGGGATTGACGAAACGACCGTACCGGAGGTCGCTCATGTTGCCAACGGCTTGTCTAGTAGACTCGAGAAGGGCGGTTTCTTCCTGCTCCATTGCTTGTATCTCATGTTCCATATCAGTGATGGCATCGTCCATTGCAGGCAGAATAGTCATTAGAGTATGTTGTTTCGGCTGTATGGTATTGGAGGTAGGTCCGAATAGCTATGGCTTAATTAGAGATGATATTTCAACTTCGCATTAGGTAGGGTGATATACCATTCGTTCAATTTCAATCTCGTCATCTTGCTCCTCTAGCTCGGCTTCTTTTCGAGCCTTGATCACCTCTCGGCGTAAAGCTTTACCTTGCTTAACCTGAGCGTCGATATTTTGGGACACGCCATCTACTACTACATTTCGCTGCTGCTGTAGATCTCTATAAAGCGATCGGATTTGCGGAGAAGATTGTTGAGATTTGGGGAATAGAGAGGTGAATTCTTGTAGGGAGATGATTGTAGGTAGGCGGGCTGGGAGGAGTAAATAGTTGCGCAAAATTGTGGCCTCACTGGTTGCCATGGTTAAAAACAATGAAAAAAAAAAAAACCAATTAGCTTAAACTACTATGTAAACATTGGTAGAGAAGAGATTTCGGTAGAGTTGATTGTATTTGGAAGAATGGTCGGAATCATGTTCACGCACCGGGGGGTGAATTGGGGAAAATCACTTTAAAGTAAAGCGCGTCGGAAAACGCGTCCGAGCTTTTGGCGTCAGGAGCGATAGGGTGATAGGGTGATAGGGTGATACCTGGGTAATCTTTACATAGTACCTTCCCTCAACCTCCATAGTAAAAAGATCAGCGCTAAGCAACTTTCATAGCTTTCTCTTTCAGCACCGTTCTTTTCAAATACATACTCTATTTATTTATCATTCTTCCTCACGTTAGCTCATAAAACTTGCCATTTCGAGCCTTTCTTTATGAATACCTAGACATCTTTGCCATAAAGCCCCCTTTCATCATCCATCGTCTATCATCTATCATCTTTCAGGGTGAATACATCCGTCAGCTATGGCTCCCTCAAGACAGAACCAGGCCCCTCCTTACGCCAAGGACGAGAGAGTGCTCTGTTTTCACGGTGACTTAATGTACGAGGCTAAGATCATGGAGGTGGTTGTGAAGTCAGGTCAGAAGCCTGAGGATGCTCAGTACCGTATCCACTACAAAGGATGGAAAGCGAGCTGGGACGACTGGGTTTCGCAGGACCGTATCCGCAAGTTCACGGATGATAACAAGCAGCTGGCTAGTCAGTTGGAGGCTCAGGCCCGAATCCGAAGCTCTGGCTCCAAGGGAGGAAAGAAGGGTATCAGGGCTAACGGTTCCGAGATGAGCTCTGCTCGAGGTAGTGAAGAGCGTGCTGCTGGATCCTCAAGCTTTGGTAGAGGTCCCCGACGGGGTAGGGATTACGAACTTGAAAACGTAAGCTAATTACTTTCATTATATTTTCTCTTTATGTCATAACGTATTGGATCCTGGGGAATGTAAGCCCTATATGCCTTCGATTTAGCATCAGTATCCCTCTTCCTGGATCAACATTCTTTTTGCCTACAGGAAATAGGGGCTATATATACTCCGTCAAGAACAATAAGATGCGTTGCCAGGAATAGCCCTTTAACCAACCCTACCTTGATCATGCTCATGATACCGCTCGTTGAAATAATTTCATGGTCATGATCGAGAAAACTGGGGTTTGGCTTGAAATCCAATAGGTTTGGATATCGATATAATAAATAGGTACCAGTAGTTGCGCGACATAATCCGCGAGGATTTACCCGTGGCCTCTTGATGGAATACGTACCAAGGTCTTCTTCACGCAAGTTGGAGCTGTTAAACTAGGAGGAACCGTGCAGCATCTGCCAGATAGTGGTCATTCTATCTACGTTGCTAGTCAACAGTGGAGCAATTTTGGCGGCGGTTGGCGGCTTGCTCGACTTTATTCGTGCATGGAAAGAGAACACGCTCGTGTCTCGAGAGGAAGGTTTCTCGCATTGACGCGTTGCCCAGCACACATAACAAAGTTTTTCTTCTCTATTCACCGCACTGGCAATATTACCGCACTATCTGTGTGAATTTGGAACAGTTGAATTTCTTCTTGTCGAAACCCAAGTATATTTCTCCGCAACAAACCACTGTCTTCGACGATTTTGCTTGGTTCTGCTACACCACTCCCCCGGTAGCAAAAATGGAGACTAGAAAGAGGAAGCGTGTAGTTTCGATTAACGATTACGAGCTCCAGCGCAAGCGAACTCGTAGTCAAAGGACACCACTCCCACTATCAAAGCCCACTACCTCTCACGACAATAAGGCAACGGCTGAGGAAGACCCTGTTTCTGTGGGTCCTGCACCCGCCTCTACTGCAATGATTACACCATCTCTGTCTCCTGCCATATCAGATCCTAAGCCCAACACCACATCCAATCGCAAGAAAGCATCCAAGATTGTGCTTAAAAAACAGTTGTCTGTTGCACCTATGTTAACGAGTTCGACTCCAACCAAAACCACCTCTAAGAAAGCACCCTTACCTATATTGGCAATGTCTTCATCTGGGCTATCTGTTGCAGATAAGGATGTTGAAAAACGCCAAAAAGCCTTCATGCAGAAAGAACAGCGACTCGCACGCGGAGAAGAGGGAGTGGATCTCCTTCTTCGATTACCAGCCCCTAGTTACAACTATGTCACCAAGAAAGGCCAACTCTCTCAGAATATCCGCTTCAAATCTCCTCCTCCCATCCTTGACCATCCTAAAATCCAGGAAGCAGAAAAGAATGGCACAATGACCCGCGAGAAGGACTATTGGTACCGAGGAATGCCTCGCAACGTGAAAATACCTACAGCCGGGATACCGTTGGACAAGTCTCATGCTAGCCTCCATGCTGATTCCGTAAATCTAGAACTTGTCTAATATTACCAGAAATCTTGATGCTAACTACTTTTTTTCCTAGGAGGACTCATTTCACTCTAGGCCTTCTATCAAGCTTTTTGTTCCTGATATCCTAAAGGCAATGCTAGTTGATGATTGGGAGAACATCACAAAGAACAACCAACTTGTCCCCCTCCCTCATCCTCATCCGGTGACGAAGATCCTCGAGGACTACGCTGCTTATGAGACTCCGAAGCGCCCTGCCGGCTCCTCTCATGTGGATATACTCGAGGAGACCTTGGCGGGCCTGAAAGAGTACTTCGACAAGTCCCTTGGCCGTATTCTCCTCTATCGGTATGTTGCACTTCTCTTAGTTAGGAACAACGTACTAACTATATACAGATTCGAACGTGCCCAATACGCAGAAATGTACCAGAAGTGGATGTCCGAAGACCCCGAGTATCAAGGCAAAACCGCAAGTGATACCTATGGTCCTGAGCACTTGATGCGCCTGATTGGTAAATTATCCTTTCGCATGAGCCTATGACTGGAAGCTAATTATACTCAGTGTCCTTGCCGGAGCTTGTTGCCCAGACAAACATGGACCAGCAGTCGGTCAACCGTCTACGCGAGGAACTAGTCAAGTTCTGCGCCTGGTTGTCTAAGAACACCACAGAGTACTTCGTCAGCCATTACGAGTCCCCTCCCCAGGACTACATCCAGAAGGCCAAAGATTAATTTAACGGTGGTTATTCGGCTCTGCGGGTGATTCTTATTACTTGCGCCTCTTCATTTAGCACATTCTGCCAAGCATTGTTTTCTCAAGGGACGAAGACACAATGCCATTTGCCACACCACTATCTTTTGCGCCTCTAGCTCTGGAACGATATTTTCGATTCCCCTTGTAGGAATATTAGCTTTCTTCTGATTGACGCGAAAATCTTGCCGTTAGGGCGCTTTGTTAGGTTACGTACCCAATGCAACAGTGCCCTAAGAGATGAGATTTATGCAGTTGTAGCATAAAGGAAGGATATTTGCGGTATTGGTCTGGACGCATACTTTGAGGTTGCATTTGATTTTGCGATGGTTTTGTTTTCTTTAGTAATAATAATACTGGCATTTCCTTACATACCGTGCTACATTAAGTGACCGTCTGACTTGATTTAGGTACCATAACGATATTTTTCCTGCCTGCTAAATAGACCGGTGCTACTAGGATTATTAAGTCCATACCGTGAAGTAAGTTGTTAGTCTTAATTCTTCCCATATCCATATTAATTCCCATGGAATACAGTATCTCTCCTGCCTTGTTATTAGTCGTAGAATATTTGACCCAATTACTATCGGGAGTTGTGAGGTCCAAAGTGGCATACCTTAGGTACTTTTGGCTATCGAACACGGGTTTAAATTCTCGCGATAGAACTGGGTTTTATCCAGGGAATATAGGTACACCGGTGTGTTATGGTGAGGCGACTACTAATAGGTGATCAAGCTTTTATAGTAGTGGCTATCTTTTGGCCATGACTTGTCGTCATTATGTCCATTATAACACCCTACGCGTACTCTCTGTTTCTTCGTAAGCTAATTACTTATTAAACCATTACCTAAAACCTATCGTCCTTATTTTGTTGATGATGCTGTTGCTTCAGATGAACCTCTCGCTCTTCTAAACCATGCCATACGGCAAGCCCGCCGTGTACAATTTCCCCTGAAGACCAGCCAAGTCCGCCGATACAGTTTCCGATTATCTCTCGTTTAGGACTAGCTAGAATCTAGAGTAGATACATTTATGCCCTCCCTTTCTTTCTGGGCTCGGACTTGGATCGATTCCTGCGTTCCCTTAACGTTTAGATATTTCAGCCAACATCTTAATATACCTAGGCGGTGAGTCCTCTAACTACAAGTGGAATATATAGATGACCATGAAGCGCTGTCCGAACTTATGCTTCCTCGTAGCGGCCATATATCATTCTAACCAGGAGCATCTAGTTCCAATGTGTCAGGAGTGTAGATGAGACATCTAGAACAAAGGATATGTTCAGGGTGTATAAACGTAGACCCTCGTAGCTAGTTTAGAGTTCCTTACGGAACAACAAAGTTATTTCCATGCTGTTTGATTCTACCTCGTGACACAATGTGAGTAAATTTGATGTGGCCGATAAAGTCGATTTCGATGACTATTCAATAGGACTTTCAGAGCTTCCTTGAAGACATTTCTAGATTATCTTAAAACCAGGCCAGCGGCCGTGTTGTCCCGAGTCTTAGCCGGTCAGGTATTTTCTTGGTGAATTATAGCTTTTCTGGATGAAAGGTCTTTTGTTATTCGATTGATTTGTTTTAGTTGAGTTAGGTGGAACCGGGAGCAACAGTTGGTTTTTTGCCGCATTTGTATACCATTAGACTGTGTACGGGGGATCAAGGGGGGGGAATGGCTCTCCCCTTCCTGATCTTGACGGCTGCCGACGCCGAGAAAAACGTCCGTAGTATCTTCTTTGCGCCGAACTCCCTTGGTGGCCTTATTCGGGTGGCCACTCCCTTGATGGTCTTATTCGGGTGACCGCTCCCTTGGTGGCCTTATTCGGGTGGCCGCTCCCTTGGTGGCCTTATTCGGGTGGCCGCCAGAGCCTTTTAATGTCATTGCTCAGGACACATTAAAGTTTCGTTATTATCTTTCTGATGTGTTCCCCTTAAGGTGAATATTTAGGGCTGATAGGATTCTAGATAAGACATCTAGAACAAAGGGCATGTTCAGGGTGTATAAACGTAGACCCTCATAGCTAGTTTAGGGTTCCTTACGGAACAACAAAGTTATTTCCATGTTGTTTGATTCCACCTCGTGACAAGGGCACTATTTGGGGACCTTTGCGAAAAGGGCATGTCGTCCTCGGGCAAATCCCGTAAGGCAATATCTTAACCTACACAGCGGCTTGGCATTAGTTATTAATTTCCGAGTTTCAATATATGATTGTGGTTATGGGCTTACCTGTGGTAGATCAAGTGATCCAAAGCTAGTGGATGATATTATGGAAGACTAACTATAGGAAAATATAGTGTTGTTCTTATCATTTTCTAGCGTGTCTCCCCCCTCCTCCCCCGGGCTGAATCTATGGGGGCGATGCCGGCTCTGTGTTTATTATGTAATTGTCCGTAAAGAATATCCATGATGGGGATATTCTTATGGTAATTTTAGAGGGGCGTAACGACTGGGAAGGAGGATAGATAAGTTCCTTAAGATGGCCTTTTTTGGATTTGTTGAAGGTCATCCCTGATCTTCGATTACACTCGACTAACGTCGTGTTTAGGACGCTCGTGAGTACTGGGCTTAAACCCTTTTCAGTAATGAGGGTCGTAGTAGGGATATCGCTTGCATGAAGGATGATGGGGAGATGACTGTAGTTGAGAAAATGTGATCATTTTCATGATTGATCTGTTGCTGATTTAAAGAGAGTATAACCCAGTTCCCTAGGTGTCTGTTAGTCTTAAATACCAAAATTTGCGACGAGGATAAAATAATATAGTAGAAAATTAGATAGTATTGCTTAAAACTATCATTTTAGGACGTTCCGGGTCGCTTTACAATTTGAAAGAGAACATACCTCGAGTATCCCTTAGAATTAGTCATGATTGTGAATTGTTATGGTAACTTAGAGGCAATTTGATGGGATGCGGGTTGTTTAGTAAGTTGAAATGTAAGCTTTGAATGTCGCATTACTTAAGTTACTTTAGTTGAAGACTTGGGAGGACCTAGAATAGAAAGCGTGAATTAGAGCGGAATCTGACTGATGAGAAAAGGAAGGGAATTGTGAGTAATTTAACGAAACTTACCAGAAATCAGTTTGGCGAGATAGAGTGCCTGGATGCCGTATAGGTACATTAGACTTCTAACTCATCGCTGTGTATTTGTTAGTGATCATAATTCGCGCGAAATTTTCGTCATAGCCTTATTTAAAATCTCCTTGTTTCTTGCGTTCAAAGTTGATGACTTACCAAGGCTATAGTTTCGAAAACTATCAAGCAACACAGCCTGAATACCTAAAGTAGCGACTTTACCCCAGGTAGTTAGATTAGGATAGCATAGCAATGGGCTGCGATGATCATAGTGATAATTATGTGCGAAGGTGAAAGTGTAAAATAATAGTGTGAGCAATAAACTCTGGGAAGGGTAAATGATAAGAAGACTAGTAATAGAATACTGAAGTAGAAATTTAGAGATTTGGAGAAAAAGGGTGATGTAAGAAGGGAAGAATATTGGTTTTGATGATGAAATGTTATGAGCAAAGAGAAGTGGTAGGGAAGGTACCTAGGCCTAAATAATTATTTGAGTGTTTGTGAAGGTAAATAATGGAAGGATCCGGAAGGCCGGAAGGCCGGAAGGCCGGTAGTGGGGAAGTTGCCAACAGAATGACCGGCCGACCGGCTGACTGGGCAGAGAGACCGCCGAGACTGCCGGAGACTGCCATGGACAGTCGGCGATGGGAAGGGGCATTGCTATAGCGACATAGCAAGGAAGTTGCTAACAGAAAGCGGTAGAAAGGGAAGGAGGTCTTCTAGCCGGATTGGATATCCTGGCAGGTGTGTAGGAGGGAAGTCGCCAATAAAGAAGGAAGTAGTACATACAATGCGAAGCTACACCAGCGGAGGAGTTATATTCCATTGAGTGAACAGTCGGTTAGGATGGCTTTGGCTCATACTTAATAGATATAGGCATCTTATAGGGTTATATAAAAGCTAATAAATGGTCGAGGAAACAAAGAGTGGCACAATACGAACAGATGCGATCCTTGAATTGACATGATTTCACAATAGTGTACTGGACATGTCTTGGACACCTCCTAATCGTCGTTTCCCATTTTTGGCTCTGTTCCTATGCTTTTGGTAGGCTAGCTGATCTATTAGATGTTACGATCATCTAGTCGGCAACTTCCCCTTCATTATAGACTGTGATGGGCAAGTAGCTGAGCGGGTTACAATTAAGGAGCCAGTGGCATAATGCTCACTGGTAGTGACTTCCAACGATATCTATATGTCCACCCAGGAACCCTAACCCTTTTTTAATGAGAAAACGTATCTAATCCTTGGGTAAGGGGAGTGGTGAGGTAGTCTAATATGATGTGCAAAGAGTTACTTGGTAAGTAGCAATGGGGGGTCTTATAATAAAAAAGATTGAAAATGTAATTGAAGATCCGGGATCCTGCTATGGAATAATCGACAGGAAAGCATTTCGAAGAAAATAAACTTGATAGCTAAAGAGTTAGATGGACTGAACTAGGTGACTACCCTAATATATTTATAAGGATATTGATATATGCGGATATGATTGCCTGAGGCTATATAAATTTATTGGGAATTCCTTTTATTATAATCGTGAATTAATTATGTTACTTGATTTTACCGAGTAATGCTGTTATGATTCTTTACGTTAGGTAGCTGTGGCTTTAAACTTAGACTTCTGGTTTGGAGTGATAGAAATACGAATGGGAATAGGAGCAGAGGCACTGCTAAACTGTTTTGAAAAAGCAAGTATAATGTAAATGTTTTACTGTATTGATTGTACATTATATGTACATAGGCTAAGCTCTAGGTGACCTCCCGTATTAAGTTGAATGCTCATAAGCCTTTCTATTTGACCACGGATGGCCAACGGGAATAGCTCTGAGTTCGTAGGTAATACAAGCTCGCGAATCTCCCAACAACCTGCCTCTAAACGTTGCCTCTTACCGGTTACGGTTGTGGCTGAAGTTGTTAGAAAGGCACCTGTATCCTCACACTTTCTAGTATATCAACTTCCTCTCTGCTATCCTGTTCTTCCCTTATCATATGCACATTCGGCGCTCCTCGAACAAAGCCAAAATATCACCGCGGTACGGCCTTCTCGATCCAGAAACCGGGTTCCGGTTTTCGCTCGTCGCGTAGCTCCTTAGGTGTAAGTGCGCGGTCGACCTCGGACACTTTGACTAGCTCTTTGACCTTAAGGATCATACCCGCCGATTGCGAGGATACTGGCTGGAACACGGTTTGCGAGCGTTTGCGCAGGCCGAGCGCTGCTAACACGCCGCGCGTGCGTTCTGGCAGACCGATAGCAGATCGGTGAAGTGTTATGCGAAAGTACGACATCTTATTTTCCTTTCCTTTCTTATTCGCGTGGGTAGATAGATCGAGTTGAGAGAGTCCGGCTGACTTGGCTGATGTGGTTGTTAATTGATGTCTTTAGGTTTTTTGGTTTTTTTTTAAGGAAGCGACGAAAAATACTATATACCTTTTTGTCATAAGCAACTATCCCGGCGCTTTGCAAACCGACGGGCTTAGGCGAATTAGACGTTAATATCAACGATTGTAGTTGTCTTTGCGAAACTTAACATTGAAATGCCGACTTTTAAGTGGGCCACCCGATGTTTTGCCAACTGTGGGCTTTACATGGTTAAAAAGCCTTACATAATCTGGGACATAATCTGGGACATAAGCTGGGAGAACTTCATGCTTAGGTACATAGTATAACTACTATACCTAAGGTCGGTATGCTCTATTAAATTAGGATCGTTTTAACAGAATACGTGTGGTTGCGCTTTTTGAAGAAATATAATAATAAAAGAAGCAAGGACGTAGTGCTATTTAAATATTTCATAACCCAACTTCATGTTCGATTAAAAGCCTCTTTAAATATCACAATTCTTTCGTTTAGATTGATAAAAACACCGACAAGGAGTTTTACGACTTGGTATTATGCTACAGACATGCTCTGACCGTGCGTCTGCTGAACTAAATGGTAAATCTCCGCTCATCAACAGCCTCGACCTGACCTTTTGAGGTAGCTATCTCTGCCTCTGTGTAACTAACTATCTAGTAAAACTCTTCCCATTTATCAGGAGAAAAAAACGCATTGAAATGCGACACTTCTAAATACGCCACGGACTGTAATAGTTATCTATCTATTTCACGGAAACCTCTACTCTGCCTTCGCCCACAGGTCCGGTATTCGACAGAGTCGGGAGCAGGTAAGTGATGTCATCCCAAGGATGTCTGTATAGACTGGTACGCAGTCTCTTCTGGTCAAGATAATGAGCAATCAGACCAATGCTGCGGCCTAAGACGAATAGACCGTTCAAGACTCCCATCTTCATGTAGTCTTCAGCCTCTTCGGCGCTGAAAGCACCGCAGCTCCTCATAAGATCGACGAAGCAGACAGCAACGCAACCATCAACATTGAGAATGAGGTTGTCCTTCTTCGACGTAGTTACTGTCTCGACAGCCAATGCGTAATCTAACAACTTGTGGCTGGGGAACTTGGCTAACACGTACTCCTTGACCAACTCTACACGGAGATCAGGGTTATTCCGCGACTTGATACGGTGACCAATACCCGGGATGAGCTTATTTTGCTTGCGCATAGAGTCAACAAATTCACGGGGACTGAGGCCGTTGTCGGCAGCCTTGGTGAACTCCTCCGCAGCGCCGTCAAGCGCACCACCGAAGCGAGAACCAATGGTGAGGAGACCGGAAACCAAGGAGCTGATCAGATCCTTACCGGCACGGGTGGTGATAATGGTGTTCATGGCGCCAGAGACCGCAGGACCGTGGTCAGCAGTAAGCATGAGAACCATCTCCAGGAACTTGGAAGCGTAATCAGGCAGACGACGACGGAACCAGAGGAGAGACATAACACCACCAATACCAATGTCCTCCCTGAAGACATCAGAAATAGGCATGCCGGCGTAGAGAAGCTCCTGTCCACGGTCATCAGAGATAGTGGAGATAAAGGCGGCAGGCTTCCGGATGAGACCAAGCTCCTGAGCCCAAGAGTAGTCGATAGGAATCTTAGGAACAACGGGTTCTGGCTGAGGGACAATGGTCTTCTCTTCGACAAGCTTCTTGTAGACAGAAGCGAGAACCTGGGGGAGATCTTCGAATGTCTCAGGGACGTGGAATCCCGCCTCCTTCATCTGCTTGTTCTTCATAGCCGCAGTCTCGAGCTGTGAGTTGGCGAAGGAACCAGCGTGACCAAATTGAACCTCTGTCTTGAACATGCTGGCACAAGTACCGATGGCCCATGCGACAATTGGCTTAGTGATGATACCTTGCTTCACCGCGTCGATGACCTTGTATTCTTCGACACCGCCAACTTCACCAAGTAGAAGAAGAATCTTACACTCGGGATCTTGCTGGTATCTCAGCATGTGGTCGATGAATGTGGTTCCCGGGTATCTATCACCACCAATAGCAATACCCTCATAGACACCATCGGTGTTTTGTGAGATGATGTTGTTTAGCTCGTTCGACATACCACCAGACTTGGAGACATAACCGACGGAACCCTTGCGGTAAAGCTTGGAGGCAACGATGTTGTCCATCATACCACCAGTATTACCAATCTTGAAGCTACCTGGCTTGATACCACCAACGGTAGCAGGGCCAATGATAGTCACACCCTTTTGCCGCGCGACGTGGGCGATTTCTCGCGCTCGCTATTACGTGGGTTAATAAATGGCTAGTCAGCTAAAACTATTTGTAGTGTCCACTTACTCGTTCAGGTACACCTTCCGCAATAATAGCGATGGTCCTAATTTGAGGGTATTGCATCAATTCCATCGTTGAGCTGAAAACACTTCGCGAGGAGGCGAAGTTGACTACAACGTCAACATCGGGGTGCTTGGCCACCGCCTTAGCGGTCTCCTGGTAAACCGGGAGAAGAGTCTCGCTAGTTCCCCAGTACATCTTGCTAACGAATTGACCACCAAAAGTGTAAATGATACCTGCAACTGACGGCGTGGGCCTCTTGCAGATGAAGTCGAAGTCAAGCATGCCCTGGACAGCTCGGTTCTGGAGACCGTAGACAAAGCATCTTGTCTTGTCGTTGAATAAGGCGTGTGCGGGGAGGGGGCTGAGAGGCCGGCTAGGAGCAGCGAAGCGAGCGATGTTATCGTTTGCAGACAAACCACCACTGGCGGTGCCGTTCACACCGTTAGCCGCAGCTGAAGACATCTTCGTCGTATGAAATCCGCAAAAAAAAAATTGTCTGTAAAGTTGGCGACCAAAGTTAGCTACAGATGTCTCATGACTTGGTTTGAATACAGCCCATAGAATATAGGCTCGCTAACAGAGGGGGGAATCGCTTGGACTGTTCAGCAGTAAACCAAGCTTTGGGATTCTCGGTGATTTTCAGAACGGCCGATTCAGCCCGTCTCTGCACTGGAAGGATTCAGTAGGACCGCCAGCGTCAAAGCTGAGCAAGGCCAATTGAACCGGACCGGCAAAAGACCAAGCTAACGTAGTTGATGAAACAAGGGCGACGCAAAGGAAAATGGTTACGAATTGAAAGGGGAAGTGCTGTAAACTCGACATACCTTAATATTGGAATTCACCGTGTCGTCGCCCCGGAAGCTGCACAGGTGTTAGACGAAATTGCAATCACCAAGCTAATGGCGAGAGAGGCTATCACGGGAAAAGGGAGGTATTTGGAATGAAATGTGTATTGAGAGGAAGAGGGAAATTGACTTGATGGGCTATGGACAGCGATAGGAATTATTTTTCTCAGTCTAAGTTGATTGATGCTGCCACCACGAAAGGCTCAACAGCGGGGAAAACGGGGTTGGGATATGCCGGGTAAGACTAAGACCTCAGATATACAAAATACATACGTACCGTTTAGCGTTGAACGGTTGAAGGACGATAAAAATAGGAAGAGGAAAGCGACGCAACCGCAGTTTCCTTCCGTTTCTATGCAATAGACCTGGGTTAGACCTGGGTTGTTGCTATCGCGACGTAAAAAAAAAAAGAGTCCACAGAATGTCCGGTAAAAAAAATGGTCTTGCCCGGATCAGTTGGGGTAAATTTTTATGTGTGTTGTTGAATTTGGACCCCTTTTCGCCTGAGTCGATAGCCTGCACGCTACTATGTCGGTGATGCCTTGTTGGCCCAATTATGGTGCATCTTTGACTTCCGATAGACTGAGCGACCCTGTTGATCCTGCGCAAGCCTGCTTATGTTGGCGACTTGAAATTTGCTGGTTGGGCATATCTGATGAGACCACCCCACCTAAAGCTTCAGTAGTGAGGTACCATTGAACGGTACGTAACTGCCCATTGCCAATCCCCGCCCTTTGAGATCCCCGTTTTTATGTACCGGTACCGAGATCTTAACATCGACTTCTATCCTCACCTTTTACCAGATTTTACCAGATTACATACATCTCTCGTCTTATTCATCTTACCATCCTGGACAAACAGCAAGCCGACTGGGCTTCCTTCGTCCGGATCAACAAGGTGTATGTGTGCACCAAGAACACCTGTGAGAAATGCAAACGAGAAAAGAAAAGGAGAAATAGTCATGAATGACTATTAACAAAATTGAGTCAATATCAAACCTAGGAAGACGAGACGGAATTTTCGAATGTGTAGACAAGCATCATTCACTTGAAAGAGATGTACATATTGCATCCATCTAAGTGGTCCATCGCATTGGGGAATGATAGCAGGTAACACTATAATTCACTCATTTTCATGATTTTCCCGGAGTCCCCAATATCCAACTCCGGGGTAAAGTCCGTTACGGATGTTTCGTTGTGGGACGTTCCATGACCGATAAAGATAGGTAGCGACGTGATACTCGCATTTCGAATTACTCCATCTTCCCTCAGCTGAGGCTGTCTGACAGCTTTGTCATGGCAGTGGATCTGGGACATGAAGGATTGGATACTTCCAATGCTGACTGATCCTCGATCCCTTCTGACTTCGAAACCCGAGTAATAAGCCCGATCTGCCAATGATAAGACAAGACCCGGCCGGACCTCGATGTTGATGATATAGGAAAGATCCTGTTGGAAGAACCGATGCCGATAACAGACAGCTTATGGCTTGTTTATCTTTAGTAGGCGTATCTCATTAAAAAAAAAAAAAAGGTAGCTTCAGTGCTTAGGTATCCAGGTATTTCAAATTGAGAGTAGCGTGTCTGCGCGTGCGTGTATGAATGTTGCTGCGATTCTTGCGAAATGCGTGAATACAGCCGTGTAAGAGATAAGATCAACACAACGTCGGTACCCGGTGGCATCGATTATGGGATTGCAGGTGACCGTGACTGTTTGTGTTGGGGTACCGGTACAAAAATGCCCCTCCGATTGCTGACGAAGGCTACCGGGATCGCCCCAATGGTTTTGGCGTGATGCTGTCCGTCCTGTAGGATACATGGTCTAGCGCCCCTCCAAAACTTAATTTAGGTACCCACTCGCACCCACCAAGTACCAGGATCCACTAAGTTTAGTTGGGCACAGACCAGACAGCAGTGCCTTGTGCCGAAAAGTGGAATGAGGTCTTCCAAGGGTTCTGGGCAAAAGAAAAAAAAAAGGGACGGAACTGGACCTGCGTTGGCGGGGAGCTTCGCACCGCACCGCATCGTACCGCACCTTCATAGTCTTTTCGAAGGAACAATCTTCAATCTTCCAATTTCTTGCTGTTGTTGTTGCAGTCAACATTGTCGCCTTTGCAATCAAAAATCTCCCCAACCTTCACCATAATTCCCCTTGGTCGTATCGTAGTCTCCATATCACTGGGTTGAGAGATATTCCGGTTGTGACAAGGTAAGAGAAAAAGAAGATGGCCTTGCCAATCCCCTCATTCTGCGGGCCTGTCTATTTGCACCAAGTTCTCTGCATCAAGTTCTCCTGTATCCTTATCCTCCCCAGAGTTCGAACTTTAGTCCAAATTCAATCTCTTCTCTTCCACACTTGTGGTTTCATTTGAAGACAGAGAAAACGCAGTTGCTGATTGTCCCTTATAGAAACGATCTCGACAATTGAATAGAGTGTAATTGAGCACATACCTCTTTCGTATAATTCGTTTCTCTCGCCACAATGTCCGCAAAGGCAATCTTCGAGGCCGACGGCAAGGCCATTCTTAACTACCACCTCACTCGCGCTCCCGTCATCAAGCCGAGTCCTCTTCCCAAGCCCACGACGCACAACCCGCCGCCGAAGCTGGCTTCACTCTACTTCCCTGAGGATGCCGACGTCAACGCGGTGCTGAACCAGGCTGAGATCACGTACCCGTGGTTACTTCACAGCGGCGCCAAGTTCGTTGCAAAGCCTGATCAGCTGATTAAGAGGCGAGGCAAGAGTGGTCTTTTGGCCCTGAACAAGCCCTGGCCTGAGGCAAAGGAGTGGATTGCCCAGCGCGCCGGCAAGGTACAGAAGGTTGAACACACTGAGGGTGTTCTGCGCCAGTTCCTCGTGGAGCCCTTCGTACCTCACCCGGATGGCACTGAGTACTACATCAACATAAACTCAGTTCGAGATGTAAGTGCAGTACCCCATTTAAGCATTTTGCGTTGTTTTTGTCGAGCTTTGTTTTATGCCCGATGCTTTTCATCGGGCGAATTATTTCAATAGCAGTCAGCCAGTGCGTAGCTGCGAAGATACGGGATACCTGAAGATAAGGACGTTGAAGTAAACAAGGGAAATGAGGAGAAATACGAGCCGTATCCAGGAAGTCCCGGAGAGGTTGCGTTCTTATCACTTATGAAATTATTATGTGCACCAAAATGGCTGCTGCCGTGCTCTTATTTGATTGGGAATCCGGGAGTGAACCGGTGTGTACGGGCGAACGGAAGGCTAAACCATATGCGCTCCTGTTGCATCCACTTTCCCCCTTCGCCCACCGTACCAACAACACATACCAGCCTTGCTCATACGTGTTATCTCCCTAAAATAAATACTATCAACCAATCAATTTCAAAAGAAAAAAAAATACTGACCAATTCATTAATAGGGAGATTGGATTCTCTTCACCCACGAAGGTGGTGTCGACGTTGGTGATGTCGATGCTAAGGCCGAGAAGCTACTCATTCCTGTTGACCTTTCGCAATATCCCTCTAACGATGAGATTGCCAACACGCTGTTAAAGAAGGTCCCCAAGGGTGTTCACAATGTCCTGGTTGACTTCATTACCCGTCTATACGCGGTATATGTTGACAGCCAGTTTACCTACCTTGAGATCAACCCCCTAGTTGTCATTCCCAACGCCGCTGGCACCTCAGCTGAAGTCTATTTCCTCGATCTTGCTGCTAAGTTAGATCAAACTGCCGATTTTGAGTGTGGCGTAAAATGGGCCATCGCGCGGTCACCTGCAAACTTGGGCATTACTGCTGTCTCTAGCGCTGGTGATAAGGTCAGCGTTGATGCTGGTCCTCCCATGGAGTTCCCCGCGCCGTTTGGTCGTGAACTTACAAAGGAGGAAGCCTACATTGCTGAACTGGACGCTAAGACCGGTGCTTCTCTGAAGCTTACTGTCCTAAACCCTAACGGCCGCATCTGGACTCTGGTTGCTGGTGGTGGTGCTTCCGTCGTCTATGCTGATGCTATCGCATCTGCTGGCTTTGCTGACGATTTAGCCAACTACGGTGAATACTCTGGTGCCCCTACTGAGTCTCAGACCTACTACTATGCTCGTACCGTCCTGGATCTGATGCTGCGTGCTCCTATGGACCCCAAGGGCAAGGTTCTGTTCATTGGTGGCGGCATTGCCAATTTCACAAATGTGGCATCCACTTTCAAGGGTGTTATCCGGGCACTTCGCGAATATGCTAAGCAATTGAACGAGCACAACGTCCAAATTTGGGTCCGTCGTGCCGGCCCTAACTACCAGGAAGGTCTCAAGAACATGAAGGCTGCGACACAAGAGCTTGGCCTGAACGCCAAGATCTTCGGCCCCGAGATCCACGTTTCTGGTATTGTGCCACTTGCTCTCGTCCCTGGGCGATGGGAAGAAAGCAAACTACAAGAATTCCAGGGTTAAACGTTGATATCAGAATGTATTAATCTCAGTTTCCCCGATTTAAGGCGTAAAAACACGTACAGAATGGGTATGATGGAATGGTTTTATATGTGACTACCCAGCCACGGTTATGTACGCTTGGGGGTAGAGGATCGGATCTAGTTAGCATAGACCTGATTGTTGAGCGTGAAACTCTAGATGATACTAGTTTTACTAGTTATAGATGCCTCTTCACGAGTCAAATACGATAGACTGGCGTAATTCCCCATGTCTTTCTGCGTTTATCTATATAAGTCTTACCTACCTATACAAGTCCAAAGAACCTCCATCATAGCGCGTGATACAATTTCCCAAGAAAGCCTAAGATAATAACACAAATTTGAATATATTTGTAAGGTAAAATATTATTATTGATTCATAGTCAGCATCACAAACTTTCGTGTAGTAATCCTGTTCAAGTTGACCGTTACAGTTATGTATCAGGTCTTAAATCCATCCACTTATTAACAAATAAACTTATCGTGACGAGACACGGACGTAAATTTCGCTAGTATATAAGGCTTCGCAGCCCCGGACTTTTTAGAGTCGCCGTTTTCACTAGTGCCGGCCAAAGGTGTGGGTCTAGCCGGACTCCCGACCCTTGGCGATTTCTCGGGCACTGTCAAGCAGGAAGCCGCTTTGGACGACGCTAACTTTTCTATATCGCTGCTTAACTTCCCTACGATACTTGCGGCTACAGCTTCTAAACATCGTATCATAAAAATAGCCATACCGCTAACATCTGCCTAAACCACATGCTCATGTCTAAGACTTACACAGGAGTGCCGCCCCTATTCTGCTCGAAGGCTCGAAGCTAATTCCGTTTCACGTTGTATTATTAGTCGATTATCCTCCTGAGATTATCCAGTACGGTAAATAAACGACCTGGTACGCTGTGGAAGGCGGTAGCTGCGATTGCACGGTAGTGCGGTCCTTGTGGTCCTGCAAGTTGTTGACTATCTTCCCGTTGACAACGATAGTGGATATCAGTTGCTCTTGTTGATATATGATGCATTTATGCAAGAATATATCGTACGATGGAGGACACGGAGGGATCTGGTACTAAGACTCGTGCTGCACATAAGCGGCCGATAACTTGGTCGAGGATTGCTATGCCGTGGTATAGCAGTCGGACGTGTAGTTGTTGCCCATACATAGGGATCGGCAATCACGTACTTGTGTTAGAGTTGTCTATCATATGTAGTCCTACATACTGAGGTGATCCTAAGGCTGGAGGCGTACATCAGGAAATCCAGGGTCCAGAAGACAGTTTCAAAAACATCAGTAGCACCTGCGAGGCCTGCAAGGCCTGTGGAACCGACGACTCCCGTCTCTCGCAACGCACACAGATAACCGGTCTATTGCGCTTGCTTGACCTATTCAGTCCAAGGTTCAGATTGATCCTCTGTTTCCTACAGCTCTATAAGTCGTTCAAGTAACACAGGATACCCTGAGACGCCGACGTAATAGTAGTAATTATACTGATTCTAACCGCCCAGATACCGAGTTGCGGAACCGCTAGCTTCCGTAGAAATGCCATAGCTCATAAGGCTAGCTATCTAGAAGTCTATCCCGATTGCTGAAGCAGTAGCCGCGGCCTCGAAGAAGTTACTCATGATACCATTAGGTTGTAGAACCTGCTTATGTATTGCAGAGGCTCGTTCTAGCCACCGCTGGGTATAGACCAGGCCTCCCTCATCTTGTTCATACGCCAAATTCAAACCCCAGGTCACAGTCGTGTCTCTTGGCAGGCGGTTCGCGATTTCAAAACTATGCCCAATTAGTATGCCATTAGGCTTAAGATTCCATAATCCAAATGTATTAGGTATTTATTCTAAATCCAAGTCCACGGGTAGTGACCCGTTGGAACGCGTATGATACATATCAACCAGCAAGACTTTAGCGACACGTCTAAAACATCAATAGGGATGTTTTGATACTTGGTGTTGTCTTGGAAATATTGAGCGCCACAATCGTAACCCGCCCTGTAGGCGTACCGCTAGGTTTCTAGACATCAATCCACTTCACCTTGTACTTGAATGGTGGCTTTATCAGATATTTATAAGATATTTATTAAATTCAAATACGTCGCGCCTTAGTGATGGAGCTTAATGATGTGAGGGGAATGTCATATGTATTACATACTCCAGGTTACCTCTATATCCTTATCAATGCAATCGACAACCATGTACGGGCGTTATCTATCGAATTGTTACTATAGGCTACTAGAGGTTAGAGGCCGAACCAGAAAGCTACTAGGTATAACAATGATAAGGGTGGGCGATGCCAAGACATAAAGCAATACGGAATAGGCACCTAAGACAAACTGGTTGACTGGTGATCTTCATCAGGGATAACTGAAGAATACTATACTCCGGGGTGCATAATTATGCTTATCTATAGATTCCGAACCTCCGCGAATGGCTTAAAGCTATGCGCCTAGATAAGCTGAAATGAGTAGCTTAAATACCTAAGGTACCTTACCTATATCTTCATGATAGCAACCTGATGATTAAGATCTTATATTTCTCAACTTCATATTGTCATTGTCCAAGTCAAGTATGCTTAATAGGTGAACTTGATCGTATGTCATAATGAGTTCTATCAAGGAAAAGATTCCTCACGGTGGCTTGTCTACCGTTGTGGATTTCGAACAGGGACATACGCAACTCGGAACAATTCATGATGTACAGAACCTCACGATGCTTGGCTACAAGCCAGAACTACGACGCAACCGATCCATGTTTACTTTATTATTCCAATCGTTAGCGATCGCTGCCGTAAGTCTGTACCAATGGGAATAACTGGCTAGATATCTGAATGTATCCAGATACCATATGGCTTTGGCGGTCCTCTTATTAGCGCTATCTATGGGGGTGGTGAGTGCCCAATCATCGCGCTATATGGCTATATGGCTATATGTCTGTCCTTCCTCATATTAACGCTTATATGTCAGGTCAACTACCGATGTTTCTAGGATGGATTGTAGTTTTAATACTCGGCGAATGCATCGCCCTATCACTAGGCGAGCTGGCCTCTCGATATCCGACGTCAGCGGGCCCTTACTATTGGAGCTTCCAGCTCGCCAGCCCGAAATATCGAACAGTTCTCTCTTTCATCACCGGCTGGACATGGCTTATCGGAAATTGGACTATCACTCTGTCGGTCAACTTTGGGTTCGCGTCCATGCTGGCTGCGGCAGTGTCATTGTTCAAGCCAGACTTCACTGTAGAGGCCTGGCAACTCTTGCTTATCTTCTATGCCGTGTGTATCCTTACGTTCTTCATAGTTGCCTTTGGCAATGCAATTCTCCCATTAGTCGACACGATATGTGCTATATTTACAGCCATTAGCATCGTCGTTACTTGCATCTGCCTATCCGTGAAAGCAGATGTTGGCAGGCATTCTCCTAGCTACACCTTGGTAGGAACTTTCTGCTCAGTCTTGTGGAGGAAGACATACTGAGAACTTCATTTCCAGGGACATTACGATACATCGCTCTCTGGCTGGGAGGACTTTTCATTTTGGATTGGCATCTTACCTGCCGCCTATACGTACGTTTTTACGTTATCTTTCTTGAGTTACGATACATTTCCCCTCCGATATTTACGAACATTACGAGCTCATGGTAATACAGGTTTTCGGCTATTGGGATGATCTCGTCAATGGCAGAGGAGTGTGGTGATCCCACAGTTAAGCTACCAAACGCAATATCTCTTTGCATACCAGTTGGCGGTATTGCTGGGTTATTCTTTGTAAGTACCTACTCACATTTTCGATTCAATGGTCTTTGAATGTTACACGAATAAAAAGACCTTTAGAAATCTTAGATAGTTATAAGTATAAAACTTTTACTAATTACATATATATGACTAGATAATTCCTCTATGCGCAACATTGCCAGACTTAGCGGATGTAATCACGGCACCAGTAGGCCAAGCATTGCCGTATATCTTCGGAAAAGTCATGGGATCACCTGGAGGCGGTCTCGCTCTTACTTTACTGGTCCTTATAATCACCTTATTTTGCTCAATATCCATTACTTGTGCGGCATCGAGATGTACATGGGCCTTCGCGCGGGACAATGCCATCCCATTTGCTCGCCTCTGGTCGAAGATAGACGAACGTCACGGCACGCCGATCTGGGCACTTGTGCTTACAACGCTCATTGAGATGCTCCTTGGACTAATCAACCTGGGATCTTCATCGGCATTTCTTGCCTTTGTGTCAGTTGGCGTTATATCCCTTGCCGTATCTTACGGGATACCCATCGCTATCTCATTATTTCATAATCGCAAGGAAGTCAATAGCGCTAAGTGGACTTTGGGAAAATACTTAGGATTGGTGGTTAATTTGCTCGCGATAGCTTGGATTCTTTTCGAAGTAGTATTATTTTCCATGCCTACCGTGTTACCAGTAACCGAGGTCAATATGAACTACGCAATCGTAGTCTTCGTTGGGTTTATGGTTCTTAGCGCGATATGGTATGGCATATATGCTCGGAAAGGTAAGTATTTCAATTATTCTTTCAGACACCCTTTTTTACAATCGTAATACTAATGCAGTGTGCTCGCTATAGTGTATCGGGGACCCCCAGAATCAGACGGACTTGCTGTCGATTCTTAGTTGAAAGCATTGCTTGCATTACGACTAGGGGCTAGAAAGGAAAAGGCGAGCTAAAAGGGAGGGAAGGGGGTGGTTATTGACAGTATTAAGAAATTCCTTGATGATTCATAATCGATATAATCCGTAGATGTAACTTTGAAGATGGAATTAATTAGATAGGTACCTGTTAGAAGTGGTATAATTCAACCTTTCTAGTTTGAAATTCTATCGCACAGGATTTACTTCTCATATAAACTAATAGCTATATTATTACTATTATCATATTATACTTAGTACTAGCTGTGTACCTATGCTTAGACTTCAATCTCCTTATCATCTGCAGTACCGTTATTACCAACAACCCTGGCCTTCTTCTCCCTCTCCTCCTTATTCTTCTGCTCCATCTCAAGCTTTCGTTCTTTCAGTGCGATACAGAATTTGGATCTTGCTCGAATATCCTCACCCTTCCAGATAAAGATGAAAGGTATAATAGACATGAGTAGACTCAACCCCCCGAGTAAACTACAGGCCCCACTAACTCCTAACCGTGCGAACATAGGGGTTGTCGCGAGTGGAAGAACAACCGCGAATACAGAACGGCAAGAACTAGCAGCCGCATTGGCACTCGCTGCGAAGATCTCATAAGCATCTGTGAGGTAGTTCAGCAGTGCCATGAATATTAACACTACGATGATTAAAGTTAGTAATGTCCATAACTATATCGAAACCATAAACCTAGCGGTAGACCATGGTGATAAAATATTGGCAGTGGCACGATTATAAGAAATTGAAAATGCACATACTATAACCTCCGCCAAAAGGAATGCCGGCTAGCATTGGCACAACAAACGACACATTTGGTTGTGATGACCATCCAAGCCAGAATAAGGATATGGCAAATAAGGGGCCTCCCAGGCATGCAAGCGGGACCCGACGATACTCCTCTATCTTTGACCATGGGGTACCACGGGCTTTGGCGTTAAGAATTATACGGTCATACCCGAAGAATATAGGAACGGCAAGAAGTGCGCCGACACCAACGGGCAGGTAACATAAGCCAGTGACTCCCGGAGATAGACCATAGACATTCTGGAATATAATTGGGAACGCTTGAAATGACATGTAGAAGATTGTGTAGACTAATGAAAGATAGAGACACGTTGCTAACACAATAAGTTCGGTTAATATCATACGGATGGGCCGTGTTAGGACCCTGGTGAACAACTGTTTAAAGTCATGTGGCTCAAGTTCTGAAGCGGAGTAAACCTGGGCTTTAGGGTTTGCCTTTCGGATTTTTGCTGCCCTTTGGCTGAGGAGAACCGGTGCATAAGTCTCGGGGAGGAAGAATGCCATTATTAACGTTACTCCCGCAATAATAAGGCCAATCCAGAAAGTCCATCGCCAACCAATACTTGTCGAGCAGAAACCGGATATGATCGGAGCTAATAGGGGTCCTAAGGCGGTCATCTTTAAATAGGAATCAGCTCTAGACTAGCATAGGTAGGCGTATATTTAGATTAGATTAGGTACTTACGGCCATGAAGCATGCCATAGCTCGACCACGTGTGACTGGATCATTAAATAAGTCCGCCAGAATTCCACTGACTACTGCGATCGGCGCGCTGGCACATGCTCCTACGAAAAATCGAAATACAAGCATCGCTGGCCAGTTGGGAGCGAGGGCACAGGCGAGAGTCCAGATTACGTACATTATGAAGCATCCTGTAGAGATATTTCGGCGTCCAAGATGTTCGCTTAACGGCCCCCCTGAGAACGAGAAGTTAGCTAACAGAATTCTCTGGTATGGCGGTGACACTTCAAGAAATAGGTAGGTACCTCATAAATTAACCCCAAGGAGATTCAAGAGTTACTTACAGAAAATCGGCCCAAATACATAACCCAGGAGATACGTGGATATTGGAAGGACAAATTGTGCTTGAGTAGTAACTCCCCATTCTTTTGTCATATAAGGGATGGCCATACTTGGTAGAGAACTGCCCAAGGTGCTATTGGCAACAGTAGCCATTGACGATGTAACAATGAAGGTCTTCCGCCCCTATGAAGGAGTTAGCGTCGCCGAAATAGAGCATGATTCGGGGGGGGGGGGGGGGGGATATGCTGACTAGAGACCAATTGTAAGGGTTTTCTTTGTCGTTGACCTCCCATGATATGATCGTTCTTCCTTCGGAACCTTGGAATTGACTCGGGTCTGGCGTATCGTCCGTCGGCACTCTGTTGTCTCCCTCTTCTACTTTATACCTGGCTTCTATATCTTGATTACTGATACTCTGAACAAGTTCTGCAAAATGGTTTAGACCACTGTCAAGTCTACGAATGCTCCTATGACTCGGCGAAGAGGCATTCGTGGCCACGTGGTTTAGCTGCGGTCTAAGGCCGGTCTGTATTGCGCTTGGATCTGTCATGACCGGGGCAGGATGGCCTGGGGGTTCCGTTGGCGAAATTGTCAATGCTGAAAGACTCTAAGAGCAAATAGTAGGGGCTAAAGGCTTAGCTACAGAGACAAGAATCCTATATAAAGAAAGATAGAAAAACTTCACCGGCGGGGATTGCGGCCACGGAAAGGGTCGACCGAAGTTTTTATGGGCCGCGATCTATAATGCCGACGCATGGCGACGCCGGACGCGAAAGGCGCACCGTGACGATCATCTTACCGATCTTGGTAACAACACATACCCTACGTCAATTATTGCGGTGAGAACAAGACACTTACGCCCTTAAACGGTTACTTAGACCCCTGAATATTTAAGAAAAGGAAACAGATACTATCTAATAATTCAACAGAGGACAAAGGGGTATTGCATTGAGTTCTGAACTCTATTATAAGCTTCATCAGGTCTATGACCCTGGCAATATGGATAGTATTTGCTTTCATACTAACTAACACTTTGAGAATGTGTATGTATTTGTAATAACCCTTGTACTCTTTTGACAGTACCACTATTTTTTGAATAATTTTTAATTGTAACCCTGGTAATTATTTCTGTGTCCACTTGCAGCTTGAAGACCGGCTCTGATCGGTAAGAGACCGACCATGTGTAGAACTATCTCCACTCAACGCCATATTCCCAGGTTTCTGGAGCCGCGATGAACGGCAGACGGTGTGGGTGTGGGGTAACTCGAGTGGGACGGGACACACTTGATAACGATGATTGGCTCATTTTAAGGCGACATCCATCGATCAAAGTGATAATAGCTCGTTTATGCATTTGTTGACATCTCCAGGGCTATTCCCGTAGCCGGATATCATTCCCATTGTGGAGACATTTACACTTTTCAAATATATATACATAACAAGGGCCTCACAACGATCAAGAGAACGTTACGGTGGATCGGTTTAACGTGAATCCGATTTAAAAAGAGCCAATCAAATATTTCCGATGTCGGATTTTAGATTAAAAGATCATTGCTATTGGTCCGACCAATACAAAATTTATCAGAAGAGGGTAGTAGTTGTGATACCCCTATACCAGACCACAGATATAGCAGAGCCACGCCTCGATTAAGTTGGGCAGAAATTCTAAAATAGACTTTTAGACTGCCTGAAAGTGAGAGTTTACCATTTCATTAAGAATTGTGGTAACTAGATGGGTTTTCGTAGAACTGTTCATAGCGAAGTCGGCGTATGACAAGAAGCTATTTCACTATCACTACCATACCCCTTTATTCGTAGCCGGATTATGAGTCAATTTCCAATGAGTTGAAGTATATCTACCTAGGTATTTAGTAGATCATAAAGATAACAACAATACGTACCTGTGTAGTAGAATAGGTAATTATATCGAAAGTGGGGTTTAAATGTAGTTTTAGTTTAAGATGTTTAACTATTGCAAAGTTTTAACATTACCTGCATCTCAGCTACCTGGGTAGCTTAATAGAAACATGACATATTTCTAATTTATTTATAACACTTGTATACCACTAAACCACAATTATATCCAAGACGAAAAAACCCTCTAATATAATCTTAGATATATTCATAGTTTCTTGTTGTTAAGCAAAGTTTGCGTCACGAGGTGGAGTAAGAAACATGGAAATAACAAAGTTGTTCCGTGAGGAACTGTAACTTAGCTACAGCAACCTATAGCTACCTATACATACTGACGGCATCCCTCCCTTGTTCTAGATTTACCATCTATAATCTCCATTATGGTTACTATGGAATCTCATTTCTAAATTATAGGTTCGATTCTTCCAGTAGTTAAAATTCTACCTTAGGTACTTAGTATATGAATCTAGAGTGTGCCTTAAGTGTAAATTAAGCCTCAGTTCAGATTCAGATACTGGGATCATGAGAGATTATTGGCTTCAAGTTCGAAATGATATGGCTACTTTAGATAGGGTTGAGCACAGTCTTAACAGTCAATAGATCTATGTCACGACCAACAACTATCATAGATTTAGGAGATGCTGTCTTTGCACATGTACACAACTAGCTTGAAACAATGGTACTAGTATTGCTCGCTTTCGGATCTTACTTGACTATAGTAGGGAATCAATATATCAATTATATCTTGGGCTTTAGGGAAGTAATACTGATTGATACGGATGTTGCATTGGCACGGCTTAAGAATAAATCATACAATGTTCGGCAGTAGTAGATTATTATAGGCATACCTCGTAGCGTAGTCACTTCGCTACACAGTCCTGGAGTGGCGTGTTTGACAGAAATTTAGTCAACGAACCATGCTCATCGCTATATAATGAAAAAGTATCCTGTTTCTCAACGATTGGTTCCGATAACACAACTGACGCCTTATGGGGTACCGCGCCAGCCGGCTCACAGCCAGTAGCACAAAATAGTCTCATAAACAGGACTAACATCTACAGTGACGGCGGTCTATTATAGCTTACAGTTCTAAAAAGGAAATACTAAATGATATCAAAGGTATCTTGCGCTATGATTCGTCCTCTCGCCAAGACTCAACCTTTGCAGCTTATCAGGTATACACTGAAGATTCCCATACGTGTTCGTTTTTCCTACATTATATAATCTGGGTAGCCTTGGCTTAACCTACGTGAAGCGGCAGAGTTACGTTACTGTAAAGGGTATTCTGCAGGGGGATTCTGGCATATAATGTAGATAGAAGTTAGCGTAAACATTTGATATAATAGAGAGATCTCACTACGTAGGTACATATGATACATGTGACGAGCATCGAAAAAGGTGTTTATAGGAAAGAAATAATGTTACTAAACATAAAGAAACATTACGACCCTTGCAACTTAAAGGATGATGAGTTATGAGCAACTGGGAGCAACTGAGAACCACCAAGGTACTTAGTTATGCTTGTTAGGATGAGAGGTAGAAATTTTAACGATTCACGTAAAGGTCAGCTCCTGAAAGTTGGACTAGGCATCTCAGGTAAATTATCAAAAGATTTAGAGCTACACCAATGCTTAGCAGCCCAGAGGCTTATTAAACATATTTATTTTCTATAGTTCCTTAGCTAAAGGATAATAATTGAGGTAAGGCCAATCCCGTCTATTTCTCGTCAAAACTCAGTGATATCAGTGATATCAATATCTAACAGCTTCAGGAAGTAAAGCCTACTAAAATCAGGGTGTATAAATTCGAGTTATTTATGTTGAGTTGGGAGAATTTGTTGGCAGTTTTGGTGCTTGCTTACCCCTATTGAGTACGTGGGTTGCTATGCTAGTCTGGCCTGTGACATTCTGGCTCGGCGACGGCCTCGTAGCCCCGCGCCGTTGGAGGCTTTGATCAGTTTCTACAAGCGCAGCAATATCATCAGTTCCCCTTAAATTCGTGAACGTGTATGACCTCCATTCTGCATTTCTGAAGTACCTTACTCCACCGGAGTAATCACCAGTCAAAAATGGTATAAATACCGAGTGGCTAACAACAGCGATGTGTAGGTCGGGTTCGTAACTAGATTGACTCTCTACGCTCTGGAGCATGGACAAGGCATATGCTCGAATGTCTCTTCTCGCTCGCTGGGCGCGCGCTCTAAGTTGCACGGGATCTGAAGACAGCGCCGATCCTGTTCGGTACCAATCATCATCAAGACTATCAGTATTAATCACGCTTCCGAAATTTCCTTCAAGTGTTGGAATGTCCTCTCCGATATTGCACGGAGCGTTACCAGTCTCTTGTAGATCCGCATGCAAATCAACCCTCAATCCATTAGCAACAAACTGCCCAAAACACATTAAAGCAGTTTCGATTGCTCGATTTTGCGGCGATGAAAGGATAGCGTCGATGGTGAAAGGAAATGTTTGTTGTACATGTACACATTGCTGCAGCCCTTCTACGGTGAGAAAAGGGTCGCGCATCATTATGGCATGGCTTAAAACATTATGAGGGCCTTGAGCGTGGCGAACTATATGAATCGTTACAGACATGATGATAAGTCAACTCTTTGTTTTTACGATGAATCAATCCCCAGGGTGAAAGCGTTTAGTGTGATATGCTATTGATATCCACACGACGTGATACTTCTGCTTCTTATAGTTTTCCTAGATCTCGCACACATTGTTATTGTTGAATAACAACTCGGCTGTGTCCTGAAGCTAGTGCTAGAATTAAACAGTAATATCTAGAGTTATCTTTTATAAAGACATAGTTATTGAGAAAGAGTCTCATTGTGGCATTGGTGTCCAAAGTGATGTATTGGGTTGACACAAAGGCATAAAAGGAGGCGTTTCTAATACAAATGATATGGGCGTAAATTTAAGAAACATTTCGGAAACTGTATCTTGTTAATGGTATGAGATGTTTTGAATATCGAAATATCATGCTATTCTTGAAACTGTCCCGAACGCTTGCAAATGCATTATGTGATATGTATTAGGTTAGGTAGGTAGCTATATGTATAAACAAAGTCTTGAGTGATAGAAGTACCTCGTAACCATACGAAGATGGAAAGTCCCGACCTATTGAAGTTTGTAACATTCTTCCCTTTATCTGCTCATGTTACGGTAAGATGAGGCAATCAGCTAGGTACTTAGATACGTAATATTGTAATAGATATATATATCAAAAGGTAGTGACTGATTTATTAGGACAAACATACGGATAACAATTAAGGAGTCTCCAGCTATGGAAATTAACCTTTTCATAATTTCATTACTAGTTAACACAGCCGGAAACCAGGTAGCAACCGGCCTTGGGTTGAATGGCGCGCGCTACCATTAGTAGACTCCAGGAATAATGACATATTTCCCCTTAATTTTATCATCGCCGAACTTTTCCTTATACCACTTCCCACCAGACACAGCGCGGGGTAGCATGGCAAAAAATTCGTTAATTAAGAAGGACCTCGCGGGTGTGCAGGGGATGCCGGCGGCGATCCAGTATCCCAGCCACTCGACCCATTCCATGAAGTAGTGGGGATAAAGCATATACTTGAATAGCCCATTCTGTGGAACTTCGTAATGCTTGTCGACGGTTCTGCCCTGTTGCTTTAATTTTGCTTGGCGCCGAAGTTCACCTCGGCGGATCTCTCGTAGTTCCTCGTCAGAGAAATAGTTTGCGGCGAGTCCAACATAGAAGAGGACAAGTCCTATTGAGAATTGCAGAACAGACCAGTTCTGGGCTTTCCATTCTTCTTGGGTGGTTGGCCCGTATGCTGCTAGCCAGCTGCCTATGCAGGTGGCGTTGCATAGTTGAAAAATGATAGCATTACTCCAGACAAGCACGTGAATGGGAGACATGGACGGCTGGATGATGGGGAAGATAACGGCACGGTAAGTGTAGTGAATAACGAAGAGGCCAGCAAGGACTTTGTTTTGCCACGGTAGGTCCTCAATGCCGTGCTGAGCTGGAAGCGTGCTCATGATATATAAGAGAGTGGTAAAACCGGGAACCTCCATCGTCGCCCAGGCAATTCGTCCGGGTAGATTGAACTTGCTTTGAACTGAGGTTTTACCCATGCCATACCACGAATTAATCCATTGGAAAGACGCCAACTGAGTGAAAAATTAGTACTGCTACATTGAAGGGCTGGACGATAGAAACATACTAGAGGGTAAAATCTCCACCAGAATAGGACTGTTTCGTAGTTTTCTTGGCTGGCTGGGAGCCAATCTTGAACAATAGCCATAGCGAGTAGCTTTGCGATCAAGAGCGATTCGAATATTCGAAATGAATTGTTTGTCACTAAAGGAGGTACAGGATTCTGAAGCTAGCCTCATGAACACATCGGAGACAGGATTTTGGAGAAGTAAATATTACTACAATTAAATGATTTCATCGATGTAACATGGAATTGGTATCCGGAATAAGGATGGTCTGATCGGAAGATGGCGAAATTGAATATCCGACACTATTCTGAATTGTCTTGCTCTGCCTTGCCTTGCTTTGGCCGCCTATAGAAAGTTTAATAGTAGCAATGCGAAATTCCGGTGACGTGAGTAACACCTATAAGAAATTTCCCAAAGTAAAGCTACCTAGGTAGTTAATGTCTAGGTACCGAATATATTGAAAGCTTGAATGTCGTGATTGTTCAAATGGGGAGAAATGTCACCGAGGGCTAAAATAGGTTAAATCTAATGAATGTTTACCCAAGCCTATGTGGGTAATACATTAGGTACATAAGATTAATGATTAAACTACCTAATGTATGTAGGTATAGTTATACATATGGAGAACCTTGTTATGTGCCCTGCTAAGTGTGGCTGAGTTATTATCTTCGTAGCTTAATAGGTATATACCTAGGAGGTAGCTGACGACCGAGCTTAGCTACACGCCACCGCCACTATTCGTACTTATTGATTGCCAAGATTGTCTGATTCCTATGTACATAGTAGATACTAACGGACTAGCTCTTCTCTAGTGACGTTACATGATTTGCTACCCGTTTGCTTCTAACTCAACTCAAACTCAAACTATCCACTTCCAACCTACCTACATACATCATACCTATGTATGTACCTAAACTGCTAAAGTACCGAGCACTGAACTCTCAGTTCTGCTATTCGCTTTTAATTTACCTCCTAAGATATAAACACTTGAAACAATATATACCTAAACACTTGCAGCCCATTAAACTTGTATCCTTTCATCGAAGTCTTACTCTCTTAATCTGAGTGCTTTTTCAAATTCTTTTTCCAGTGCCACAACCATTCCATGCGAACGAACATTACGGTGATGACGCAATCACGAGCTTTATGATTGTTAACCATTTCATATTAGCGAGATTACCTGCTCGAATCGTCTATCAACCAACTTTGATCCGAGATTGTCTGGGAGATAACCAAACTCGGCCGTATTAACTTGGCCGAAATAACACCATGGTCGCACGAAAGCCGCTTCCTGACAGTTCCTCGGCGAACACCAATACACCTCCACCCGCAGTTAGCATACAAGGTGTAAGACAGGAGCTGTGGCCTCCTAGTGATTCCGAATCAGAATCAGCTAAAGCGTGGGCGAGGGAGGATCCCGCAATATCTAACCAAGGTCACACGGACCCTGCGGCTTCGGGGAGCCATAATACATCACAAGATATACCCCACGTCCTTCAACCTGGCGCTACCTATCGTCATGAAGAAGCAAATCCCTGGGATGATCGTGATAAGAATAATAGCGCCGATCCTGTAACCGAGACCAAAGTTAAGCTAGATGAAATGCCAAAAGCTCTCTGGCCAGGAGGTACACGATTCGAAACAAATCCTTTCAAACGGAAGCCAGTACAGGCCAACCCGACTCAAGATAATCAAGATAATCAAGATAGTCAAGAATCACCGGTAACGTCTGCGAATCCTCCTTCAGCGCCTCCCCTTACTTCTGTACCTACGGGGCCTACGGGGCCTACGGGCGCATTATCTCAACTACATATTTCCGAACCCGAAACGAATACAAATCCCTGGCAGCCGGCGCTTGGCGATTCTAGGCCCCCCAATACTTTACAACCAGTACCGCTCCCATCCGATCAGGAGTCTAAGAGAAATGTCTGGGACTCGGATTTGCCGTCGAGAGCGACTTCTACTGGAACTGTGTCAAATTCTCCCGCCCTATTACCTTTACATACTGGGGGGGGATCTCAACCATGGGACGATGCGTCTCCAAATCCTCCATTGCAACCACTACCAGGGAGATCTCGAGAGGCAGAAGAAATTCTCGACGACCAGCATGCATGGGACGATCTTGGGCCCAGCAACAAGGGTAAACAACCAGACTTACAAGAGTCACATGTACACTCAGAGACCGTCGACGGCTGGAACCTAATTGACCACGAGCCAATACCGGAACCGGGACCAGGGACTCTATCCAAGCAAAGTACTTGGGAAAACTTCATGGATGCAGATGACGAAAGACCAAAGGAAGAAACGGCTCCTACGACGGCAGCTCCCATAACGGTAGCCCCTTCAGAGGTGCCACCGGCTTTACCACCGCGGCGAGCGTCGAACGAAGAACCGCCACCACAACAACCACCCAGAAGACAGTCACCGGGCGCTACAAGTAAATCGGAAACATACCAGATTAAAAATATCAACTGGCTTGATCCTACGGCGGCTAAGAACCCTCGGAGGTCGCCTATACTTGTGCAAAACGCTAATGGCCCTTGTCCTCTGGTTGCGCTCGTTAATGCGCTTACTTTAACGACGCCTGCTAGTCAGGCGAATTCAAATCTTGTCGAGACTCTAAGGTCTCGCGAACAAATCAGTTTGAATTTCCTTCTTGAAGCTGTCGTTGATGAGCTTATGACCCACCGACATACCAACCCGGAGGTGTCCTTGCCAGATATGACCGAACTATATGCATTTCTTAAAGGTCTTCACACCGGTATGAACGTCAACCCGCGGTTTATCCCGAGTTCTGAGGCTTCCCCTTTGCATACTCAAAAAGCATCTCAAGAAAATCTTACCCCGGGGACTTTTGAGAATACCCGGGACATGAGGCTTTATGCTACGTTTTCCATTCCCTTGATACACGGCTGGTTGCCCCCGAGGGATGACCCAGTATATGATTCCTTCACTAGACAATCATCCTCATACGATGATGTACAGAGCATATTGTTTCGAGAAGAAGAGCTCGAGGATAAGCTTAGCAATTCTGAGATGGGTCTGACTGAGCAGGAGCAGCAACTGTATCAAGACATCATCATCATAAAGTCATTTCTTAGTACTTCGGCAACACAACTCACTCCATGGGGTCTTGAGGTGATTACTAAATCTATTCGTCCTGGGACAGTGTCTATTCTGTTTCGGAATGATCACTTTTCTACTCTATACCGGCATCCCCAGACGCAAAAATTATTTACTTTGGTAACAGATGCAGGCTATTATACACACGATGAGGTCGTTTGGGAGTCACTAGTAGATGTTCGGGGCGAACGGACCGAGTTCTATTCTGGCGATTTCCGTATAGTCGGAGGGCCTCAACACCAACGATCATCCGGAAATGTTCCAGGTAACTGGAATGGAGAGGGAGGCTCAGGTAGCAATTCTCACGGGAGCGGATGGCAGACAGTCCAGAATCGGCGATCGCGGAATAGCCGGGCTAGCGAACCAGATCCCAGCACGTCTATTCCACTGAAACATGAGCAAGAAGATCGAGATTTGGCTTTAGCTTTGCAGTTGCAAGAAGAAGAAGAGGAACGACATCGCGCAGAACAAGCTGCTCGCCGTCGTGAGAGCCAACTGTCTGAGCAATTTATCGAGCAGCAAGGCCGACAAGGCCCCCCAACCCGCGGAAGTCATAACCAACGTGGTTCTATTGGTAGGGGCAGCAATGGTCCATTGCCGCCAGCGAGGATTAGTTCAGCTAATCAATCTACAAGCACGGTGGCCAGTCGAGGAAGGCCGGTACAGCAAGTCAGGTCCCTAATTCCGCCGGCTTCGACAACCCATCGGCCCGGGGATGATCATGTGGACGATGCACCACCAAGTTATGAACAAGCTTCCAAGTCGACCCCGTACGTACCACCCGCAGGACATCCGAGTCATCCAGAGAGCAGTCCAAGTAGCCCGAACGCAACTCCTAGGGGGAGATCTGCATTTGGTGGACAGAACAGCGCTGGACCCAGTACACCAGGGAGGGGACGCCAGAGCGCACCCCCTGTCCCTGCTGGAAATACCACCTCAGCAGGAGGGGGCAAAGAAAAAGAATGTATTGTAATGTAACGAGATGCCACCATGCTACACACACTTGATTTACACTACGATGGGACTACATGGTTATTAGAGATGGGGTTCATTGGTTATGGATTACATGTGGCTTTGTGGGAATGGAATCATGGGCTACGGGGATTGTATTATTAAGGGAATTAGCAGAGTACCGGTCACGACGAGTTTACGCAGGGAATATATGATTATGTCCTCATTCATCCAATAAGATACGCAAGGTAGTTTCAATTGCTTAAGCACTTGCGTCTATCGAGCTGTTTTCTTCGCAGTCTTTTTATTCTAATATATTATCGTGCTCTATTTTAATATTGGGGGGTTGAGAGCAATGTCTGCAACTCATTACCGATTAACATAGTTAGATAAAGTACCTAAAGTACCTAAAATATCAAGATAAAGAAATTAGCTAACTAGTGATCTCCTTATTCAATATGTCTTCTAACCTCAGCTTCACTATCTCTTCTTCTTACTACCACCGCAGTCACAAGAACCACCACAAACACAACCTTCTATCTCCACCCCTACGCCGCTCCCTCTACCGCCACCGCCACCGCCACCACCGCCTCCTCCTCCTCCACATCCATCTCCATGATCCGTAATACTATCATCGTCATCATCGGCGCCATCGTCATCATCATCCCCACCACAATGACACTCGCAAAATCCCCCTCCTCCGCCGCCGCTACCCCCTGCTATCACTGCTGCCGTAGCCCGGAAACATATCTCACCTCGACAGCCACCACTTCCACTTCCACTTCCTCGGCAGCGGCAACGGTTATGCTGATGTAAACCGGGATGCGCATGATGTGCATGAGGTCCGTGGTCAGAGCAGTACAGCGGGTTCACCGCCGTGCCCTCGCGCCGATTCGCACAGTCTGCTTGTCGCAGCAGCGCCGCCATACACATGTGGTCCGCGCACCACTGGCTTCCCGCGACGCCACCGCCGCCGTCGTACGTCTGCTTCCGGCATGTGGGGTCCGCGCACTCATGTTTTTCGCAGAAGAGACCCCGGGTTATATCCACGCGAGGCTTGGAGCAGGTTGGGTGGAGAGCGCAGGAGTGGTCGCGGCACTAGCATAGTTGATAATTAGAGGTTAAGAGGCTTATTTCCTGCTGGCATAGAAGAAAAAGGGGTGGAGGAGAGAGTTGATTTCAGTTAGGTCATGGAAAGAGGGTAGGACTTACGGCCTGGGCCCCGTCACCTTCCACGCGCTGCCCTTCGCATGTTGCTGATGCTGCGCAGAAGTGCCGAAAGCAATATTTGGCTGGTCGGTGCGAGATGTCGTGGAATACGAGAGACTCGCACCCGTCTGCCTGGCATACTTGGTGGCCGTGGCAGTAGTACGGGGGACCTTGGCCCGGAGGCGGAGAGGATGAAGAGTCGCTGTTAATACAGTTCACACATCCCCTGCCATGGCATGTGTGTTGGCGACAGCACTACAATGACGGATTAATAAACAAAATGCATTCACTAGAAAAGGAGTCCAAGGAATATTAATATATAGTAAGAGTGATAGCCCTATAAAGCAATCCTAAGTCTCGAAATCACGGAAAGGGGGACAAAGAATTTGGTACAACGTACGAGACCCGGACTCTGCCGCGGCTGGTCGCAATCCTTGATGTTGCAGGAATGTTTATTACAGTATGGTGAGCTCTTCTTTGGACATCGTGGTTCTTTGCATTCGGTGAGAGCACAACCATCTAGAACAACCGGCTATTAGTAGAGAAGACGATAACTTTAAGTGGAATTTGTAAATGTGGCTTATAGGGAGATAAATTAAACAGTAGGGGTGAGACAAACGTTTCTCGGCGCAGAAGGGGAAACTCGGGTTATGCCCCTTTCTTGGACAATGGCACCTCCGGCCTGCTTCGATGTATTTGCAGCAACGATCTAAGAGTAGAAGGTAAACCATGTTGGTGATCTGCTTGTTCAAAACTTCCGAGAGAACCTCCCCCATCAAGGCCTCCCGTTTGATCTTCCTCCCCTCCTTTTCTTTATACCTATCCTGTAAGGGATCAGAGGTAAAGAACGGGGCAAAACTCACGGTGATGACAAATCTTCTCCTCTCCATGACCACGCTTTAAACACGTCTTAAACTTGAGACATACTGTACAAGCGTGATGTCGACAATAAAGAGAAGACGCCGTGTTGCCCATAACCCTTCTGTTGCTGCAAGCCCTCACGCGGCACTTGAGGTCCGCGTGGAAGCACAGCTGCCAAGGCGACAACGCCATGTCTCCCGTTTCTATTGACCTCAAAAAATAAGTGTTCCTAGGCTATTTTATTGTAAGCTGTAAAAAGTGATGAGGGATTACCCTATTCTCTGAGGGTGTTGATGGGTCCAAGATTACCTGGACTTGAAGATGAGTCGACATCTTTGACTCAGTACGGGCTCCGAAGACAAATATAACGGCCCGGAAGCTTCTCATGACCCAAACAGCGAGACAGATAGGCATCAACGTGGTGGAGCTAACACGGGCATGACGTGTTCGATGGGCGTAGGCAAAGCTTGAGGCGACCGATCGAAGCGATCAAACATCTCGAAATGGGTACTGTGCCCCGACCACGATATTCTTTGTGTCCAGCAGGCTCCCGTAGGGCCGGCGACTTCATAATGACCATAACATACCTTAGTAGGTAGTTTGTTATATCCATAATCTTGTCATAAGCTTGGCAAGGTTAATAATATGAAGTAGGCTGCGGCTCAAGTTTATCAAGGATGGATGCGAAACGGTTGGCCCGTTTTTACTAGGTAGCTAAGTATAAGGCTGAGTCAAACCTGGACGGATATCAGTGCTAAGATTACGATGTTGTGAGATCAGCAAGATGTCGCTGTCCAGTACATAAACTTTGTTTTCACGCATGTCTCCGTAGAATATGATATTGTTGGTGGACGGAGAAAAACGCGGTTATGGCGAACGACAGGAAATTCTAGAAGGCCACCCTATAATCTTTATCGGTAGAGCGCATCATCACTCGCACGTATCCGCGCCCAGGGCTGAGTGTTTACGGCCCGCGGGGCGGATCCAGGCGAATTTGTATAACACAATCCACAACTGGAACCCGGTGCAACTAGAAAGGCTGACTTGTTAATTCGATTTATACCAACTATGTAATGTTTGTCCGGCTATGCCTTGACGATCTCGCTGCCTCCGAATCACCAAAATCGCCCATGGGGTATCAATCATGCATGACATGAGTCTCGTGAGTTATACCTAGAAAAATCATACGCCGTGTCCTTCCATTAGAACTGAATACTATTCAGTCGACGTGGCGGCGGGTGTAGCAGAATTAGTAGAGGGTCTTGTTCCTTCATCAGAGTAGGCTGTAGCGGCAATAGCAGCTAGGGCGTTATTTTCCCTTTCCCTTTCCCTCTCTCTTTCTCTTTCAAGAGCGGCTCTCAAACCAAGCACTGCAGCGTCCACACTGCTGAGTTCATTCTTCTCTGGCTCACTGCTTTCTAAGGCAGTAGTTGTTGCCGGTGCCATGATGGGTGGGGATATGGTAGAAGTAGCTTGAGTTGTCATCGGAACCATCACTGGAGGTGTAGGAGTATTTGTCATAGAAGTCGTATGTCGCTCAGCTTGGGAAATATGTGGTTGAGTGTGGTGATGAGACGTTGATGTAAAAGTGGGGAGGCTGACCGGTTGTGGTGCGGGTATTACTGGACGGGGTAGAGAAGATGGGGTTGGTACAGACTGCTGTATTGGTTGATGTGGCATTCTTGGTGTTCCTGGTTGCGATCCAGGGTGCGACAACGGCTGGTTGGGTGTTGCGCTTCTGGGCACTCCTGCCGAAGGGCTATGTCTCGATGAAGCATTGTTTTGCAGCCCGCCAGCCAATGTTAAGATACCATTTATGTGTGCTTGCTGTTCCTCCGAATTGAGTCTTGCTTTCTCCTCAGCCTCCTTTCTAGCAGCCTGCGTAGGAGCCCTGGTCTTCAGCTCGCCGGTAACGCATTGAAGATAGTATGGCATTTCCGAATTTGTCTTGAGGAAGAATAACTTCAAATTTCTAGCTTTATCCTTCAATTGCACCTGGGTACGGTCTGCGAGGATATTGCTGATAGATCCGTTGGGTCCAAAGAGGGATAATATTTGCGACCAATGAGGGCCTTTGACCATATCAAGTCCCATCATAAGTGCTTTTTCTTCCTCTGGGCTCCAAGGACGTCGAGTAGAGTGAGAACCTTCCCGTCGTGCATGAGTGGAAGACCGTGCTGCTGCCGCTTGTCGGGCACGCTCATAGAGCGCTGGGGTCGAATCGCTCTGATTCGGAGGGAGGTTATCATTGACTGTTTGATACGGAGGCATCCCATTAGCTGCGTGATGTTGCTGGTAATGGTAATACTGTTGCTGTGGCTGCGCCTGCTGCGTCTGCTGAACCTGATAGTTGTTGTGATTCGGAGGTTGGGCCGAGGGTGTTTGAGCTACATCAGGTGAACCGTCATTTCTCTCGCCATCAATATTACTGAACCTACCAGGAGCTTGGGGAAGTGTCGTCGGGTGATACTGGTTCTGTTGAATGCTTTGTAAAGCTAATAAAGTCGCTCTGGAGGCACTCTCAGCCGCAGATGCGATAGCGGATGGTAGTTCTGAATTTGTGGCACTTTCTTTAGCCTGCTCGACCGCCTTAGAAACATTTTCTGCGAGGAATGCCGAGAGGTCATCTAATTCGTGAGACTCTTCTCCAGTTGTTTCCAAAGCACTCTGTGCTGCCCTTGAGGCCTCAGCAATCATAGCGTTAATGTCAAAAGTCTCGTGTAAAGTTTGGCCTTCATGTTCGTCTTGAGCAATATCCTCCATTGGCGTTGTAGTTTCTACCCTTCCGGTACCTTGAGTTCTAATACTTTCTATGTGGTCATTCAGAAACGTGCTTAGATTATCGAGAAATGCCTCATATGTAAACTGTTTGCTAAGCGCCTCTGGGGAATGGTTAGAATTATTATCTGTGAGCTTAATTAGACGTGGCAAACATACGAATACTATCCATGTCGTCAGATTCATTAAGGAGCATTGCTTTTCGCGCTTTTGCATTTGCAATAAACTCGCATTCAGTAGCCGTCAACGGAAGACTTGGGTGGTGTTCTTGCAAAGAACTCTCCAACCTTGTAATAAAGAGGTCGTCTAGAAACTGGTCCCTGGCCTTTTCTTGTTCACTTTCTAAAACGGCAAGGAAAATCTGAGTCTTCAGGCCCATGTATAATTCCGCTGCATCCCGAGGTATTTCGTGGTTCTCGGGAACGAATATTCGTAGGAAATGATCGTTGACCTCTTCTAAACCAAGCTCGTTGGTGCCAAAGACACTTGCGCATGTCGTTGCAAGATTCACTATCCTGATCACTTCTCGAGTCTGATTCGCGACGTTCAAGTGTTCTGGATATAATAATGGATACGTATCTGAAAGTTGCTTTCGCTGAACATCGAAAGCGCTTTTTAATAAAACGTATTCTTTCGCGATATCTGAATCTGAATCGCCGCTTAGAGTAGCGATTGTGTCCTCTAAGGATTGTTCGGACCATGCAGTAATAATGTCGACAGCCTAGAAATCCTTAGTCGCTTCAACACAAACAGCGGGTCCGGGAAACACTCACTAGGCTCCCAAGTGCAGGTATGATATGCTTCCGCCGCGTAAAATCTCTAGGGTTACTCCACAGAGACTCGGGGCGCGGTTCTGGGTTATCGACAGGGCTAGGTGCCCGCGGTTCGAATTCCGTATCTAATCCCGATATATCGTGGTGTATATCATGGGTTATATCATGAGCTATATCGTTGGATATATCGTGGAAATGTTCGGCATCATTAGAGGGAGCGTCGTCAACCTTGTCGGACTCTGACTGAAAGTGCTGCATAGCTTCAGCCTGAGCTTGCTGGACAAGGAGGGCAATCTCATCCATCTCATTCACCCCTTCGCTTTCTATCTTGGGCCGCTTTTCGTCTCTAGCTTGGTCGCCATCTTGGTCGGGGGTTCGCGGTCTCTTTAGAGGTGACTGTGGGAGTTGGGGTGAATGATCCAAGACCATAGCATCACCAACTGACGACTCGATCTTAATATGAGGGCCTAGATTCATCGGCGTCAGTGGATATGTTTCTTTTTAAAGGAATTCATGCGAAACAATAGTATTTAGGTGACTTGCCATCCTAAGGAATCCAAGGTTCAATGAATCAATGAATCAATGAACAAAGTGCAAAGAAATCAAAGTTTGTCTACTTACTGGTCGGTGGCGCGGCGGCAGCGATGGCTGCCGCAATAGCCTCAGCGACATCAGCCATATGTTAACTTAGTATAGGCGACAGTAGGTACATTGACACTGAAACTCAATGGTAAAGCAATTGGTAGTTGCTGCCGTTAACAGGTAAAATGAGTTAGATGTCTTGATGTACCTATCAACGTTCTTGGAGCGCTGATAATGTAGGTAGATAATGATACCGGCGAAAATTTGGTCAAAGCGCCCGATAAGATTAGAAGATTGCCCTCATTTCTTGCCCCAACAGCTTTAGATCAACGCGATACACAAATGCAAGTCCAAAAACTTAAATTTCTCCAAAGACGAAATCTTTATTTTTACCTAATACACCGGAAACTATCTAACGTAGTGAAATACGGTATTACAGATCTAATTATAGAAATAAATCATAACGTGAATATCTACCTTGATCCAATGTAGAAGCGTCATTTTATCACAAGAGGGTTTAATAATTTTGAGCATTTGAAACGCTATCAGACTTAAGGCGAGCGGTTAGTCGTTCTCTTCAAACGGATATAGCATCTCATCGTATATCACTATAAATTATTAAAAAAATACAATAGCTTGCTTCTTTACATCTAGGTATATATATTTGAAAGTAGCTGGGTGTTCTTAGCAATATCGTCATAAGTACAACTCCAACTAACCTATTTCTTAGGACAATTATAATTGGTTGTCCGGTCGTTAATTCCGTATAGATCTAAGCTAAGCACGAAGTTTAGGTGGCGCCAGGTATCATAGCAATGGATGAGGCTCAAGACTGGAATGCAGATAACGTCAGTTGATCTAACCCCACGACATGCTAACGCATGCTAAGCACCGAATCAAGTCTGCTAGCTACAGAAGTATATAGTCGGTCCCAATAGACTACAGAAAGACACTATATATAAAGTAGCATCCATGTAATCGGGATGTTCTTACAGTCGATCATACTACCCTTATTCCTTTGAGGATAGTAAAAACTATAACTCTTGTTGTTGCTTAGACATGGTTCTTATATGTAGCCAAAAGTATTTTCTCATGGGTATAATACAGACTACGACACAGAACAAGTACAACTGAAGAAATATTATAATCGAATCATATTCTTACGGCAGAACTCCTAAGTTTATCTTGGGTTCGAACGAGAATAACTTGTATCCATACACTACGGCTGACTAGCTACCTCGACAAGCTCGATCCTTGAATGTCGAGCACCGGTGTCTTTTCATCCGCGCCGAGTTCATCATAATACCAAGCTAGGAGAATAAATAGAACACGGGGGTTTTTAAAGGGTCCATCAAGGTGGGCGGCTATGCTCGCTACCTGTTGACCCGAGATGATATCTAACATAACAATTAAACCTTTTAAGATATATTTTATAAGAGATACGGGATGTATTATAATGAGATTCGACTTAGAAGTAGATGAGTGCGAGTACGAATATCACACAAAGATCAAGAAGCAACCTAGACTGTATTAATTTCTACTATTTACTATTTCCAAGTCCATACGTACCATGTGCCTAGGATACTCTATGTACTATTCCGGAATGTTCCGTCTCGACAATAGATACGTGGGGTCCCCGGAGAACTAGGTGGGGTATACTAGACAGATGGACAGGTGAACAACGAAATGCGTCGTAGGATTTCCCCCTACCCGGAGCTTGCGGAGCCACTTACTATAGAATGTTACACGAAATCGCGTTATTGAACCGTTCGTCCGTCCGTTCGACCTTTGGATCGTGTACCCAACACGTCTAGTTCTGTTGGGTTTCCGATCGCGGTGGCTAACATATGACCTCTGGTGAACCAATCATGAGTAACACTGACGCGCTATAGACGCAAGAATTAACGCGTATAAGCCAACAAAGTATTTCGTCACAGAGATGAGGTTATCTTAGGACCAAAAAGGCAGTCGTAAGCCCATCTAGCTTATCAGCTCACTTATCAATTCACCTATCAACTCACCTATAAGTAAGCTGGAGCTATGCGGCTCCTCTTTGTTCCCCTCGAATAAACTTCCATTAATCCGTACCGAATCGGTGGTCTACACGGTGTTGCTTCACCTGCACAATCGGGGGGCATGTCCTCTGGTAAGCACCTAAAAATCATAGAATTCCTCCACAATGCGGGGGACACTAGGTCCAACTTAATCAACTAATGCGGTCAGCCTTCGGTGCTGGCAGTCTGGTCAGCTAGTGTGGCAAAATCCCCTCTTCAATCTGATGAAGTGAAGGTTGTATATTCCATTGTGTAGTAAGTTTTGGTTAACGTATGCAGGTGACTTCATGACGCCGTTTAAAGAGCCGATTTGGTTTTGGTTCCCTACCTACCTAGGTACCTAACAAACAAGTTACGACGTTCAGTTAGTTACTGGTATCTTAGTAGGAACTTATCTATCTCCTAAGTGCGGGGTAAACAAAGGTTAGGTACCTATCTAGGTAGACATTAATTCAGGTACAGAACTAGCAGACTACCTGAGACCCTTAGTGTTACTAACTTACGGATCCGTATGTTAGTAGGAACCACCTACGGCAAGCGTGATAGATCTCGGTGCTTAACTGACCAATGAAGCTAACTCCTGCAACTCCTTCTCCATAATCCAAAAGCAATATCTCCTTGGTTGCCCCGGAAAGAGCCCCATGCGTCCGAGAGAGTGGAAATTGTTTATCCACAGTGATATGTTAGATAGTGGATCTTGTGTACCTAACATCTTGTCTGTTTGTCTAAGATACTAGGTATAATTGGGGTAATCGGTGGCTGCCCCTCGCCACGCGCAATGACACCGTCGAATCTTACCCCGCCTTTATACCCACCTGTTACATGTACCTTTGAAAGTATCTTCCATACAAAAGACCCGTAACTTGAAGCTTCCCCCTCTTCTTATTTTCGACTTACATATAACGCCACTTAACCTACCGTACAATCGCAAGACGTTTCTCTCATCTCAATATATAATAAGTGCAATTTAACAGGTCGACACCTCTTACATCTTCTTACATCTTTTTTTACCCCTCGCATAGAACAAATAGCTTTGATACCACCATGCCTCTATCAGTGCAGCTGAAGACGCCAATTACCGGCGAGTATACTCAGCCAACCGGCTTGTAAGTCAGCACTAAATACCTAACAGCACTACCAATCAAAGATAGCTTTACGGCTTCTCAATTTCCGTATTCGTCCATCAGCTAATTGCTCCTGTTTAGGTTTATCAACAACGAGTGGGTTGAGGGCGTTGACAAGAAGACCTTCGAGGTTATCAACCCCTCTACTGAAGAGCTCATCTGCTCCGTGAGTGAAGCCACAGAGAAGGATGTCGACATAGCAGTAGCCGCAGCCCGAAAAGCATTTAACGGCTCATGGCGCAAAACCACTCCTCAGCAGCGAAGTATCTACCTAATTAAACTGGCAGATATTCTGGAGAAGAATGCGGATTTATTAGCTGCAGTTGAGTCCCTTGACAATGGAAAATCTATTTCTATGGCCAGGGGTGATGTGAGCGCAGTTGTTGGCTGCATCAGATACTATGGTGGTTGGGCGGACAAGATCGAGGGTAAAACCATTGACATCAACCACGAATCTTTCCATTACACCAGGCAAGAACCGGTACGTAAAAACCCAAAGAGGATCTTTCTGAAATAAAATGGGCGCTAACGATCTATAGCTTGGAGTGTGTGGTCAAATTATCCCCTGGAACTTCCCTCTGTTGATGTTGGCTTGGAAAATTGGACCCGCTCTTTGCACCGGAAACACAGTTGTTCTCAAGACTGCCGAGCAAACGCCACTCTCCGGTCTCGTTTTTGCTCAGTTCGTCAAGGAGGCTGGTTTCCCTCCTGGCGTTCTCAACATCATCTCCGGATTTGGAAAGATAGCTGGTGCTGCCATCGCTTCCCACATGAACATCGACAAGGTCGCATTCACCGGCTCCACCATCGTCGGCCGTGCCATCATGAAGGCCGCCGCATCCTCCAATCTCAAGAAGGTCACCTTGGAACTCGGTGGCAAGTCACCCAACATTGTTTTCGACGATGCGGATATTGAGCAAGCAATCTCCTGGGTCAACTTTGGTATTTACTACAATCACGGTCAATGTTGCTGTGCTGGTTCCCGAGTTTACGTACAAGAAGGAATCTACGATAAGTTTATTGCGGCGTTCAAGAAGCGAGCAGAGGAGAACTCCGTCGGCGACCCCTTCGACGAGGGCACATTCCAGGGCCCGCAGGTCAGCAAACTTCAATATGACCGCATCATGGGATATATTGAGGAGGGTAAGAAGGGTGGTGCTACCATTGAGACGGGTGGTGAGCGTCACGGAGAGAAGGGCTACTTTATCAAGCCAACAATCTTCACCAATGTCACTCATGATATGAAGATCATGCAAGAGGAGATCTTCGGCCCTGTCGTGGCAGTAGCCAAGTTCAAGACCGAAGAGGAGGTTGTACATCTAGGCAACGATAGCACTTACGGACTGGCAGCTGCCGTACACACCAGCAACCTCAACACCGCTATCCGAGTCAGCAACGAGCTACGTGCTGGCACTGTCTGGGTTAACAGTATGCATTCCCTGTTCCTCTTTTCATTCATGCAAGTACATATGCTAACAAAACATTACTTCTACACAGGCTACAACCTCATTCACCACCAATTGCCATTGTAAGCATTCTTTTGTTCTCAAGTTATCATTAAATAAATACTAATGTGTTACAGTGGTGGTTACAAAGAAAGTGGCATCGGCCGCGAGCTGGGCGAGGCAGCACTCGCTAACTACACGCAAAACAAATCAGTGTCCATCAGGCTGGGTGGCGCGATGTACTAGGTGGCGGGTGTCGAGATTCATTTATCAAATTAAATATCAAAGCGTGCTTTCGGGATTATCCAATAACCGTTCTTTATCATGTGTATCTAAACACCTGTTGGCTTTAAGAACATGATTGAATGAGGTCGTGGGAGGACTGGTTCCTACGTGTATCAATATTAGCTACCTATATTAGCTAGCTAGCTTACCATGGCGCATGTCCATTGGTACAATATGAAAGTTAACTGAAATAATTTAGCTTGGCTCTGCTATTACTCGATGTGACAGTATGTAGAATTCGTTGAGGATACAATACAATACGCTTAATTAATAGGTAGATACGGTTATTAATGTTCGATTAAATTCTCTAGGTTATATTTTTAGGTACGGATATGTTGTTTAGTTAATTTTGCATAGTTAGTAATACCCCATCGGATCATTAAGTGAGGTTATTATGGCAAGATTACTAGGCTGCCCATTTAGCAAGTACCTAATAATCTCTCACTTAAGAAACTATTAACTGCCGTTGTAATTAATCAAGAGACTATACGGGATGATAGAAATGAGACCCATATCATAGCAACACCCCTTCGAGCCTTTTGAGATGTACTACATGCAACTACTACATATACTAAGATTTCGTAATGAAGCTAGTAGTTGCTTAAATTATAAGTAAATGTGCATTTATAATTATCGGTCATTTAGCTGTTACTATTTTAGGTGGTGGGTCTTACTCGAAGTATTTCCAGGTATGAAATCATTTTCCGCCGTCGACTAGTGTCCACAAGAGCATATTATGTTCTCAGTAACGCTATCTATTCTATTATCGATACATAGATGCCTTAGATCCCGACTAGCTGATCTCTTAGGTATCCTATGTAGATACTCCTGTTTTACAAGTTGCCTTCCCCCTATCATGTTCTGAGCATGACCATTCTTAAGGCACTCGAACGTGGGAGGACTTGATACAATCGTGTCCCTTGAAATGTAATTTATACTCAAACTAGTATGTCATGTTGCCTGGACTACCTGATGTGGCTATTACTTGTGTGGCGGATGCATCATATCAACTTCCCGCCTTGGACTTTTGCACATAGAGCGTAGCAGGTTAGTGGCTGACTAGGGCTTGTGTTCAGCTTTTTCTTTGTTTCTATTATTATTATCTAGACTGAGTAATTCTTCTATCATAATAAAGGAATATTCAGCGAGCAGTATTGTCCTATGATATGCTTACATGATAGATCACATGGTGGGCTCCCCTTGCTGTCCCTTTTACTTAACTAGGTAGGTAGTTTCTTGCCTCTTCTTTGTATCTTATTTAAGTTTTTACATATATTCAACTGTTTTGATATTCTCAGCCTTGCTTACGGCTGGCGGCAAGGCCGACGACTATTGAAGGGATTGTGGTGGAGGCTGGGTTGGGGTGATGCTAAACCCTGATCGTTATAATGGTAACTGATAATTATTGTTTTTGTAGGGCCAGCGGTAGCAGGTAGGATTTTCTGATATCTACAGGGATATTTTAGTGTAAATACTGGTTATATTAATAGATTACATTAGTTGAGTTGCTGAAAATGGGCGAGTGATGCACGATAATTACGAGTGATATTGTTTAGAGTGTATCTTTCTGAATGTCTACCTAATAGGTAGGTAGGTGTTTTAGTCTATTTGGTATCTAATTTTATTTCAAAACGGGCTAAATCCCATTTTGTTGGGAGAAGGGTGCCAGTAAGTTAAGTCACAAGGTCGCCACTTGAAAGTGTAGCTTGGCTGACGAGGGGGCCATTTGGTGAGAATAATAACACCGTCGTCTTAATCCTCCCACTTTTGTCGATGTTTATGGCCTCCTTAGGAAATTTCATCTTCGCACTAGTTGAATAGACGCAGATATCTTATAAGTTGAATATAGTTGAGCTCGAGATGCGATAGTAAATAAAGTAAGAGGTGCAAATAGAAGGGCTGAGTTTAAGCGCCTCAAAGCTAGGGGGAGGTGAGGCCTCTTATGGGAGGTTTTTTATTTATCATCCAGCATTATTTGAAGGAGGATTCAAGACCTAGAGTCATATCATGAATGATTGCGGCTAGTGACCTTTAAAATAAATCAACCTAGACTAGGGATGGGGCTGAGCTGCTGAGCTGCTGAGCTGCTGAGCTCTGGAGTCTTTTATGTTCATCAGGTCAATCGCTTCCAAGACCTTAAGGCTTAAAGGATGTCAAGGGATGCATCAGCTGAGGGTCTGTGCGCATGATAAAGCAGGTACGTGCCAATCTATCCATTAAATGGTTCAAATTTAACTCATGTAATTGGTTCTTCATAATGAGGTACTTGGATACTTTGAGTAGGTACCTTAGGTACCTAGATATTAGCGGGATAATGATAGACGCGCCACATGGCTTGTCGGGATGGGCATGCATAAACCCCGCGTATACTACCTACATATGCAAGATCGCGCCTCTTTAATGTTCAATGTTCAATGTTCAATATTCAATGTTCATCATATTATGATTTAATGCCCTTAACATGTTGAAGAATATAGCCATTTTCGCTCAACTTAAACCCTTACCGTTATCATGTCTAATATTGTAAGCCTTAGGCCATGGATGTTTTTCATTTTTCAAACTTCGAGCTTCTCGGTTATTCCGCCGAGTGACCTATATCCCGCTGAGACACAGTAGTCAAATCAAAGTCAACTGAGGTCTCCCGGCCTTCAGATGGTTCATGCCTAATGACGTTTCGGTCAACGCTCTATTATTATACAACCCACTTGAGGCTAAGATGAAAGACGTAGCCTAGCTTAGACGTTACCTCGCACCGCGTGTACTTCAAAAGATACGCATGAACTAGAAAGCGTAAAGTGCACATCTCACCCTCACCCCCCTCTACAGTTTTATCAACTGCGAGTGTGCCATGAGGTTGGCCTGCAAAGCCTCGTGATATCAAACATTGTATAGCTTAGACTCATATGCTACGTCCTTATCCCCACCATAGCCTCGTGGGGAGGCCTATCGGGGTTGATGCCTGGTATAGTCTACTTATAATGAAGTCTACCGCATATTGATGGAGCCAATCTTAGCTTGTGTATCTCTCCTTATTCGTCTTCATACCTACTAGCTCCCGCTGCTGCATCTGCAATCCACAAACACAAATTTGTACTTTGTCCAGTTAGAACTGATATTTACCCTGTCCATCGTTATCTTCTACCATATCGCGTTTGCCCTTGAGTAGAAGGGCGCTTCGTCACTTTCCATATGTTCGAATATTGTATAAGGTCGTGTCCGCCAGGTCGACAGCAGTTCACACGCTCCCATTCCTTCTCGCACCATCATGATCATCATCGCTACCACTACCGAACCCGGTGCTCCGATGACTGCGCTGGGATTTCCACCGAGAAATGGAACAGCCTACGCGAGCAGAAGAAAGGTCTTATTGAGAAGAATGATGTTCTCACTCGCGAAAACCAGACCTTGAAATACGACCTTCAAGCCTCTACCCAGGAGAACAGCCGCCTTCTCGCTTGCAACCGACAGATGATTGAGGAGATCGAAGAGTTGAGACGAACACGCTCTCTCGACAGCGAAACAGCAGAGAGATTTCGTCGACGGGTGCAAGCTATCAAGTTAGAAGTTGACCAAAAGGACAAGGACATCCAAGGCTTCAAGAAGGAAAACGATATCTTGTCTAAACGAGTTTGTGTCATGACTGAAACCATATCGGACCAAAACCAGAGGATTATGAACTACAAGAAGAGACAGGATGATTACCAAACAACTCTGGACGATGTCAATAGTCGGCTTGAAAAGACGAAGCGTATCCTTGCGGCTCGTCGTAGGGACCTTGACGAAAGAAATGCCCAGTTCGAGGAGCAATGCCGCGTGCTGCACAGGTACGAGACTACGATTCCCTCTCGTCGGCGGTACAGTTTTGTATAAGGGTCATATAGCTATATCGCTATGACTATTTCGCCCCTTCGGTGGTCGAGAAGCGGCACTGTTGGGAAGTGTATTAAAGGGGGAGGTTTAGGGTTCTCTTGATTGACCTGGCAGCAATAAGGGAAGATACATTGACGTCTTGTAAGCTCTGTTTTTATCGCAACGCTGATCTCCAACGCGCTCATGTAATCTAGTTTCTATCGTCTTGCATTACTAGTCAGGTAGTTATATTTTAGGATAGCATTCACAGCGTTTCATAACAGAAGGGATAGGGGTAGGGAAGAACGAGTTATATTAATGTCACCTTTGCTTCTTAGTTATGGATGGATGGTTAGCGTTTGGGTTTACGGTTGTCTCTTTACAAATTAGGATACCCTCATTTTGCTTCGTTTCTTTTGTTATGAAGCATATGCTAGCTTATAGTTCTATGAGCGATACGGCTCGGAGGAGGATATGGGCAGTTTGTCACGAGCCAATAGAGACGTTAGAACTTATGTTATAGGAAAATGTTAGGAAAAACTATGGTCTAGTTCCATAAGAAGCCTATAAACGAACCTATGAGTATACCTTCAGATTTACCGGTCGGCTGGTTTCTTGTCTCGTGAGACTCAGATCCGAACCAGATGTCATGTGAGAACTGTTTTAGGAGCTACACCAGTCGACCGAGGCATAATTTATGGATGGTATGGCATTCTGAACTAAACTTTATCATTATCGCACGTATACATTTCGTTGTGTATAGTGGTGCATTCTATTTCATCTTACCTGTCGTGTATGCACGAGTGGGAAAAGCTACCGATACCCGTGTTCCTGGCAGTCGTCATCTGCAGCCTAACATCAAGTCGTCGCCTAGGCCCGACGTTTTAGGTGGGCGTATCTATGCCCCAGTATCTCGTAATCATAACGAGGAGTTGATGATACTACTGCTTAGTGAGGGTGTCTTGTGAGAGGTAAATAGTGTCCCTAACCCCTAACCCCTGAACCACAAGATCGCATGCTGCAGCACAACACGAAAGTGTAGCTTCGTGCTGAAGTGTTATACGTGCGTAGGCTGCCTTTTGAGAATATGTGCTTACCTCAGAAGCTTAGCAATGTGTATATTGAATGCTTAGGGGAGTGATATATTGGACTACTAGAAATAACTACGACTTACAATATCTTATAATTATGCTGACTCTAGCCAATATTGATCCGTTTTGTTATTAATTGATTATTATTTGACTTAGCCATGTGGCAACATCCAAGACTACCTAGGTATCAGCGCAACTGCAGATGCCATGTAGTTTAACCTAACGTGGGGTGCTAACGTAGATATGTTGATGGAATTGTAAGAACTTGTTGGTCGGCATGTTTGAAGATGGGATTTGGCGGATGATTGGAGGATATTATGGAAGAGAAACCAGAAACTTGGTTGGTTGCCTAACTTTACAACAACCTAACAAGAGTTTCTCAGCCGCGAACCACACAACTCCAAATATTAGATAGCCAGAGATATTTTTGGTACTTGACTGAGCTACATCCCACTGAGACCCGAACAAGTATGTATACAACTGATTTCTTATCGCCAACTTCCATTCAGGCTCATTGCCCACGAGCCGTAGGACCCGAGTGGCGTGTACGTAATACTAATACCAATACCAATATCATCAATGATTGACAGCTCAGCAATCGGTGTCACCGGATTTGTTCGTGTTTGATTGTTTGGTTGTTCGGTTGTCCTTAAAAAAGTGCACTTTCGTTTCCCTTTGCCCTTCTCAACATTCGGCAAACTGGAAGATTTCACTTCGAAGGCGTAAACCCGGGAATTTTCGTATTATCCCCGGGGTTGCCTAGTTTGATAATGAATATCGGCATCGGCTGTGCATGGTTGAAGTGCCAACTCATACCCGCAAGCCTAGATGAGGGGATGCAACAGGGTTCACCGCTTACTTAGACATACTGAGGGTGTGAGGGTGTGTAGAAGAATCCTTTAATGATCATGAATCGCGGGGGAGGCCCTCGGGGGTCCGATATCAAAAGTCGATTGTGGATGGAGTGGCATGTTGGCTGAATCTGGCTCTGGACCTTTGAGGAGTGTTTTCCTTGATGATAGCTCGCCAATAAAATGCAGCCGCAGTGGCGGTGTTTGTGATATGGTAACTACCTAGGGGATTCCTAAAGTTAGATATGGTGACTAATCAAAATACGTACCGACACATACCTACCCCTTTAGGTTTAAGTGTGCATTGTACATATGTAGAGTAACCCCGCAGTTTTTCCACATCTTTGTCTCTGACGAATTAGATTTAACGTTGGCAGATATTAAACTTTCCTTAGTTACCTATGTATTATCTCAATCTTGTACTATGGTACTTTTTTTAAGCTAGGTACCTCCCAATTCCAAGCGCTAAACAAGAGCGAGGGTCGGTCGAGGGTCCCCTTCCTCTCAGCCCTGCTGGGCAACAGCTATTTTCCCCATATCCATTTCTCAAACAAGGGACACGCCAATGCTCATCAATGATGAACAAAAGATCAACAATATTTAAGATATCATTAACATAGACGTCATATATGCAGCCTGTATGTGAGTCATTATGCTGTCTGTCTTTTGTTCCTAATGGATCTATATGCCGTTCTCGTCTCGCTTTCATATGTCATTCGAGGGACCTTACCAGCCTGCAGGCAATGCCGTCAGTTTTGACTGATCCAACCAATATGACTGGCTAGGCATTTCTGCGGGCATTCTGCACGCCCGCGCGAGGATAATCTTACTCTACGCAGTTGCGCAGAACCACCACCAAAAATCAAGATCGTAGATGAGGAGGACCTTCCTAACCCTTGCGCGCCATCTTAACTCACTTACATATCGGTTACGACCTAGATCATGCTTCAGGCGAACCGTTTTGGGGGCTGGACAATCAGGCGGATACGGCAACTTTGCTCGATTTTCGGTGTAAAGTTGGCAGGTCTTATTTCCAACTCATCATAAGGAGGGAAGTACAAGATGCCGTCTAACAGTGCTAGACCCTTCCGGATCTCTCTTTTTGTTTCTTTTCGTCTGCACTCCCCCGTTCCCATCTCATTGCGCGTTGCGCGTTGCGTGGCGCGCTGTGGGGGGAAACGGGTAGTCAGCAAGGCATCTTTTCTCAGTTAACGGTGAGTGTGAGAAAACGAGTGTTTCCGCCGTGGCGCACTCCCACCTTCGGCTACCCTTAGATTTCTCGGGTAAGACGACCCTTGAGTTATTATGAGGCTCATCCGTCGGGAAGGATGATATAGGTCAGGGCTCCGTGTTGCCTGGAAGCCATGACTCCATGTGAGAGGCAACCGGTCAGCTACATGTCATTTAGTACAGATACCTACCCATATCTGCCGTGCTCAGAGTTGCTGTTAGTCTCGTGGTGTAAGTGTTATATACCTACGTACATAAAGATTCTGTCAAAACTCAAGGCAGCAACCGGCCATTCGCGAATCGTGGTTTCTAGGTTGCCTTTTATAACAATTACCCTTTCCTCTGCTTAATTTTTCTTGCTTCTCTCCGTAAGGCAATCTTATCATTACTTAGTCCCTTTTATATTAGAGAAACATTCGCAGATTTATATACTTGTTAAGATCATCGTCATCATCCCGGTGACTCAACAACCTCCCATCTACCACCCCGCGCGCTTTGATCTTTCGACTATTCTCATTCGTTGAGTACCCTCTCGCGCCGTCGCCTTAGTGTGAACCGTCACGTAGGCACCTATAGAGGGCTTACAGCTCTTAGCGGCAGCCTGTACGACAAAATGTCAGACAGACGTGTCAAGTTTTCGACCTCATCAAAGGGGTCGTCTAAAAGCCACCGCAGTCGTGATGACTCAGGCGTGGGTTCGTCATCTAGTGAACAGGCTAGTTTAGGTGGAAGACCTGATCGTAGATTCACAGCCGAGGACTTCGAAGACCAACTCTACAATGTCGGTGCTCTTCAAGAAGCACTGGGTCAAGCGAACCAGAAAGCCGAACAATTTGAAAAGAAGTGTAACGAACAAGACGCCGAGTTAACCAGATCCCATAGACTCACTCGGGAGGCAGAAAAGCGTTACCGTGAAGAATGCGAGCGTACTACGAGACTAGAACGGCTCAACAAGAGCCTCGAAGATGAGAGAGTGCGACTATCAGAACAGGTTAGGGAGCGTGAAGATGATTACAATGATATGAAAGACCAGCGCGATGAGTACCGGCGGAAATATCTCGCCCTAGCGGATCCTGTCATAGACAGTACCATGAGAGGTGGCTCTGGCGAACCCTCACCCCCCACACTAAGACGATCAGGAAGTAAACACAGAGATGCAATAGGTTCCATCAAGAAAAACACGGAGCATAAGGAAGAGATGTCCAATTCATCACGCCATCATCGTCGGAGTTTAAGTGTCAGCGTAAGGCCAGGGGGTCGTTCTAACAGCAAGAAACCATATATCGAAAAGATGCCTAGACCTCCAAGCCCGTCCGAAAGGTATCAAAGCAACTACACTACCGGCCCAATGGAAATCCCATCTGCCGACCCTGCATTATACTCTAGCATTCCTCGGACTTCCCAACCAGCTACGCCTTCATCGTATCAAGGTGTTCCGCAGACAGGAAACTACATACCATACCCCTTACACGATCAGCGCGGCCGTCGAAGGGGTTGAAGTCACTACCGCATACCACATATCGAGTGACAGCTAATATCCAAGCCAGTGTGATACCGGCGTAGCCAGGCGCGGGCATATGCAAGTATCCTTCCCGGCACGGATATCGGACACATGTTTCCTTCTACGTCAAACCCATGATCCATAGCCACGACACCACTCGGTAGGATCTTTCAATGGCACGAAACATTATCTTGTAATACCAAATCATCGTTGGTATTGTCCAGATATGTTGACAGCGCTACAGTTACACCTTTTACTCAAGCTGAAGCCGTTTCCGTTGCTAAAATAATATCACATGCCTCACTTTTCTAACTGAGCACGGTTTGGATCCTATTCCGCCATGCACAGTCTATTCAATATTGCTTTGTATTACCCGATCTGTATCACCTTTCATCTCAAGTCTCCCTACCAAATCAATTACAATTACCAACTCCAGCAGTAGTCTGCACGTCACCGACGGGAAGTCTTCTGGATGTGGGGCCTTGTCACAATCAACGTTCTTTATGGCTTCGGCACCAATGCATGGCCAACACGTCGACGTATCACCACCCAAATGCCACACGGAAAATATCTATCATAATCAACTTAAGCCAGTGTGTGTGTATTTTGGTCGTACGATCTTAAGGTACAAGACTATCTTAAGCACACGAGAATGCCTGGGCCACAGTTATGCCCTCTTTCGGGATCGATCCTCGAATCATACGTCTAGTCGTATCGCAGTTGTGCAACGGTGTTGTCTATCTCCGAGTTGATTCGCGCCTCGAGGATGATTTTTCAGAAGGTGTCTATATCACCAACTCTATCACCAACCCGAGTACCCAGATGCCAGGCAATCGTGGATATGATATATCATGCGCCCGCAGGATGCGGCCAATATATACTATCATATCTGTGGATGCAGGCGAGAAAGGGCAGATCTTGGTCGTTCAGACACGAATCATTGGCGTCGCGGGCTTCGAGGAACACCTCAGGCTCTAGTTCATCAACTTCGAGAGCAATTACACGACATGGCAGTACCGAGGCAAAGTGTATATATACAACTATAATAGCCTATCGGGATCGCGCTCTATATGTTGTGATATTAGAGAATGGTTGTCTCTTAGCAATGCAAAGGCATATCTATGGTTGTTGGTCATGAAGAGGGCGGTAGAAGAGGGCATCGCCTGGCTTCTTACCCGCCGTAAATGTCTGTATCTAATTTGTTGTCTGCAGCATGTGTATTCCGTTGGCGTTTTTCTTGGACTTGGGAATGCTTAAGGGACTTAATTATGTTAGACTTGTTTTGTACGTTAGGGCCAAAGGATATCAGTATCTCTTGGTGTATATGTATCATTCCAGCCATGTACTATTGGCATATACTTAATTGTACTTGATTGTCGTTGGACAGTTCTAATATATTTACCTACCTAATGTATACTTGAATTTAATCCATAAGATAGGTTACGATATAGAAGGTTTCAACAAATAATACATGACACTTATGCGTAAGGATCTCGCATAGGATGTCCCTTAAAATAACTATCAATCTCTCGTCTTGCACGCTTCGACTATGTTACCCATAATCACATTTTCTCTAGAATTGGAGCATATCAAACTAAAGATTTCGCAATATGTACGAGCTACCATAGGTACCTAATATAGGTATGGCTTAGTTTGAGTGATATTGATTGGGGGAGTAGCTTAGTACCACAAAAATATAAGCAAAAGTGATCTCAAGATCCTATTTATCCCTATTATGGTTAGATGACGGATGACTTTATAATCCACATGCGATGTAGCATTAAGCTTACCAGTTACCTAACCCTCGGCGCCATCGATAATACCCCCTACCTAAGTTGTCGTACAATTACGTATTTTAGGTTGACATCCCTCAAAATGACCATCACGCTACCTCCACTCGCCCATCTATGCCAAAGGTGTAGCGTTCTAGAATTCTACGACTCGGATGTACCGAGAGGTTTAGAGGAGCATCCCGGCCTCTTTCGTCTTAACCTGGATTATTTTCTCCTGGATTCACTTCCTAATTTATCGTGCCTTGCCAAGTCCGCCTATGACGGTTGTGACTTCTGCTCGGTGCTAAAAAATGCCATCCGGAGATATGCGCAAGACTCCTTTGATCAGGTATTGGTGTCTATTTTTTACCAGTGGCATAGGCCTGACGAGGGTAGACTGGCGGTGAGGCTTCAATCCTTGGTCGCTGAGTTGCTATGGATTGGATATGGTGAGAATGGTACGAGCATACCGAATATTAAAGATTATAGAGGTATTAAGTTAAGAACTTTCAGGTGATCACGCGAGCTTGTCAACGTGGCTACGTTTTGATATCGACTCTCCTCCTGGTAAGAATTCTGTCTCGTTCAACATGTAATGTTTTTCTTCGAGCTATAGGTCAAATTACGATTGGAAAGCGAGGCTCAAACATGAAGGGAAACGATAGTAATAACCGATATAAGCACTCACTAGATGCAGATTCCTGGCTTATGATACTAACTTGCTCTATTATAGGCCCTTGTGCTCAATGGCTGGGACTTCAGTCGCCCCCTTGGGATAAAGCTTTATGCACTAATAATCTTGAAATGATTTTTAATAGATTCGAATGCAGCAACCCTATACGAACATCTCTGAATGGTGCGACGTATCCAACTCGTTTAATTGACGTTGGAGCAAAGGGAACAGACATATGTCGACTTGTCGAGACAAAATCAGACCCCATATTCATGCAATCATCTGATATCCAATATGCAACTCTAAGCTATTGCTGGGGGTCTCCGGAACAGTCTTCTCAGCAGTTCAAGACAGAAACAAGCTCTTTGCAAGAAAGAATAGGAGGGTTTAGCTTTGACCAAGCTTCCCCGATCCTACAAGACGCTATTCGAGTTACACAGACTCTGGGAATACGGTATCTTTGGGTGGATGCGGTCTGTATTATTCAAGATGATAAGCAGGATTGGTACAGGGAATCTTCGCAGATTTCTCTAATATTCCAAAATGCTACCTTGACAATTTGTACTCCCGCCTCGACGTCTTGTCAGGAAGGATTCCTTAGTAGGGATTGGAAAATGACAAGAATAAAGTTTCAGTCCAGAATCAACAAGGCCGTGTCTGGATCTTACATTATCCGGCTCGTCGGCGAGATAAACGATTACTTTCATGCGACTACTGATGGACTATCTCTGGCCCTAACTTATAGTCATTGGGCTACGAGAGGGTGGATACTTCAGGAATATGAATTATCACAGCGGGCACTCATCTTTACGAAGACCAAGTTGCATGTTATTACGGAAAATGGCGTTCAATCAGAAGCAAACGAGACTGTAGATATGTCGGAATGCACTCGTGGAGCTAGTTTTCTCTCGGGTAACCGTAACAAGTTGAACAAATACTTGAACTTCTTGTCCTTAGTCGAGAATTATTCAACAATGAAGCTTACCCATCGCTCCAACAAATTTCCCGCAATATCGGGACTTGCTAGTCGATTATTCAATGGAGGTGCGTATTACGCAGGACATGTGCTCCCCCATATCGACTTGTTTTGGACATCTGTACTTCGTCAACCTGCTGCTCTTATCTCAAGGGAAGCGCTGGTTGAGAACTTAAAATCCCAGAAACCCTATGTTGCGCCATCTTGGAGCTGGGCTAGCCGAAACCATCCAGTGAGATTTGGTGATGGGCAGGTTAGACTGGTTTCGCAAGAGTCAGATTTTCTTGATGTTCGTGCAGAATGTTGTGTCGTCCATGCGAAAACGTCAATTATAGGCGTGGATTTATTCGGCGGCATAGAAACCGGAGACCTCGCTCTTCACGGGACTGTCGTTCCCCTTATAGCTCATGTACAGCTACTCTCAAGTGTAGATGGGAGCGGCAAATTATGCCGGTTAGTTGAAGACGGAGAGTATATTGCCGACCTCAGCTTCGATTGGAATGATATTAATGGCGGAGAGACTTTTGAAGATTTATCTTTAGTGCTGATTGGAAGCCGCAACATTGAAGGCCTCTCTTGGGAACCAACTAGGCTCGTGTACGAGCATGAATTGGTCGACGAACCAGAAGAGAAGCTAGGTGAAGATATAGAGACTACCGCGGCAACGCTTACTACTATGGCCACGTTTGTTGTTAGGGGACGCCCTAATGTTACGAGTCTGCGTAGAGAGCGAGTTATTCATAGAGTTCATTATCATCGTGGCCATGGCGATGGTAAAAGAGGAATGATGCAAAACCATTTAATCCGCGATCGGCGTCAAAATCATACGGCAGGTAACATGGATGATAAAATCGCTGATGCAGAAATGGAATATCAGCGACATGTATCAGAGGTTTATCACGGAGATAGGAGAATATCACAACCCAGCGATGATGACGAAAGGTATGCTTACGGTATCATCGTCCAACCCGCTCCCGAGTTAGGGAAGTATTTTCGCGTTGGAGTATTTCTATCTGTACCTCGGGAACGCGGCGGCTTGAAATACTTTCGGGGCAGGCCAATGCGAACTGTGGAGATTATCTAACAGGTAGGCAAATTATTACCCCTAAATCGAAATATATTGATATAGTTTAATTGCATAAATCTTGTTGCATGTTAAAATTCTAGGTTAGATCTTTTATTCCCTCTTCCTCCCCCCCCCCCCCCCCCCCCGGTGGTGCTCAGCTTATGTAATTAGAATCTTTACATTAGGTAGGTACCTACCTATGATGTAGGTTAGGTACCTGTATTACATGTACTCCGCACCCATTACCCGCCTTTAGGTACTTACAAGTAACAAGCGCTACATACCTACCTAGGTATGGTATTGAATTTGAAATCTCGTAGTAGCAAGAGTATGCACAACCTAATAAAGTTTCTTTCTAAATTAATAGGAACCTGTTTAACTCATCCTACTTTAAAATATATATTTCCTAATTCTCTTGTTCTGAGGTGGGATTAACTATATATTCTTCCCTAATAAGTAACAACACCATTACTAAAATACCCAAGGCTACCTATGTTACCGTCTTTGTTACTCATCGCATGATCTCTCACCTAGACAAATACTCCACTCTAATCTAGAATTCTTTGACGACGACATCTTTATTTTTCCAACCCTCGCTACGAACACCACAATTGGATTCTCAAGATGACTTCACTCAAAACATTCGAATGCTTCAATAACCTCCCAAAAGAACTCCGTATTTTAATCTGGGAGTACCACTTTGAAAGTGCTCGTATTCACGTGATCCATCCCTCTCCTGAGAGTCAAATGCGAAATCCAAAGAGGGAGGTTCTTCTATTTTGTTGTACCGTTCTAGACTCGGCTACCAATCTCGTCATTCTAGATGAGCGACCTCCATCTCCGTTGATCAACCATGAGGCTTATGATATAGCTCTCTCGTGCAAGCGTATCTGGACACCCGTTATTTTCGGCAAGGATCTTGCAGATTCGGTTACATCAGGTCGAGCTCGCGTGCCTCTCCAATTCGCTATATCACTTGGAACCAATATATATGATGAGTACAACGACACGCGGCAGCAAGCGCGCCCCGTCTATGTTGACTGGGAACGCGATATGCTCTACCTCTGTGTCTCGAATGCTGAGCAAGCGTTCTGGTCGATGCGCTCCGTTCCTTGGCGAGATAGCGTGAGGAAATTGGCCGTTCTTGTACCACAGAGCGAATTTGATAGGGCCATCCCGTTTGGTCCGACAGATCCCATCCGCGAAGTACTTGAATCTATGACGGAGCTCGAAGAATTATTCGTCGTGCTAGTTCCTCAGGCTGACGTTCTTGTCCCTGTTACTGCCCCTACTTCTAAAGCACTAACTAGTCTTTCAAGAGATGAGTTCGGCTTCGTTCCATACGTTGAGTATCTCAAGAGGGCTGGTCTCGCAAGCAACCATATTCTTTATGCTCGCACGGCTATGTCATTTCGTGAGGCCTTGGTAGACTTGCCTAAAAAAATTAAGCTCAAGAGAGTTGTCGACGTGGATTGCCTTACATGTTCTTTCGGCTACTATCGACGCAGTCTCAGCCCGTATCTTTAGATTGCAATTATTTGGACATGCTTTTCAATACAGCATTTTTTAGTAGCAGTATCTGCCTATCTCTATAACTTGTCTCGTCTTGCTCCGCTCAGCATTTTCAATGGCATAGGACATTAAGCACCTCCAGGCCTTGATCTCAGGAGAACCTATCTATAAACTCGGCATAATAACATACCCCAGAATGTATTAAAGCATAGGTCCCCTACGTCCTAGGTGCGTCTTGTCGATAGATAATATGCCAAGCGTGGTGTTTATATCGCATCCATATAGGTAGTCTTCAATTGACCCTTCGTTTAGTGTTGATGGACAATGGTGCATAGTGGCATAGTGTAACCGGGCATTTCCCCTTCTTCAGATCAATAAATCACTCACTAACCATCGATCTGCGGCATTAGGCCTGGAAGCTGCCTCTTGTAATCTAGGCACCCTTGTCTAACATTCATACAAGTCAACTATACCACATCCGATGGTGACAATGAAGGAGAATTCGATCGAGTCTAGTGAGCGTACTAGGTATATCTACCTAGAGGTCTAATACACTTTCATATTCAATCACTCGATATGCATTTGTGACGCATGCCGCGACTGGAGTACTGGAATAGAGCTAGTGTATCGCCTGGCAAAAGAAATATGCCACATCCGAGTATACACACACGCACTCGCATCGTCACAAGCGGAGAGAACAGAAACCAACAAGAAATTTTAGTTAAAGGTGTGCTCTCATTACTTGCAAGAAACGACCAGAGCCTATGCTTGTATAGATCTCTAAGCCCCTTAGTATTGAGATATTAGGCTCAGAAAGTAGCCATTCTATTACATAGAAGCTAACAATATGAACAAGTATCATGGGCCATGTAGCTTTTAGCCAGTGTCCTATGCAAATTCTCGTATCTCAACCCGGGGGTAAGCAACGGGTAAATAGGTAGCATGGCGGTCTTAGTGGAATCGAAATAAAGTCTCTGAAAGGTAGCCTAAATGTAACCATACTACGTCTTAGACATAAATTTTAGAGTCCAAATATATTTGACTTGTTAGGGAGAGAAGGATCGCATAGTGGTAACGTTAAGTTTGAGGCTACCAACATGAACATATCTATGAGAGTTACTAGTCACAGCATTCTATTCAGACCCTCACTAGATATTCATACAGTCCTGACATCCTACCGCAACTATTTCCCTATTACGCATCAGGCAGGGATTCTATAAGCTCGATTACTTGATGATCTATTAGGGCTGTAGCTTGCCGCTCAATCATTGCACGAACGCGTTCTTCGTTTTGCAACTCATAAGGTGTCAAGAGCCAAACCAGGCCTGCGAGCATGGACTTTCGGTACTCCACCATGAGATCTTCATCCTGGCTCGAGAGGGATGCACCGCCGTATATATTCAACTCGTCGAGGTAGTGATTTAGAATGCGCATCTCATGCTCTCGTCTGTCTTCGACGGTCAAACTGCCAGCTATAAAATACGAAACGTCGTGGAAGGCAGAGCCAATATGAACTGCTTGCCAATCGAGGAATCGCGGTTCTCCTTTGATAAGGAATGTGTTGCCAATATGAGCATCGCCATGTACTAGGCATTGGAACTTGGGATTCCGGGATGTGAAGTATTTTTGGAGTACTGCTCTCATCCGTTTCTCATCTTTCAAGGCTTCAGGAATTACTGGCCTGTGTGAGCCGAGAATGAGGTCATCCCATAGTTTAACGAGGGACCAGATGAGTTCCTCGTAGTGTTCCGGGCCAGCCCACGGGTAATCGGAACAACCCCGAGCCCAAGTTCCCGCATGCAAACCTGCAAGCTGCTCAACTCCCACCATGACAAGTTCGACAGACCAAGGGTTAGTGGGTTCTCCGAACTCCGCTCCGAGGGCCCTTAGATCGTCCATGATCACAAGACCCTGAGCCTTGTTTTGACCAGCCCAATATGACCTTGGTAAATCGATATATGTGAAGTCTGACGCGACATGGCTAAAAAATTCGGCCTCGCGTCTATACCCCCCAATGAGAGCCTTAGGGTATAATTCAATGAGGACCATGTTAAACCCCCCTTTAATACAAACTTTATCCGGTCTGTTCTATATATAATTCTGTTAAACTAATTCACGTGGTAATTCCTTAGGATTATAGACCCTCGGAGGATTTTGGGTCAGATTGGAGAACTCGGGATCGGCACCTACAATATTAGGGTTCTTCTCGTCAGACTTCATAGAATCTACATTTTCGTCATCATAAGTCAAAGTGACAAATAGCTTGCTAGCATTTGCTTTGAGAATCGAGCTTGTATGCTCGACAGCTTTGACCTTGTATCCGAGTATTTTAGTGAGCCATGAAGCGGTAACTTCTTCTGGAGATGTAGGAAGCCAAAGCTGCATAGTTGGCGAGGGATGACGGTTAGACATGATCAGCTGTTCCGACGAGTTCAAGATTGGTGTAGTGTTAAGTAAAATAGGAATTATATTTATTTTATATCTTTGTTATTTTATACCATTTTATAACTCAGCTTACCACTTATATGACTACGTTCCGTATGTACCAACCATAGACAGATAGGTATATTGGCCCAACATATCAAGAGGGTTCTTAGAAACACGACATTATGATAACATCCACAGCATGGAAAGGATACTACTTCGGAGCCAATAAATGCCTACCGACGCTTGATATATTAGTGCTAGCCATTGCTAACCATTCATGATTAACAAGAATCATGAAGGCATGTCACTGCGCAATTTCAGGTAAGGTAGTATGGCATAGCGGAACGTTTCATGACTCTAATCACTTGCATATTCGTGGAATAGTGCAATTGGTACGGAATGGAGATTGCATGCATCAGGACGGCTCAATACATTTGGCGTTATAAGGTCTCCAATGGAATCAAGGGAGCGTCATTCCCTTATCCAGTAGTTACCAAATCTCTATACAAATCCGTCACAATAAAAAGCCCACTAGAATAGGTATTGATAAAGCATCAAATTAGATAACAGGTGCTGAGATTCAGTATGAAAGCACCGAGTAATAAATAACAACCTTACTCGGGCGGCTTAACGCCCGAGATCTTCTCAAGGATCTGAATCAACTGATCCTGCAGGGCTTTATCATCGAGTGCTTTTAAGTAACTTGTTTCATGACCCGAGCCACCAGAGCTCCGGGCTTGAGTCTGATACCAATATTTCCCTGTTTCGTCCTCTGCAACTCCTGACCCCTCGGCCAGTAAGACGTAGGTATCGATGGCCGCGTCCATATTGTCTGGTGCTGACGAGCCGCCCCTCCTAGTAGCAACCCATCCCGGGCTCATGGAGTTGCTCAAGACGCCCTTGTCGGTGAGATGGCGTGCGAACCAGAACGACAATAAGACATTGTGCAGTTTGCTATCGCTATAATTACACTGCTGGATATTGCGTAAGGAGGGATCACCACCTTTATGCATGCCGCTAGAAACGAAGACGTAACGCTTTGGTGGCGGGCTTATCAGAGAGGTTAAAACATATGGCGCCAATGTGTTAACAACGAATAGTACAGGAATTCCCTCCTTGTTTTTGGGATTAGCAACACCGTGCATGGGCCCGGCGTGCACAGCATTGTGGACGATGGCATCCCAGGGACCGGTCTGGTTAAGCTGTTTCGCCAAAGATTTGATATCTTCCATAGACGCCAAGTCCGCGACGAAGACATCTTTCGCTCCGGGACAGGCGATGCGGGCATCCTGCGCTCTTCGGCTATTTCGGGCATGCAAATAGACATCGTGTCCACGCTTAACTAGAGCTTGTGCTGAGCGTATACCGAGGCCGAGGCTATCTGCTGATCCAGTGATGAAGATACGAGCCATACCGTTTGTAAGTACCTAGGTTAACTTAATATACAGTATATTCATACCTAGGTAAGCATGAAACTGAATTGTGTAGCTAATGTAGGCGAATAGAATAACAATGGATATACTACCTAAGATTGGGCATTCAAGGAGTATTTCGGTAACTTGAGCAGGTCACCGGACTTTAGCGTTAAACCCAGAAACCAGCTATATTTACAAAGTTAAAGCGGTTCCATCAAGGATCATAGCTGCCCCTTTTAGCCAGTTTGAGGTTTCAATCATTACTAAAACATCTCATACCAACCGACCAACCAGCCGACCAGTCGGTCTCGAAAAGTAATGGCGCAGTCTTGGCATTTTCTTCCAAAAACAACACCATATAATATATGTAAAGAAAGGCATAAAAGAAGGTAACAAAAAATAGAAAAAAATACCTATTGACTTTTTGGCTTTTATTGTTATTATAGGTATTTTTTATAATTTTATTGCTTTAGAAATGGTGGAATTATAGGTGTATCAATATGGTATATTAAACCGATATTAAAGATACTATGTTTAAAGCTATATTTCTAACGCATTATTATCTTAACAAAAGAACTAAAATAATAAAAAGGTATAATAGCCTTTTGTAAATAAAATGATATATATTATAATTTTATTACTATTTATTTTGCTTGTATAACTGGTGGTTTTGTAAGAAAGGTTAAATGCCAAGACCGCGCCATTACTTTTCGAGACAGGCTGCCGACTAGCTAACAATAATAGTAAAGTGTATTGATACCTTTCAATTGAACGGTCGTCATCATCAAATGTATAAGTGACATCATTTAAGACTGGATCTCATTTCAAAAAGTTTCAAATTCAATTCGAGTATTAATAATATCGTTATTAGTGATAATTGGACTGTTATGTTGCTAGGTTCACGATGATGTACATTAGGTAGTTAGGTACGTTGCCAAGACTGCCGAACCACTTTACATAGTAGAGGTACCGACCCGTATTCATTGATCTTATCGTTATCCCACTAAATTATGGGTACCTTAGGTAGGTACCTATGTTAGGTACTTTCCCTGCAGTCACAGATGGTGGGGTTAATGGTCAATTGGATAGAATTCAGCCTTACCTTTCAAGTTACATTCTACTCTACCTTCCCCATTACACATCATTTAAACTTAATGTGCCTACAAATTACGAAGAACACAACTATCCATTCTATTGCTCACCTTCATCCCAATTACAATTCCATATGACGGATAATATCAACAGCTTGGCACTATAATTATGATAAACGAAGGAATTACGGACGAATCTAAGATAATAGTTTCTTTACTTTTAGTGCGACGATAATCGCGTACACAATGATGGGTGTTCCAACCGCGCGAAAACCTAATGGCGTTTTGCCAGTCTCTTCCATTCCGACATCAAATGATACCCCGAAAGCCACCAAGGCTAAAGACCCCCCTCGAGGCAAGAAAGTCCTAGTTCGCCGACTCCCGCCAGGCATAACCGAGGAGGAATTCCGGACCATCTTAAGAAAGGAGTGGAAGAGTGGGAACGGGAAAGTAGAGTGGACTAAATTTCAAGAGGGCCAAATCTCTCAGGAGTAAGTCCCTGCTGATCATATATATATATAATTATAGTAAAGAAGAAACAGCCACTTATTCTTGCATATTTAGTCCGTCGAATCCATCCACGCCAGCACGATGTTATCTACAGGTTCGGTCCGAAGACATACCTGCACTAGCTGAGGCCGTTCAAAGGTCAACTTGGGAAGATGAGAAACGAACTTTCAACGATTCAGCCCTTGTAGGGCCCCCATATCTAGAGGTTTCTATCTACCAAAAGGTGCCCACCACGAAAAGGCGTACAGATTCTAAGCAGGGTACAATCGATCAAGATCCTGATTTTATGGCTTTCCTCGACAGCCTCACTCAGGATTCTAACGTGAAGGAAGTTGATGCCGAACAAGCCGATGATCTAGGCAAGACAGACACCAAAGTAACTACCACGCCTCTGGTTGAATATCTGAAAGAGAAGAAAGCCAATAAGGGAAAAGATACTAGTAATACTAAGAGCGGTAAACACACTAGACATGAGTCTCAGGGTGGAAAACCGAAAGGTGGCCAGGAAGATTCTAAGAGAAAAGGAAAGGACTCCAAGGCCGAGAAAGCTGAAAAAGCTGCTGATAAGGAGGAGAAGAAAGCTAAGGAGCCCGTAAAACTCCTCACCAAGAAACCAACTGTCCTAGACTCAGCCGAGGCAACTAGATCAACCTCCGCTCAGGCTAGTACGAGCAAGACAACTGAAGAAGCAATACCTAAGAGTCGGCGGGCTAATATTGCCGCTGCTGCCAAAATTCTGCAGCGCGATCTTGGTCTCAGCCCAGGAAGCGCCCATAGAAGAGCTCGTCAGGATGCTGCCAAGGCGGAAGCAGCCGCCAAGGTAGATGTTAGTAAGGAGAAGGACACTAAGGATTCTGCATCTACCGCTCCAGCTGCGCCAAGTCAGCCCTCTTCATCGGCACCGCCATCCGCCCCGACAGCTCCAAAAGCTCAAACAACTGAAGGCTCACGTCGGTCCCGAGGTTCGAAGTCTACTAAGCAAAACGTGCCTGGTGACATACCCAAGGGGAAGGGGACCGATAACGCAAGCAGCACAGCAAAATCCACACCTATCACCACGCCTGTCATTCTCAAGAGGAAAGACGATGCCCCCTCAAGTGGCTTGGTCCCTACAGCGCCTGCTACCCAGGCCTCGTCAACTTCAACTCCCCCAACCGGCCCTAAGGCTGCTAATAAGGCCGCACCGTCTAATAAATCGGGACCCTCGCAGAAGAAAGCTTCTGGTCAACCATTGGTGACTGCTGGGGCAATGCGTGCTTTTGTGAAACACGCAAACCCTTCGCAAGGTGTCACTGAGCCGTTGCTTAAACAGGCCATGGAAACATTTGGGCCAGTTACATTTGTCGAAATTGACAAGCGGAAAGGCTTTGCATATGTTGACTTTAGGGATCATGATGGATTGGTCAAGGCTATCTCTGCAAGCCCTATTCCTGTTGCACAAGGCACTGTGCAAGTGCTGGAAAGAAAGGAGATTAAGAAGCCAACTCCAACGCCAACACAACCAGCGAGCGACAAGACGAGTAATGAAACTCCACCAGATCGCCCTAAGCGAGGTGGTCGTGGAAGAGGTCGTCGAGGAGGGGCAGCTAATGCAGGCAGTACAAACCCAACAAACGAAGCTGTTGGGTCTTCGGCAACGCCTCCTCCTCAGCCTACTGAGCCAAGTACTGCAGTCACCGCCGATTGAACATATATCACGAATCTAATACCATCATTATGCGTTACCACAGCTTCTATTCGCTCGATGATCCGTTCTTGGACAATTGCGGGGGTTAACCAATTCAGTGTTTTCATAATATCGCCCTGGAAGTCTGTGTTTTTGCTGAAGGGTTAGCAATGATTAATGAAGAATATCTTCAAAGACATAACCCTAAGGGGGTGGTCATTAGCTGACACTTGTACAATATAGGTGTATTAGCGAAGAGTAATTCCGAAAGGCAGTCGGGGATTATATAGTAGCAATTAGGAGAGCCCTTTAATAACCGTTAAAGCACCCTGAGAGTCATCTTAGACGTCACTCTTACAATTAGCTCAAGGTAACCAAATCGGTAGCAGAGCTGTGTTAGTATCTCTATTATGCATTTACCTTCACCTCGCTAAACGCGAGTGTGTCATTTTTAGGTTTAACTCATGAATTAAGCAATTCAACAACAGCGTTTGTTAACCTGATTCCTCGTCCAACTCTCACCTTTCAAGGGGCATCTTTAAAGTACCTAGCATGATTGAAGACGCGTACGGAGTCAACTTATTATCATCCTCGTCTCTGCATTAAACTAGGTAGTCAATTACTAAAGAGTGTATCAATAGCTAATCCTTCTTTCGTCTACTTAATAAGAGTAGATAGACCTTAAACTACTGCGTCCAATACTCGAGTATAAATTGAATAGGTGGTTTGTTATTCGATCTCCGTGTTGTCCATAGTAATAGCTTTCAATTAATGTTGGATTTGACTTGGCGATTCCAATGATATTTTAATCACTTAATATTCTGCGCATTTCTCTGGATTCCTTCGCAATTTAATAGATCTATCAATCTGTTCGCTTGGCCACTGCAGCCATCGTTCATATGACGGGTCTAGAGAGTCCGCGATGCCTTGGGAAACATGATTCGCCCATCCTTCTAAGAACCAACAGTACTCGAGTGAACTAAGTAGTATAGCGAAGTGAGCTAGGATTATTAGGGCTGGGGGCTGTTTCTCACGCAAAAAGCCGACAAAACACTCGTCTAATTTGTATAGCCATGCTATGATAACTTGAGACTGCCCAATTATTTCACTTTTAGGAGCGGCAGATGTTCCATAGGTTTCGTGAAAACACCATGATAGACATCTGAGTGTACTATTATAAATTTCACGAGTCGATGCGGGTGCGGCCGAAACAAGTGTCGATAGCTTCTGCAGAGGCTCTTCCCATAGTACAAACTCGACCTGGTATGCACCTTTTCCAGACGTCTTTTCGGATTGTGGTGGCGGGAACGGACCTAAAACGCCCGAGTAAACGTGCTCCAGGCCAATATTCTCGATAATAATCCGAACCCCTCTTAATAGGTCCAGCCAAGGTACCTCACAGCCCTCAGCGATAACCAGGAGATTCCCTGGCGTCGGCCCTTTGGCAAACCCGCACGCACAAGCCAAGGCCGAAGCCACATATAGCGCAGAGCAGTTATCTGTGCTGAGCCGGGGGAAAAGATCAGTTGCCTGGCGGATCCCGATTGAATGGTGGGTATCTGCAAGTTTTCGGAAGTGTTCTGAACGATCTGGCTCTAACCTCATCATATGGAAGGCTGATACGGCTAGTATCAGATGGAGGGCGCAGTGATGAGTGAAGGCTAAACGGGGCACTTTGATCTGCCACAGCAGCTGGTCTCCTTGGCTGAGTTGCCCATCGGTTAGATAATGATACAACAGTTCAAGTTCATCAACAGTTAAATGGGGGGAGGAAGCCGACCCCTTAATTGATAACAGATCGAGATTAGGGGCTGTCATTTCAGAGCTTCCACAAATCTCTCCGTGGTGTCCGAAATCCCTTGTAATAGCCGGCCAATCTTTACGTGGCCTACCTCGCTTCCGCCGAGTTTGAGCATTGTTTAATAAATCTTCGCCCTGCTTGCTCCCTGCTGGATTTGGGGAGAAATTGCAGTGGATGTCAAATCGCGAACAGCTACCACAAGTTGGTTTAAGTTCATCGCACTATAGGTCATCTCTAGTTAGCATCTGCGGCACGTCGAGTCAATGATGCAAGTCGGCGATCTAGAAAATTATAATAAAGGGACCCCCCACCTTTACCCTTCTCTGTTTACAGTTACGACATCCTGCACGAGATTTCTTATGGGGTCTCCTCGCTCGGGGATGATCGCTCATGGTGGACATTGAAGACGGTAAATTGGTGCCCTAAAAGATTGGTTACTGAGTTTTTCGTACATATATTCGTATGTAAAGGCTTATACGCGGAAATGATATACGCGGAAAAGGACTGGCGCGGCATCGTGCGGTTATCCCCATGGCACTATGGTAGCGAGATGCGGCATATGATGAGAATTAAAAATAACTAACCTATAAATAATCCCGGGAACTAACTACAGGATGATAAAAGAGAAAATAAACCGCTAGTTTCCATGATGATATCTCATATACAAATTAAAAGGACTAATAAATTCCTCCATAGCCCCCTTCATGCCCCCCCCTTTTTCTTCTATGTAGTACTAGGAGTCTGGTCCGATGCATCGGTGCTATTTTTCTATTGGGCAGGTCAAGGTTATAAAGCATCTCCCCGCAAACTAATTTAGTCTAGCCTCGAGACCGATCCAATTTTTCGTATTTTTCGTACTTTTCGTATTCCCCATATTTTTCGTATTCTATACGTAAATCTTCCTATTCGTTCCTTTTCGCAGTCGTCCTTCACGAAATTTCGCTTCACCATGGGAAACGCGTGAAATGATGCTATTACTGAGTTTAACAATGGAGAAGAACGGACGATAGTCCGCATTGACAATTTATGGGTGAGTTGAAATACTACGTCGACGATGTAGTTAGAATATAAATTTAATCTCTGCCTTCGGACGTTCTTAGTTATACTATAAAAGTAGACTAGTAACCCGACCTTTCTAAATTGATTCTGTGCAAAATCCCTTCCTCTACGAATAGGCGCGCTCATACTACCTTAAAGATGACTTACCTGTTAGCCAACCACAGTTGTACGGCGTCTACTTTCTCGACACCAACACTCTTTGGTGCTCAAATCCTCTCTGTGGACACCAACCTGGTCAATAATTACAGCTTAGATGTCCCAACAGGCTGGAGATATACTCAACCTGACGTTAATGTACAGAATATTACATTCTGTAACATTACGGTCACTTATACACATCCAGGGCTGAATGACACCATCAACGTTGAGACTTGGTTGCCCGTAGAAGACTGGAATGAGAGGCTATACGCGCCAGGAGGTGGAGGATGGATAGCTGGTCGCTTTATACTTCAATACGGGCCTATGGCTGCCGCCATTCAGGAAGGGTACGCCGCTGTAACGACAGATGCTGGCGTAACGACAGATGCTAGTATGGGAAGTTCTCTGTCTGCAGAATGGGCTCTTCTCAGTCCTGGAAACCTGAATCTAGTTGCGTTCCATGATCTTGGATATGTTACTCTGAATGATGCCGTAAGTGAATGGGACATGCCGGACAAGCTCTTCTTATAAAATCTCGTTAATGCTAATGTTATACATAGGCTATCATTGCCAAAGAATTGATACAGAGTTACTATGGCCAAGCTCCATCTTATTCATATTGGAACGGGTGTTCTCAGGGTGGTCGACAGGGCAGTATTCTTGCTCAACAATATCCTACGGCTTATGATGGGATCATCGCGGCGGCGCCCGCATTGTTCTGGGCAGAATTAATGACAGTCTCGGTTTGGCCAGCATTCTATATGGACTTCACGAAACAATATCCGCATTCGTGCGAGTTAACAAAGTTAACATCCCTTGCGGTCTCTGTATGCGATGAACTAGATGGCGTGGAAGATGGTCTTATCGCCGAACCAGAGGAGTGCCGACAAAAATTCTCTCCATCCGACTACATCGGAACTGTCTTCAACTGCTCAGCCACCGGAACGAACATGAAAATTAGCCCTGCTGCAGTGGCTGTTGCTAACGCTGTATGGGATGGTCCCAGCTTCTCCGATGGTGAATTCATGTGGTATGGATATGAAGTTGGATCCGACCTAGCGAAAATTGCCGCAACGACCTGTGATGAGAACGGACAGTGTATTCCTAGCGGCAGAGAACAGCTCCATAAAATGTATCAAGGCTTTATTCTAAGGGATCTGTCGACCAATATCACGAAAGTCACTCACGAGGAGTTCGATTATATGTTCCGTACCTTTAAACGAATATTCAGTTCATCAATGGCTGCAACCGATCCTAATCTCGAAGACTTCAAAAACGCGGGTGGTAAGATGATCACGTTTCACGGCCTAGTAAGTATTTCTGTAATAACTTTAGTCTTGACAAATGCTGATCTGAAAAAATAGGCGGATGATGCCATCACACCGGCCAGTACATTGAAATACTACAAACAAGTAATGGAACTGGACAACAAAGCTTCCGACTTCTTCCAATACTATCGTATCCCCGGACTCGCGCATTGTTGGGGAGGCGCTGGAGGTCAGCCTCAGAGTATGTTCGACCAGCTACGGCTGTGGGTAGAGAATGGGACAGCACCCGAGGCAAGTCCCGTCAAAATACAACAGTCAGGAAATACGACGAGGGATGAGATCATATGTCCGTATCCTAAGAAGGCGACTTTCAAGAAGGCTTGTACGAAATCGGCTTTTACTGCAGAATGCTGGTCATGCGAATAAGCACATTGAGGAAGATGATTGATTGATCGACTCTAGCACGTAGATATAAGATATAGGGGATATAAAATTATATATCGGGATAATATGAATAGCTAGAATTTACTCGATAATATTATGAAAATATTTGAAATTTACTGGGCAGTTAATAAAAGTTCCATTCATGGCTCTATGGCTTTATTCATGACAATAGCAAAAAAGTATAACCAAACATAAAAGGGGTAATTAAGTAATATGATTGCGCACGTGACTTAATTCGACTTACTGATAAGGCACCTTGGCATCTCTAAAGTCCGGGATAACAGTAACGCCGGCCCCAGCCGAGGGTGCAGGTGGACGGTGCTCAACCTCGAGATTCGGACGTTGACGGCGCCCGATCCCTGCGAAAGACCCCCATCTCAACTAAATTCCCTATCACGAAAATGTGCTCGAAGACATAGGTTTTTTGCTTTCGAATACGGGACTGCGCCTCGGACAAAAAGATAGTCTAACGAACAACTTGGGAGACGCAACCAGGCCCAAGCTTGGACGAACCTAGTGACGCACAGCCAAACTTGACTCTACCTATTGGAAACCTGGTCCTTCAACCATTTTCAGGTTTTATTACAATAAACGCGAATATTATACAATTTTACAATTTTACATTACAATTGACAATTCTCGGACTAATTCTCTCCTCCAAGTATTAACTCCAACCTGATTCTTGAGATCGGATTTTCAGCTTTGAAAGCGATTCGATAACTTAATATTACGGAATCCTTTCGCGGCGCCTTTATTTTATTTTTTTATAGTATATTGTTCTCATTGCGCTCGGTGTCATTGGTCCTGGTCCTATAGCCACAGGTATCCAAATTGCTTGCAGTAGACCGATCCTATCTATAGGCCAAAGGTGCCAAAGGCATATATATCTACGACAAGGCAATGGGTTCTCCACGTGTTGCGGTCCCCAAACCGGGACCGGCAAAGCTGACGCCTGGTGCGGGCTTGGATGAATGGCTCGAGCAAGCTAAACAATGTCGTTATCTACCCGAGCCAGTCATGAAAGAGCTTTGCGAAATGGTTAAGGAAGTCTTGATGGAAGGTATGCTCGTTTTGGTTTCATAACTTGACAGCAGACGACAGATCCAATCTAACTTCTATTGATTTTAGAATCAAACATTCAACCCGTAATCACCCCAGTTACCATCTGTGGTGACATCCATGGACAATTCTACGATTTGCTCGAGCTTTTTCGCGTCAGTGGCGGCATGCCAGGCCAACCTGCCACAGAACCCCCCGCATCCTCCACTTCTGTCATCACATCAGCCGATATCGAGCCTCCGACAGAGATCACAAATCCGAAACTGAAGAAAAAGATAAAGAAGCCAAAAACCACGATTGGAGACGTTCCGGGACTGCCTAGTGACGAATCTACCAATGTAGAAGAGGAGGAGGAAGAAGGCAACGATTCTGGGCAGCGCAATTCCTCAGACTCTGCGTCACCAGTCGTAAATGCTGATACCCGTTTTGTGTTCTTGGGCGATTTTGTGGACCGAGGATACTTTAGTCTCGAGACCTTCACACTACTTATGTGTCTAAAGGCCAAGTAAGAAACTCCTACATCGTATATATTACAGTGTCTTCATTCTCACACATATCAGATATCCGGATCGGATTGTCCTTGTCCGTGGAAATCATGAGTCTCGTCAGATCACTCAGGTATACGGGTTTTACGAAGAGTGCCAACAAAAATACGGAAATGCATCTGTTTGGAAGTCTTGCTGTCAAGTCTTTGATTTCCTGGTTCTAGCAGCCATTGTGGATGGTGAAATACTTTGTGTTCATGGGGGTCTGAGTCCCGAAATCCGCACCATTGACCAGATCCGCGTGGTGGCCCGAGCACAAGAGATCCCGCATGAGGGTGCGTTTTGTGATCTTGTCTGGAGCGATCCTGAAGAAGTCGAGACTTGGGCTATTAGCCCAAGAGGCGCAGGATGGCTTTTTGGTGACAAGGTAGCGACGGAATTTAACCATGTCAATGGATTAAAATTGATTGCCCGTGCTCACCAGCTCGTTAACGAAGGTTATAAGGTAAGGCTTTTTCTGTCTAGTTGCATATTCATGATTTCGGAATATAACTATATTAACAAATAAAACAGTATCACTTCCCACAAAACTCGGTTGTCACAGTCTGGTCAGCGCCAAACTACTGCTATCGTTGTGGAAACGTGGCTTCTATCATGTCAGTTGATAAGAACCTGGACCCGAAGTTTAGCATATTCTCGGCTGTGCCTGATGATATGAGGCATGTTCCTGCGGGACGACGTGGGCCATCTGATTACTTCTTATGATGACGCACTATACATGAGTTATAAAACCCTTCGCAGAATTTTGAAGTTCTTGATACCACCACAAAGGCGTTATGGGGAGAGGATTTTTCACGTCGTTTCATACAGCATGAAGGACTGATGAACGGGGACCAAAGGGTATAGACAACACGGCCCGGGCATGTATGATGGTAAGGATGGATAAGGGGTCGACCATGGAAATGTAGCACCGTATTTCACGGTAGCGTTATGATCTGTATAGTAGGACTTTGGAATCACTGTCCGTTACGTAGCGGGCGAAGAGAGTTAAAGGTGACGTGTGCACCCCGAGTTAACACGATATGAATTTTGCTTTATGGAGTTATTTGCCTATACTGAATTCTGTTATAACTTGACTTCTGATATGCTGAATTGATTGAAATAGTTGGGTACTGACTGGGCTCTTGACTTTGGAAGGATACCTATATTTTAGGAGATATATACATACATGTAGTAGATAAAGACATAATACGGATAGTTACATAATTGTCTCCTATGTATTCCGTAGAACCAACAGTGACGTTAGAGCAAAGTGGGTAGTGAGGGGTTCTAGATACTAAGGTACCCCAACTACATGTAGGTACCTACCTTAGGTACTCAAATCCCAAGTCTCCAATCTCCAATTGGACCCCTCAATTTTCATCTACGCGCCGCAGCGCGTCCGTCTACCGCCATTTCCAGGGAAATAATTATTTACATTACTACATATCTTAGGTACCTACCTAGGTATCTTAACAATTGGTTCGAGGAAAACTTCGCATGTTTCATCTAAACCGAAGAAGGAAGAAAAGAAATCAGTAGAGCCTCAGTTACTATCACTATTTGACAATGGCATCCAACCAGCAGTCACTTCAACGCTCCACGACACCGGTTGGAACCCGCGAGAAGACCTACTTTGAGCAGCAGCGGGAGGCGCTGATTGATGAGATAGCTATGGTGCGTATCCCACCCATATTCTTCCCCTTTTCCCCCTTTTATCATCTCGTAGCCTAGTTTTAACCATCTTCATTCACAGAGCTTCGAACACGTCCTCGCCAATATCAACAAGTTGAACCGGTCTCTCGAGGCCGTAGTCGCCGTTGGCAACGAGTTTTCGTCCGTCGAGGCGTTGTGGTCGCAGTTCGAAGGCGTCATGGCGAAGGATCCCGACGAGGGTACACCCGAAGGTGAGGGACAAAGGCAACAGGATCGGAACGACGGCGAGAGCGGCGAATCGGCGGCGGCTAGAAAAAGCTGAAGAGGAAAGTGGCAACGTTTATTGCTGACTACAAATCACGAAGATCGGGAGATAATGACTACGTTTAGGATTAGGGGGAGGGGTGATGATTTATCATGACGATACCCGCCATGGCTACAACTAGTCATGGCACATTACAGGAACATATCACAAATCACGAACTACACAATCACAAGGCAAACGCAATTCAAAGAGTTATTATGAATTTCTTTATTTCCTATCCCATGCCATGTCAAGTCAAGAAGAACTCGCGCAACAAAAGGAAAAGATCCCTCGGTATAACATGAATGGTGATACACCCGTTTTCAGGTCCAATCCTTCCTGCCTGACTCCCTTCCTCCCTCCCTCCTCGGCGAACAACTGGCGAAATGGGGGCTTGTCTTCTTCTTCTCGTCCTTTCGGCCTTCCCTCCTTCCTTTAACTTTAAGAAAATATAATGCGCCGGCCGCATCAGCTTATTCGCAGAAATGACCAAGCCGACCAGCTAGCCAGCCAGCCAGCCGGGCCGAGACGACAACTTCGAGAAAAACACCATTGCCCTCCTTAACCCTAGTCATTAGACCCTATACTTAAAGGGAACACTTTCGCAGGAACGCCGTGGTCGAAGAATCTTGTATGCAAGAACTCTCTGTCTCTTTCTCTTCTAAGGAAAGCGAAGAAGAAAAATGTCGATGAAAAAAATAAAATAAAAATAAAAATAAAAACGGCGATCCTTACCTATCCTTCCCGCTATCGTAACAAGAAGCGTCGTTGAGAAAGTGAACAAAATAAAATAAACAATATGATGTCATGCAAAAGTTGATCATTAACCGGACTTTTTGTGTTTCCGTCGTCGTATCCATCCAAATGCCCATTCAGCGTTCGTAAGTAAGAATTGCTACCTCGTCGCCCTTCACAAGAAGTTGCAGTTCCGCTTCTTCTTCTTAAAAGTACGGATCCCGGGGATCCCGCCGCTGTCTCGTCCCCCGCCCGCAGCGCTACTACCGCCGCCGACGGACGAGGGAGCCGCAGCCATTGCCACCTCGAGGTTACGCCGATCGTTGGCCACTACGGTCTGGATCGCCTTATCGAAGATCTCATCTACGCCCGTCATCTCCTTGCTACTGCACTCCATGTACTGGGCGCCCATCTTCTTGGCGACCGCCATGCCCTGCTCGGTAGTGACAGGCGTAAGGCCTTGCGTCTTGAGCATCTCGATACAGGTCTTCTTGTTCCGCAGGTCCGATTTCAGTCCGACGAGGATGAGAGGTGTGTAAGGACAGAAGTGGAGAACCTCGGGGTACCACTATATCATATGTTAATATCTATCGTAAGGAGGCGATGAGGACGTTTGGAGACTAACCTTGTCGAGGACATTGTCTAAGGAGTTGGGACAGTCGATGGCGAAACAAACAAATATTAAGTCTGTCTCCGGGTACGACAGCGGCCGTAGCCTATCGTATTCTTCTTGACCGGCGGTATCCCACAGCGCAAGCTCGACGGTCTTACCACTCGGTTGGTGAGTCGGGTATGTGATGTAATTTTCGAAGACAGTCGGGACATATTTCTGGACCAACGTTAGCTTCCGAGAAGTATGAATAATTTCCCCGTGGGGGGAAACTAAGGCTATATATGATAAGGCTATCTATCACATCATATTTATATCTTACCTCAGGGAAATATCCTTGACTGTAACTGATTAGGAGACATGTCTTTCCGCAGCCGCCGTCGCCGACTACTACGATCTTCTTGGAGTATGCGGGTGCGTCTGTGACGTGCGTCCCCGATGATTCTCTACCCGTCGACGCGCTCATGACTGTGCTGACTGTGCCTTCGCTGGACCGCGTGTTACGCCCTTCTTTGCCTGTCGGCCGTCTCTGAACACCATTATCGTACTTCTCGCTCGCAGGTTGACTGCCGTACTGGGAATTGCGATATTGGTAGTTAGCCATGCCGGTGCGCCGTGGCAAGTAATTTCGTGTAAAGTACTTTTTTTTAACCCGGATGTATATGCTGGTTAATTGTCCTATTAAGTCACGTAACCCTCTTTCTCTTTAACCCCGTTGATTAGGCGAATACAATGTAGAGGTGTTTCGGCGAGCCGAACAATGGAGAGGATTAATAGATGGGATGGAATGGAGGTGAGACTTTTTTTTTGTATGATCGAAGTCTGGATTCGAGGACTTGTTTGTTAAAAAAGGGCAAGAACGGAATTGTCATGCAAAGCTACGAGCAGGTTGGTTTGGGGGGCAGATTGTGGATGTCTGAGGCTGAGTTGGTCGCAATGGTTGGTTGATCGGGCTCATGCATTTCGTCAGACGTCAATAGAAAGGTCAATTAGAACGTCGACAGGGCAACGATTTTACTCCACTCATAGTTTCACCGTTTCAGCTTGCATAAGTCAAGCCCCACATTCCAATCAAGGCAAATAAGCCAATTAGACGCGCTAATATCTTTAGTGGCATGGATTTATCCCTGTTTATCCCGCTTCCTTGGAAGATTGTGCATTTTAGGTTCCACTTTATTAAAAAAACCAGCCACTTCTGCCACTGCAGCCCCCACCTGTCCCACCAGGTTTTGAGGCGTTTGAGGCTCCACGCTAAGGCTACTTTGTACTTAAAATTTTCTTTTACCAGCCGCCTCTTAATTCTTCTTTTCATCCAACTCATCTACTTGCATTGCCAAGCTGCAAGCACCCCCCAAGAATTTTGCAGAACATCTCTCAATATGGCCACCAGCAGTTCCAGTCCGCACAAATTCGTAACTCTAGTCTCCAGTGATGGTTTCGAGTTTGTGGTGCTTCGGGAGGCAGCCCTTGTCAGTCCTGCGATAAAGAGCATGCTGGATCCGAAGAGTATAGCAAATCCCTCTTGATACGAATTTTGATTCCCGGGAAACGGACTTACAAGTGTTAGGCCAATTCTCCGAGGCACAAAGCGGTCAATGTGTCTTTGAAGAGATCAAGTAAGTCGAGGAATCCCGGTTATTAGCTCGTACGCCTTTATTCACGTTCATATACATCGTCAGTGATGAATCACAAAATTTCGCTGTGTTCTTACTGACAGACCGTCAATATGGTCTGAATGACAGCCAACTACACTTGATCTGAGACACTTGTTCTTGCAACTACCTATCAACTGCCATCTCTCGTCACATGCCAATTTCAAACTCCGGGACTGACCAGGCCTCATAGCGGAATGGTGCTCGAGAAGGTTGTCGAGTACTTCCACTACTGGTACAAGAACCGACAAAGAGAAGACGTCCCGGATATGGAAATCCCCGTGGAACTCTGCCTCGAGCTCTTAATGGCTGCGGACTACTTGGGACTCGACAGTAAGGACACCAACTGCTCCATCCACCACAACTGAAAGTTCACCACTCATGTTTCTCCTACCCGCAGAGCCGACATAGGCTATCCAACAACCATATAAGAGGTAACTGCAGCGAGGTTAGATAATATGTCACTGGGTATGGGTCAAGACCGGCGTTTTTTGGCGTTATGATATCACCACACGACTATTATAATGTTTATTTCTAGGCCCAGGTAGAGGTAATGATGGACGAAGACTAAATGAAATTGGATATTCACGACTAAACTCACCCTTCGCCAAGATAAATACGATGGTAAGTCCAACGTAGAGAGAGCAAAGCTTCTCAACCAACATAACCCATCTAAGCATATGCGTTCAACACTTAACTCTTCCGTGGGTTGAATGTCTATATCGGATGGGAGATCAATTATCATCCCCCGTCACTCTGCGTGGCTTGTGTTTCTCTGTAGAGACCATGCTTTTTAGGAGGGGATACATCTCTATTAGATCTACCAGTCCCTATATTAGAATCAGAATTTCTAATCAAATTCGTTCATATCAATTCGTCGTTTCTGCACGTTTATTTAACTTCCTTTTCCGTGTAGATAATAATACAAATGTCACCTCCTAGGACACTTCATAATTTGAGGCTCACAAGTACATCTTCCTCCGAAATTTAATCTTCTCGAGTAAGCTAAGTCGTGACAAAGATATATTATACTGAGAGGTAATTGTAAAGATTCTCATCCGTAATAATTCTTTGCGAACAAATATTTCCGTGGTCCAGCATCATTTCTTCCACCCACCCCGGGGTCCCCCTCGGCCACCACCTCGACCTCTACCCCGTCCTCCTCTATTGAAACCACCTCTATGGCCACCACCCCTTCCTCCTCTAGAACCCCCACCGCCTTGATTAACCCTTGGTGCTACAGGCGACGGCCCTTTCTCCTTTCGCTCCGCCCTTTCCTCAGGGCTCGCGTCCCAGAGATTTGACACACCGACTAACTCGCAAAAAGCCGTGGTCTGAGGGTTGGTGTATTCATCCGGCTGGTAGTTGACCGTCTGAGGGTCGACTCCTGGCCGGTGCGGCGGAGCGGTGAGAGTAAAATTCTTAGGTATGTCTAGCTTACCGGCGCGGACGATATTTTCCTCTACCCAGGCGCGCTCATGATCTATCATTGGCTGATATGCCGCTTCACCCGAGTCAGGGGGCGTTTGAGCCGTGGGGTCACCTATGGTTAGATGTGGTGCAAAGACACGCGTTATAGCAAGCCACTCCGGATCATATTGTAGACGGTAGCGTTGTTTTCGATCAGTCGATGGTGGAAATGTAGTTAGGTTTGTGGGGTCAACAGGTGTTGCGGAGCAAAGCTGAACAAACTTGCGACCAGGTAGACACTTGTCTAAAGCAAGGAAGCGAGTAGTGGTATTTGTTATCGTAGGTGGGACAGGTTGTCCCGGAATAACCTTGGGTTGGGACGGCGCCGGTCCGGTAAATGATGCTGGGAGCTGTGCGCGAAGTTCATCGGATACTCCGACTACTGCGGTTGTGCTGATGGGTTGTGTAGAATTAACCACATCGGCAGATTTTGTTGGAGAGTGGCTGTCTTCATCATCCTCCATATCCAAGTCAATCTCATCGGGGTTTGCGACAGCCTCTTCCGAGACGGCTGGCACAGCTTCTGCCTGCTTCTCTGCTAGTTCATTAGAAGATGTCTCGGCGTTGTTTGGAGGTTCATATGTTTTAACAGCAGCAAATTTGCAGTGCAAGTGTGCAGAGAACCAGTACGCCGGCCTCAGTCTATCCATCACATATGTAGCTGCCGGATTCCCTAAAGAGCCGTCAAGGCTTTCCTGTCTGAAATCAGGTTTCATCTTCCATAATGCAGAGGAATTGCCATGCTTTTCTATTTCCCTTGGCCAATCATGGCTGAATCCAATATCGACTTGCTCCCGGAGCTGTAAGAGCTTGCGTACGTCGAACTCACGCACGTGATAAAAGCTCTTAATATCGTCCTGGTTGAAGGGTAGGCGCTCGTGATGCGGCTTTCGGTAATCGTAACCCTTCCAAATACCGCTCATTGCGGCAATGCGTAGCGGGCCAAAGCGTAGCACGTTAGCAGCCCCCATATAATAGATATTTGGCGCGACCCAACCACCATAGTACAATTCCCATAGGTACGAGCTGGCCTCGTGGTTTCCAGCGATGAATATAGTCAAGTATGGTGCCTTCTTTTCACCGCTATAGTATGCCGGGAAGTCCCCAAGCTGGCGATACTTGGGCGGAACCGCCATGACCGAGAGATCTGCTGCATTGCGGGCAGACTATATCTCTTGTTAGTTTTTACCGACGAGGTGAAACTTATAATAGGATGATATGTTACCTGGAAATCGCCTCCAATTATGAGAAGATCTACACCATCCCAACCTCTATGTTTAGAAGAAGCAGCCACAGAGGAATAGATGGCATCGAGTGTTCCATGACCCTACACGATTATACATTAGATACGTGTATATCATAGTCTATTCGGAGTAAACTTACACAGCCCTCAAAAGCAATTCGGACACCATCTTCTTCGTGCGTATTATTTTCCATTACTTTCTGTTTATGTTTTGCTGTCTTTGAATCGGACTTATATCGAAATTGGTTTCTTATGACGATAAGAGGTGCAAAACGACGCTGTGTTTTAGCGCCAATGGACACTAATAACGATATTGTTCCCGAGCGCCATGGGGAACACCTGCTCGATATAATTAACATAGAGAGTTGCTAGGATTTCTCATTGTTATGTCCAACTCACATGCATTGAACCGTTACAAACAGGATGGCAAAAAAAAAAGCCTACCCCAGATAGGACGGAAGCTTGAGCTCATGTGGAGATGAATAGCCGCTAGTGCGAGTTCAATAGGTGTTAGATACCTAAGTACATGCGTCACGTAGTGGACCTAATGCAACCCTCTTAGGTACATTAGGTAATGTAACAATAGGTACCTACATGTAGGTACCTTAGAATAACTACCTACATCCATACAGGCAGGTACTATCGCAGATCTTCTCATTAGGTACCTATGTAGGCTATACATAGCAAGGCGCCTTACTTTTATGACGTTAGGTAACTAACTTGAGGAAGTACCAAACTGATACTCAACTTTATCATGTATCATGGAACTTGATCTACCTCATCCTCATCCTCATCCGTTTCCACATTATAATACTCTACCTTACCACAATCCTTATTAGGTACATACTACACACGCGTATTTATAGAATCCCCGAATATTTCTACCTGGCGTTACATAGACGCAGCTGGTTTCTTGAATATTGAATTTCGGCCAACAATATTAGTGTTACCTACGTAAGAGAAAAGGGGGAGAAAGGCAACCATGGCGAATTCGATAACACCAGTTACCATCCAAGGGCGGTACTTTTGGAAAGGTAACCTGCGGGTAAGTCTACATTGCTATTCATAATATATCGAGGGTATAGGCTAAGTATAAAATAAATGGATAGTTCATTATGAACGGCGTCGTATACAGAAACTATGAGATAGGCGCGGATATGCTGGCCGATGACCGCATAGAGGACCTCGAACAGGCCATTCCAATATTAAAACAACTCAGTATTAACACATTATTCATTAGTGAGTTAATTCTAGGAGCATTTTGTTTCCATATACCTCCAGCCTCAGAAACAAGGCGAGATAGCGAGAATAACTGGCTTACAAAGGTAACCAGGTCAAATCAATGAAACCAAAAACCATAAAGCTTGTATGGACCTGTTAGCTGAGCATGAGATATATGTTCTGGCTGTGAGTTAACTTTTCCTATTTACCTTTGTTCAATAAGATTGCATATACCCATATACCTACCTACCTACCTACCTAAAGTAGTTATCAGTTACCCCTCTCATAATCGGATGTCTGCTGTACTCACATGTGGAGGATGGTGATAGTCTATCGAACCAGTTCTCCCCACCGTTAATCCTAATACACCCATGCTATCGTACACATCAAACACCATGCAACGCTTCTTTCAGGCCGTTGAAAATCTAGCGAGCTACCCAAATCTACTAGGTTTCGCCATCCCCAACGACTTACTCAGAGTTCTAGAACGAACAGTTGCTGCGCCTATCATCCGCGCCATGGTGCGTGATATTAGACGGTATCTCAGCCTTCTCGCCGTCAAGAGAAATCAAAGGATTGTTCCAGTCGGCATATTCTCGTTAGACATGAGCCTCCCGCTGAAAGATCAGTTCGAGTACTGCTGTTCAGGAGATGATAACGAAACAGTCGATTTCTTTGTCGTAAGTACCCATCTCTTTTAACAGTAACTGAATGTAATCAAATAGCTCTCATTACTAACCCACTCTACCTTATACAATCCAGTTTGACTACGTCTGCTTTGATGCCAAAAGGGCGATGCAGACGTCCAAAGGCCCAGAGCCACTCGAGATGTTCTTTAACACGCATATACCAGTATCGTTCGTATATGGCTATAACCGTTTGATTCCACGTGGGTTCCTTGACACCCGCACGATTTACTTGCACCCGGACATGAGACATGTGTTCTCAGGTGGTATCGTGTTCCAGTTCTTCGACGGGCCAAACAGGGACGGCCTCGTGGCGTTGACTCGACGAAACGACGGCAGGCTATATTACGACAAGACGATAGACTACTGGAATCTGCGCGATAGCGTGAACATGGCTTTTGTAACGCTACCAGCTTCAATAATAGCTCGCTCCCGCCTCGTTGAAACGGCTGCTATGTCAGGAACGAAGCCTAAACGGTCTCATATCAACCAGAATATGCTAGCAATAGGGCAGGTACCTGCTAGCCCTGTGAACTGGACAGAGGTCGAGGCGCACATTATCGATGACGGCGAGTGGGTCGACGCGGGTAAGGAGTGGCTGGACTTAACTGTTGAGGATCTCACAGCCTCGATGTGGGATAAGTTAAATATCGATGAAGCAAATTCCTAGATGAACGAGTACGCTCCGAAGATCAAGTTGGGGAAGTTCTGGAATATAGCGTTTTATCAGCGATGCTCTCTATGCAAAGCAGTATCTCTTAACTGCAGCTTTTAAAGATAGAAAATTAAGCCCATACGTTTTAAGTTGGCGATAATTATAAGGAAAAGTAAAATGACAAGAATTGTTGATGATAATCGACCCTTTTCACATGGCGGCTAAAGAAGTGCGGAAATATGACCTATGCCCATTTACTTAGCACAATGCATATCAGGCCCCCCAACCTGCAAATATGAGAAAGCTCTAAAAGATACCTAAGTACACACCCTTGGCTAGGATCATAGCGAGTCTTGAGATGTAGTAGCAATAAATCACTTTTCTATTCCTTAATAATAAACGCGGCTCCTAAACCCATTCCTCGAGCTCTAAGCAGGTATCTTCATACTAAAATGGCAAATATTCAACCTATTTACATAACCTTCCATCAAGCGCCATTAGTCTGCGCATCTCCATTAGTATTAATAGCATCCGCTTCGTACCCCTCGGTCTTCATATCGAGAAGTCCAAGATCCTCCTCTTCCTCCTCTGTGCGCTCGTAGTCCTCTGTCGTGATCTGGGGATCGACCTGATCTGGGTCGACAGCTTTCTGGACGTAACTGCTGGCTAGTGGGTCGGTAAGGATAATAGTGAATTTCTTGTCGCCCTTGATAGCGGCGTCGATGTCCTTGAAGAATTGCGCCCATTGCGACTTATCATTATCACTCAGAGAGTCGCCTCCTTCCGAAGTACCGGTCTCGAAGATCTGGTTGTGTAGGTCGTTGCGTACTTGCGTCAGGAGACCTTCGACGGTTGTGAATCGGCCACCCAGCGTTCCGGGGTTCACTTGGAGGTTGAGTTCGGGGCTTTCAAGCGCACAGCTCTCGCTCTTGAGGATGTCTCGAGCGAGGTCTTCTTCGGTCTCGACTTTTAATGTTATCTTCTTGCCTAGCTTTGGTATCTCTCCTCCGGTCTTAACATCATTGGATCGATATCCACAGTCGACACAGACAGTTGACATCAAGACAACAGACTTAAAGTGCGGGATATCCACCATCTTCATGTTTGTTGTGCAAGGGTGCATGCATCCAGGACAAGTGGCCGGGAATTCGTACACCTGGTCTGGAATTATATCCTCATCTTCCGTAGATTGACCAGCACTAGTTGTCGGATTCGCAGGGGCGAGTCCCAGTGCTTCATTTTGTTCCGGAGTGCGCACATATTCATGCTTTTCCCATTTGCCAACACCATCACGCATGTTAGGAGTAATCCAGGAATTTCCAGCCGGGTCGTCAACGGAAAGTCGGAATGGGAAGGACTCGCCCGCTAACATTTCTCGGCCCTTCTTGATTATTTCGTCGATCTTAGTATACACTTCCGGTGCTTGTTCCTTTCGCGCCTCTTGTCCAAGCTCAAGGTCATCCACGATCGTTCTTAGGAGACCCTCTACATTCGTGAGCTGTCCGCGGCCCGCGGGAACTTCTAGATCGAGTTCAATGAACTTGACAATAGAAGTGTCAGACTTGATCACCGTTCTCTCGAAATCGGCCATTTCGGTTAGTCGCAGTAAGTAGCTCGATCCTTTGGGCTGGATGGTACCGGCCGACTGTATCTCAGAATTTGAGAAGCCACATTTGTCGCAAGAGAAAGACATGAGTATGACTTCACGGAAATAGGGGATCGAAGTAAGAAGCATGCGTGTTATGCCCTAGAGAATGTCAGGACAGTGATGATTAAAACTAAATAAATTTAGTAATAATACATACGTTTTCATGGCAGTTCATGCACAGCGACTCGATTTCCTCGACAACCTTCTCATCGTCGCCATTCGTATCCGCGACTCCATTTGTTCCATTTGTTCCATTGGTAGTGGGGGCGAGATGTCCAGCTTTCTGACCGATGGACTCGAAGAAGTCGGTTGGAGAAACTATAGTAGAGTGTCCTGGTTCGTCGACTGTAGGCATTTTGAATCGTATTATTATTTTCAGCTCTTGTCGATAATAAATTGTTTTGGTTCTTTGCTCGTTGTCAAAATATAGGTAGGTAAATATGTTGATCGACTACTTTTATTCTGTTTGACTCAAAATAAAAATTTGGAGGGGCATTTGTCGCGGTAGCGCGGGGTTATGACATATCCCACAATCAAAATCTTATCAGTGGCACACAGCACCACAATCGCCCGGGAGCTAGTGATTGCTAGCCCCTGTTGGAAGGGTCGAGAAGTGTCCTGCCAATGGCAACTTTTTGTAAGCAATGTACCTAGGTACCTCGTAACACGCGATCTACATAGGTACCTAAACGTGAATATAATGGAATTCAATACCTTAGGTTAAGTACCTAATCCCAATACCACGTAGATAAATCATTTTGACATGAAGTCGCTCAAACTCAAGCCAAGGCCATTCTGAGGTTTCAATGCAGAAGATTGAGCTTGTAGAAGTAAAGCTTGAAGACCTTGTTTCCTACTCTTCGCCCTTTTCTTACTGCTAGCACTTGCTGAGACTGAGACTTTAGCTGGCTCGGGGAGTATAGACGCATTGCGGTGAGCCGTGCCTAAACTTAGGGACTTTGCTGACTTTAGTGGGCGACGCCTAGATATAGGCGCTACGGGAGGAAGTACGATATCAGTATACCGACCACACATCCCACAAGTAAACTTCTTTCGACCGTCGGCTGTTAGTGTGTTCTTCCCAGTTATAACCTTGGAGCTACCGTTCTTCCTTTTCAATTCTTTTTGCTGGTGTTTCTTTTTTCTCTCCAGCTTCAGCTCGCTCCCTTGGCCGGGAATCATAATATGTCCACAAGCACCGCACACGTGTTGTCTTTGCAAGTCCGACTGCTCTAAATCATTGTGGAATATTAACGAGTTCCGCTGCGTCATAAGATACGCCGATGTCTCAGGTGCCGTCTTCACGAGAATATGAGCGGCATTAGTGAGAAATCCAAGGCTTTGCGGTAGAGTCTCGCTTGCCATGTTGAAAATTGTGGTCAAATAGGGGTTCTTGTTTTTCTTGTTTTTCTTGTTTTTCTTGTTTTTCTCACAGACCAGAGGAGTGGGAAATTTCGGAGACCCATTAAAGAACCATTTAACGCATATATCTTTTATATGTATATACTACTGTTTTTATGAGGATACACATATGATACCCATGTATGTAACATAGGTAACTACATAGAAAGGGAAGTTATCATTCTGTTGTCATAAATCCCCATCCCTTAACATAAACACATCGCATCCTAGAAGCAACTACCTTCCTCCCTGAGTCATATACTACTATCTACCAACTTACTCGTAGGTCGTAATGGCAACTTCGCAGCTACATAAGCCATATCAAGCATCTTTGTGGTATTGATCGAATCAATGCCGCTCACCCACTGTCGTGCTTCACGCCCACGGACTTTGTTAACGAACCCCTCCAGCTGATATCGGTAAGTCGTCCAGGAAGGCTCGCCCGGTTGGTCGATGTCAACTTCTTTGAATGTGTAGGCCTTGATTGTCTTGCTCTTCGTCCACTTCTTAATAGCAGTTCCAGACTTGTCCCCAATCTTCCTTGTTAGGAACTTGTCGTCTATCTGGATGGAATGGAAAATCGTGGGCATGACAAAATTTGAGAACTTGACCTTCCGTATACGCACCACTTCCTGATCCTTGGGCACTTGGATCCCTACATCCGCACTGGATACCACTATAGGAATATGCTCCACGTAAATATTAGGCGACATGCGATCAAGGGGCGCTTTTAGATCGCCCTCCATCTCGCCCCGCCTGCCACCTGGAAATTTATACCGTGCCTTGAAAAGCTGGTCACATCTCGAATCGTAGGAGGCTGCCTGAGTGAGGCATTCTTCACATTCCTCTGCCACAGAGCCAAACACGCGGGTAAGAGCGCTCGCCGTGTATGTTCCAAGATCCATGAGCGCGCCTCCTCCCAGATCATACTGGTATCTGATGTCGTCGGCGGCAAACTTCCACTTCGGAACCCATAGCACTGCTTTCGCACTGGAAACGTCGGTAGGTGAAACGTATGACATAAATGTGGTCCAAGCAGGATGGAAAGCATAATGCGCAGCCTCGAGTAGGATTGGCGCTTTAGGGCTGTTAAGAATAGGGTTTTTGAAGAGGGCCTCCGCTTCAGTTACGTTGTCCACCGACGGCTTCTCTAATAGAACATGCTTCCCAGCTTTCAAGGCCCGAAGAGCCCACTCGAAGTGCAATCCATTAGGCAAAGGTATATAGACGCAGTCGATATTAGGATTATCGAGTAAATCTTCAAGTGCCGATGCGTAGTAATGGTTAGTATTTGTTCTTAACGTAGTGTAATATACAAAGTCAAAAATCATGCAGTTACCTTGATAGTTCGAAGACACCTCTTGTATTCCATGTTTCTGGGCAAAGGTTTTCGCCTTCTTCGGATCTCGAGCGGCTACGGCCTGAACCACAACATCCGGATGAGTCTTTGCCGCGAGGATAAGAGCTATCGGTGCAATATAAGCGGCACCGAGGATTCCGAACCGGAGCGGACCAGTCGACTTAGGAGCTTCGGAAGGGTTGAACACTAACCAATTGCGCCGTGCGAGGCCAAATAAAGACGCCATTATAAGCGACTATTCTTTATTGATGAATTATTGGGAAGCTTTTAATTATAAAAGCGGATTTAATACAGGCGAATAGCAATATATATCCGGTAAGAGGCACCTGCATACCGTTTTATACCTAAGGTTACATACATATATGTATAGGTACGTAAGGTAGGTGGTCAAGGTATAGGAATTAGATTGGGTGACCAGTAATAGGAACATTTTTCTAATGTTACCTTACATGCTTTATCATCCTTGCAAAGGTATTTCAACTAACCAACAAAGCGTAAGTCCATCAAAGAGCTAAACAATACTAAAAGGACCAGTCGACATATTTACAATAATAAAAGTTGACTCACTACGCTTCATTCATGTCCACCACAAATCAACACATACTTCACAATATAAGCAAGTTCAAATCGGGACGTACAACTCTATGCTATCAATTGAAGATTATCGGCTTGCGCGCTAAATTTTATAAATGCCAAAAGGTATCCAAGCATCTAATCATGAGCATGCAGATTTCCTGTCCCTATATGCTATTCCAATTACTCCTTCAACACGTATCAACTACCACTACACTGTAATGCGATGCACTTATAGAATGCTGCCGAGGATGCCACCGACGATCTTGAGAAGGCCGCCAACAACACCCTGGAGCTGACCAACAAGGCCGTTGATCTCATCAGCAAGAGGACCGACGACGCCACCAACAACCTTAAGGGCGAAGCCGAGGACGGGCTTGGCAACGGGCTCGACGGTAGAGAGGACAAGCTGGAGCTCAGGCTGGACAGCCTTAAGGACATCTACAAAATAGATTAGTATTAAAACGTACGAAAATAGTGAAATAAAACGTACCAGCAGGGACGGTCTTGGTGATTTGATCAGCAGTAGCCTTAACACCGGTAGCGATGGAGAGCACGCCGTTCAGTAGCTCAGGGACAGCCTTAAGCTCAGTGTCAAGCAACTTGGGGATATCCTCAGTAACGAGGGGAGTGACATCGCCAACGATCTTGGTAACCTCGCCGGCAATGTTGAGGAGAGCGTGCTCGAGCTGGGGGATCAGAGCAGAAGTGTTGAGGCTGACGTTGACGTCCAACAGGCTGGCTACGACTTTGTTAGATACCAAATCCGACCAATAGTGATCATTCCGACTAAAACGTACTGATAGACTTGAGTTCACCGTCAACGGTCTTCTGGACAGTGCCGACAGTAGCAGTGGCAGTGGCGAGAATCTCGAGGGCACGAGCATTGTTCTGGTGAGCAGCCGGGGCGGCGATGGCAGAGCCAAAAGAGAAGGCAGCGAGAGCGAAGTTGGAGAAACGCATTTTGGCTGGCGATGTGGTTATCGACGGGAAGGGTATATTAAGCAGTGGGAAAAGCTGAGAGCTTGAGATGTCAAAGAGTGACTAAGTTGGAAAGTAGAGAGCGACTGGGTGAGAGAACCTGAAAGCTGATGGGATGAGGAGCAAGAGAAAGTATCTGATGATGCTGACAGGTGATGGCAGATATATACTCCCCGAGACTGCCGACTTGCCAACCCATCGCCCCTGAGTTTTACATTCATCTCGCCCATGTTGATTCTACCATCATCCACTCTGGTAGAGTCTAACATCCCTTGTGATGTCGTCACTCGTCAGGGACTAGAATAGCGATGAACATTTCCTCTCTTCTCATTTTGCTAGCCAGGAACATTCAGGGTTAAACCTTGGCGAACATGGTTAGCACATGGTAGAACGGGTACCAGCCGGATGGATTTAGCTAGGATTTGCAATGTTTTCCACCTGTTTTCCACGACGAAGCTTATTGTCGAATTACGGTCGAATTGTTTGCCATTTCAAGGAGAAGTGGATCTATCAACCGTGCGTTGCGGTCCAAAGGGGCGGATACTAACCTAAGGGGTTATATTACCCCCGCATTGACCAATATCACTGGCCAACGTGGTTAAAGAGACGATCACAATGTTACCTATCCCTCCCCATGCCGAAAACTCCGTTGCCGGCCATCCTTAATTATTTACGCCAACGGAGTACGCGATGTCGAAAACGCAACTCGTCTGTTTACTTCGTCATGAGCTAATTGCACTAGCTATTCAGTACACCTCCGCCAGGATGGTAACCGTTAGGGGCTCCATCCTGCCCCATTTAAGTCCCGCAGGTAACTTACAGGGCAATTTATATGAAGAAAATACGTGGTGGCCCATATGAGTGGCTTGTGCGAGGCCTAACATCTTCATATTTCGAAATCAACAAAAGAATAAAAAGTAGAAATTAGGGGATTTCCCATATAAAATCCCCTGGCCGCTACTTGTGGATTGTGTATGGGGCAGTGGAGCCCCTAACGGTTACCATCCTGGCGGAGGTGTAGTGTTTAAGCTTTAAAGACCCCCGGCATGTTACAATCTAGTCGTAGTGAGGCCATACCACCGCATCATCATTCAAAGCAAACTCAAATTACTTACATAGTAGTTAAATGATATGCCCACTCCAATCCACTCCAGCTATGTTGACCCAAGTAGAGAAAAGAGCCATAGTGTTGACTATCAAACGATCTAGTGAGCCGATCACAACTGGTTCCTGAATGGTAAACTGGGGGTATCAAGATAGCCTTGTAATGTCAGGAGGGTTATATTGGCCGGCACATGTTGACACTGAGGCAGCACGGGGACACTGGGCAGGTTGTCGTTGTCGATCTTGATACTACTTCAATTCATGCTGATGCCATTTCATTCACATACTCACCGACTTCGTTGCCGCTATGTATTAGCTTCGTTTGCGGTAGCTATGTATGTATTGACTTTAATGGACACATCACCCACACACTGGCCCTGTCGCTTTTAAGGCATCATACATAATACATAAGTTGCCCGGTTGTGACGAAAGTTGTGCAATTGTATATTCCTAGTACTCTTTAATTGATAATGTCATTTATCCTGTAGAGTCGTAATAGTCACAATTCTCACCAAGCCTGTTGCGTGAAACAATAGCCTACTTAGATCAGGTGGTATTATTACCACTAAGAGATCCTTCCTTTTTTTTCTACTCTTAGGAATGACGTAAAATGTTTGAAGTCTGGTTCATGATGTCGGGACTAACTTATGCATGCGGCATGCCCGATGTTACCATATTTCAACAGAATTGGGTAAGGGCCTCTTAGTAAATTTAAGCAAGGGGTAGACTCCTATTCTCCTATTCGTGGTGTTAACGTTGACTTGATAATAATAACCTGTCGACATATTTTATTACTCAATACCTTTCAGCTCACGACGAGGTAAATAGGTAAATAAACATTCAGTGTTTAAAATTTTCTACATGGATTTATGATCGGAGCCATGATGATTGCGTACGTCGAACTTATCATTATCCCCTAAATCTGTCTGGACTTTTTATACGAGCGACTGCACCGCCTCGACAATACCTTAAATTCGATTTCGCTTCAGTAGAAATACCTCGACGTAGACGAGTACGGGGCCTAAATGAAATACGACATCCCGAAATCCATGTCGTGGTAGCGAAATCTTTCTAATATAGATGTTTCTAATTGTATGGCGACATCTTCGTAAGGTTTACGGAAACCGAGGAAGCCGATTCAACTTTGTGCTAGGTAGGTGCCTAGATATCAAGAACGTAGTCGCCTTCAAACATCGCATGAATCAATCGTGACGCGTTAAATATTCTATTTCTTGGCTCAACGTTGAATCCCCTACTGTCGCAATTGAGGTACCTAGTAAATATTCGTATAGTACTCATTGTTCTAAGCATGAACTCGTCAACGTAGGGGCGAGTAAAGAGATCCAGCAAAGTCATCACCAGCGGACAAATTATTCGAACACGGAAATCAAGCTATACGCGTATTTGTGAAACATTTTATGCCTTAGTCGTCGGGATTCTAAATAACATATCTAGAGCAAAGGATACTTTCAGTATGCATGGCCGTAGGCTCCCATAGTTAGCTTATAGTTTCTCGACGAAGTAATTTCCTTGCTTCTTACTTCACCTCATGATATTAGTATCATTTCCATGTCAAGTGTTCACCCACTGGCTTGTTTATACGAAGATATCCCAGTAACTTAAAGGCTTTTTTTTTATCCTAGCAATTCATACTCGGCTCATCTGTAACGATGTTCAAATCGTTCTACAGCTAGTCAAGTCATTAAATAATTTAACCTAAGACAAAAGCTACTTGTCCTAGTTCTTAATAAGGCTATGGAGCAGAGTATTATATTATAATCTAGTACGGCTTACGCCACCTTCGCCAACATTTCGTCAGTCCATGACCATAGCTCATGACCTAACTCCTCGCTCACTGCTATCTTATCCAATTTACCTTGTACACCAACGGGCTTATAGTATGCTCCATTTACCAACTCATCTCTCTTCGCGCCTGCTGCTGCCCAGAGCTGATTTAGGCGACCTATACTCTCGTCCACCACGCCACCACCTAACATCCAGTTTGCACCATACACAAATGCTTTTCTCATCAGTGGCAAGCTATTTACTAGATCTGTGGTGACGACACCTGGGTGGATGGACACAGCCTTGATCTTTGGATACCGCCGCGCTATCTCAGCTGCGTAGATTATATTTGCGATCTTGCTTTGTCTATAAGAGTTTACTTCAATTAGTCCTAGATCGATAACTAAATATACTCACATTTTGTTCAGACAAGATATATTTCATGCCCGGTCGCTGATCATCGAGAAGAGGTAACCTACCCATAGCGAAGATTGAATCCCAACAATGTCAAGTCTTCCTGCTTAGTACGAATAGTGGCAAAATCTATACCATTTTTCGGATGTCCCCGCCAGCCAGCGGATGTAAGAACGACAACTCGCACGTCGGAGCCAGGCAAATCAGCTGTCCTCCGTAAGACAGGTAGGACTTGTTGAATGATCATACCATGTGCTAGATGGTTGACTGCGAAGTGTATCTCGAAACCATCCTCGCTTAGGTCCGGTGGTTTATCCATAATGCCGGCATTGCACCTATTTGTCATCAGTTTAAAATTGATATTCCTCTGCTGTATGATATTTGGAGAAGAAGTGGAAAATGTGGCTAACATAAGAATATCGAGGCGGTCATGAGTAAACTGAGCACAAGCTTTCTTGACTGAAGACAGTGAAGTCATATCCATCTTTAAGAATGACATCTCCACGGACGGATTCGCCTTCTTTATCTCCTCGATGAGCGCTTCGCCGGCTTGTTCATTGCGGCCAGTGAAGTAAATATGGGTAGGGTCATGTTTTGCAAGGGCTTTAACTGAAGCTCGCCCAAGACCAGCAGTACCTTTGAATAGTTAGCCAACATGGATTTTCGAAGTGAAACCAAGACGGTAATAACATACCACCTGTGACGAAGATAACTCTACCCTGAAGAGACGGGATATCTTTGTCTGGGTTGAAGTTCACGAATCCAGATATCGCAGGCATGTTGATAAATGGTGCTTAGTATTTTGTATCGTTAAAAAAATTCCTAGTTGCGAATCTAGATAGTGGTAGAGGTTTTGAGGCGACTATATTTTGTTAAACCTATTGAGCCGGTAGTGAAACATTTTATGGATGGATGCTTTTGTCTGCGAAGGCGGCACTTTTATATACTATTAACTTCATACTTGAAACAGTGCATAATAATAGGAATAGTATGCATTTCTGTGACTGCCTACCTAGGTATACAGCTCGGCTAGTCGATGAAGGTCTAAAGCTGTCGATATCTCCATCTATACCTAGGTACCTAACATAGGTACCTATATACCTAATTGTAGATTCTAAACCGAACAGGGGTATATGCAGGATAAGCAGATGGCAGATGCGCTATTCCCAAAATAGCTTGGCTCATTCCCAAGACTGCGGCCCTGCAGCGCTAAAGCAACGTTCCCGGGGCTAAGACGCCCGAAGTAGAAAGAAGAGGGCCAACTCGGACGGTTCCTTGGTGCCGAGGCCGTTCTTTTAAGCTTCCGGGACACATATCATTCAACCATCCGCCGGTCTCTAATAAGCAGAGTGCATTAAAAGGTCTTAATTCAAAATCTAGCCGCGATCGGGGATTTCAACCTTTTGATCCAATTCGCAGAAACCGCGACATGACAATACCAAATATATCATAGAATGGCTTTTAACGTGTCATCGATGGTACAGTTACGCGAGGTTAGGGTTCCCCTGTTTTCGGGAATGAAGGCCATTTCTGTATTCATAAACTTCAAAGGGAAATGTGCAGCTGATAGATTTCTAGGCGCGAGTAGAAGATGATAACTGGACCGGTTTGGCTAATTCAGGCGAAAGGAGAAAACGACAGAATCGACTGCATCAAAGAGCCTGGCGTAGGTAGTTGCCTACATAACCCATATTAATTATTAATTCAAAAATCGCTGATAATTGCCACGATTAGGCCGAAAGAAGGCCGCTCAGCGAGCAACTCGCGACCAGCATGAGTCCCACGAACAGGAGTCCCATGGACAAGCGAAACTGCCTAAGCCAGATGTAGATAGTCCTCTGGCACAAGAGATCATGAATCTCTTAAACGCCGATCCACGCGTGCCGTCTCATCTTTATACACGACTTAGGCCGTTTACTTATTGGGAAGAGTTTCATACGCAACTTAATGCTATAAATGAAGTGTACGGGATACCAGATCGCCCATGCTATAATCTCAGCCAACGACAAGACCTCGCGCATGATGCGAGGAATAATTTACTGAGCCCTAAACGGCAAGCGATCCCGCCCATGATCCCATATCTCGATAGCCACAACCAGGTTAGAATCACCATCCCAGATTTTGCCTTTCCTATCTCGGCAGACCATCGGCTCCTTGTCTTAATCCAATACAACGTTCTTCGAGCGTTCATTACCAACATGTCTATCTTATCAATCCTTGATCGGATGCCCCTCGAATGCGGCACAGCTCTCAACATAAAAACCATACTTCTTCCTCCTAAGACTATACCTCCCAACTTTGAATCGACCCAGGTCCAGAAGCATGTGGCACATGATTTTTGGATAGATATTGTTCCATGGGGTGGTATGCGAGATAATTTGATCCTCAACCACGGTAGGTATGATGAAGAAGATCTCTGCGTAGACATGGCTGGTGGGCTGTACGAAGGATTCGACGACGTAGAAGCCAGGGGGTTGATAGTATGGGGAGAGCCATGGTCAGAAACAGGCTGGGAAGTTACCGAGGGTTTTGCGACAAAATGGCCGTTTCTGTTGAAGGGATGTCATACTCTAATCGAATCAACTAACAGGTGGAGGGAATCCAGAGGAGAAGAGAAACTGATTATTGACGTATGAGTCTTGGTTTTTCATTGGGTTGAAATATTTATGTACTTGTATATGTACTCGGGTAACGATACTATGGACGATAGACTATGAATCCATGATTAATTGTTAAGGTAGAGGTTATGATTCTTCTCCCCAAGGGCCTACGCCCGGGCCCTTATAAATCTTTCCGCCCTTCCATACCCACCCAATGGTCGCCTTTTCTTGCAATACCTTCACGTCATCGACCGGATTTTTCAATAAGCCAAGGATATCGGCCTCATATCCAACTTTTAACTGGCCCGTCTTGGGAGCCTGCCCCTTCACAGTCAATGGACCGTTGGCTGTCGCGGCCTTGATCGCCTCTAGATTGCTCAAGCCGGCTTGCACAGCGTAGTCCAGTTCCATGGCCATATTGAACCCCGGTGCTGTATCAGTCCCTAAAGCAATTGGTACGCCCGCCTTAACAGCTAACTTGTAGGCGACGAAACTATTTTTTCCACATAGTTGTGCCTTCTCCCACTGCTGCCGTGATAAACCCTTTCCACCTGACTGCAGCAGTAGTTCAACAATGGTACGTGTGGCAACATACACAACGCCTTTCTCCTTGATCAGGTCGATGCATTCTTCATCCGCAAACGACACATGTTCCACAGACGCAACGCCTGAATTGACGGCTGCCAAGATACCCGGCTTCCCGTGAACATGGGCGGCCACAACACGATTCTGTCGCGCCGCCTCTTCGACAATAGTCCGCAGCTCCTCATGACTGAACTGCGCGCATAATGGGTCATCATCTCGTGACATCACACCCCCCGATGCCATCACCTTGATAACCCGCGCTCCACGCCGGATCTGCAAACGCACAGCTCTTCGGCACTCATCTACACCGTCCGCTATGATCGACGTGCCAGCCCCGAACTGCCCCGCAGACACGCTCGACACGCCAAGATTCAAAAGCACGTCCCCTGCCGGTAGTGCAAACACATCCCCATGCCCAGCCGTCTGGCTGAGACATGAGCCCGCGCTATAAACGTTCGGCCCCACGATCGTCCCGTCTTCAATAGCGCGTGAGACTTCGCACCCGTACCCTGCTAAGTCGCGCAACGAGGTATACCCCCGTTGCAACGCCTCCCAGCACCCTTTAGCGAGGCGCGCGCCGGCTGCCGCCGGGTGTTCGCTAATGATGGGCAAGTAGTCGTTTTTCTCCTCCTCGCTCTCCCCGCCGAAGTGCGCGTGGCAATCCCAGAGGCCAGGCATTAAATATGGCACCGAGTATAATTTGTGCGGCACTTCGGTAAATCGTGATGGTAGGTCTGATTGCAAGCCGACCCATGCGATGAGCTTATTTTCAATTACTAGGGCCGCGTCTTTGATAGGTCGTCCGTCGCCGGGGATTAGTAGGCCTGTGGTAACGATGGCGAAGACTCGCTCCTTGGCGTCGTTAGACGGGGATGTATTGTCATCTTCACCTCCAGTCCGTATAGCGATGCCAAATCCTATTGAGAAGACGCGCTTTGGTAGAGCCTCGGACTGAGGTTGAACTGCACGTCGGGTCATTTTAATTTCACCTCCAGAGTCTGCTTCTACCTTCGTGTTGGTGTTGGCGCTGGGATATCGCTGCTAGTAGGAAAGGAACCGAGGTAAGTTAGTGAAGCGAAAAAATGCGTTAAGACGAGTCCCATTGTGGAAAGCCAGGGGTATAAATGAGTATATAGATAGGATCGGTAAGCAAGAACTATTACCTTTCTGGGTATGTAGCATTGGGAGATAAGCTATTGGTAAACAATATCACTGATATAGACAGGGTCTCGTGATCTTTGGGGATAGCACTAATTTGATACTGACTGCGTAAAACATAAAAACTAACGTCAATCTAGGTACATTGTCTTTCTTTTCGATGTTCACTTTGTTGTATCACAATGGACTTCAAGGAAGAAAGAGATAAGTAAATTATAGCTGACTGGAGCTACACCTACACTGTTGAATATGTATTGTTTACTTGTTTCACAATTCAAATAAGTAACAACGAATAATGCCGTTGGTATATATTATTCGCCCCTAAGTCGAAATTTAATTACGTGTAAAATATTGGAACAAACTATTGTTACAAGACTTGACAACATGGCCTTAGATAGTGATGAATTGAGTCCAAGAGAGCTGCTCTACTTTCAACTACAAAACGAGCAGATAGCAACAGGATCAGCACAGGAATGCCCTGTTTGCGAATGCCGTTACCAGCTCAGTTGTACACATCTCTCAGCTGAGAAGTGTGCAACATTAAAGGCGGGAAAGGTTGTAGCTGCCGCCAAAGACAAAAAAAGTCAGGACGTTGTCCAAGTCTACGAATGTGGGCACACCTATCGTAATCACTATCGTGTCAGATCTAGCAATGTTCAGAATAGAAGATATCGTAAGGGAATGTGTACCGAATGCTTATGCGAATGGGTATGGGAAAGACGGATGATTCGCATAGGTAAGTTAAGGGGTGCCACACGACCTCGCCAGAACAAAAAGCCGAAGAAAGGGGCTACCGGTAAGTGGACAAGGAAGCCAAGGAGGCAACAAGGAATATATAAGAGATGGGTTATGAGGGGTCTTGTGTTTGGAAGGCCGTGATCAAGTAGAAATAGGTCCGTCTTACGTTAACAGTAAGGGAACATAGCCATTATTATCGGTTTATAATACATATAACTATGGAAAGACTGAACTTTGTCTTATTAAGATGTCAATAGGTTATTTGTAAACGTGTAATAGGTACTTAAATTACTATTTCTTCCATACCTAATTCAAACTACCTACCTCCCGGCAGAGAGATACAGCGTTCCTTTTTATAACTCTGATATTATAACTCTGATAAGGGGACCTAATGCAGGTCTCCTTCTATGTCCCTATTGGGAAATATCAGGTTCCCCTTACGAACAAGATCGTAAGTAATGAATCTACTCTTGCCTCTCTAATGTGCTCTTACATCTTTAATGTGAAGAAGTGTGACTCACGGCGGTAGATAAATTAGCTAGGTACCCGTATAAAGCACAACCTACGTCCGTCTTTGTGGTTGCACCTGCACTTGCACTTACATCTTCATCTTATCTCGTACCTTATCGGCGATTGTAAAGGAAAGTGCTCCTCAAGGAACATACCTAAGGAACGTACCTAAGGAACGTACTTAAGGTATGTACTTTAGATATTTAGGTAACTAGTATATACAAGCCTCGCGACTTCCTTCCGGCTTGCGTTTTGCAGTTGCCCCGTTCGTTGCCCGGTTCGTCGCCTTGCCATTTTCCTCCCACCCATTTCATTACTTAAATATCTTCGACTCCCGTCACTGTTCGTGAATTCTAAACCTTTTCCTTTCACGCCTGAATTCATCTCTCTCGTCAAGTTACTGGAGCCATCAATTTTCTAGTTCCTTTCCAGGCTTTCCCTTTCGGGACGGCTTCCGTCAACATAGTTGACACAAACCACCTATAAGTCAATCCCTAAACCACATCTCTTTTACTATTACGCGTCGCCGACTCGCACTCTGCCAACTGGCGCTTAATATTTCCCACGTTATCTGTTGTTTCTTTTCTCCGAACATATGCGACAAGAGCATTTCTGCTTCTAGTTGCATACTTTAGTGATATCACTTTACATCACTTTACATCACTTGTCGACGTGAAAACTAAGACATCATGGCCGCTTCAAACAGCAGCCTCATCAATACTAATGACCCGAATCATGTTTTCGCCTTACTCACCCAAGAGAATCGTAATAATTCTCCCCTCTTCAAGAAAGTCCCTCTAGAGGTATGTGTACCCTTTCTGACTCTAATCTGTGCTAGCACTAGTAAACTAACATCATTTTTTAAGATTCGCCTCATCATCTACGAATATGCCGTAGCAATCGACGAGCCCATCCGACCAAGGCAGGTGTTTCCTCGCTCGAACAAGTTTGAATGGGGTAAAACCAGTTACCCGAGAGGGGTCCGTGACCGTGATAATGATGAAGATGAAGCACATCTAGTAGTTGTTTCTCTTAGTCGTACTTGTCGCTCTATCTATCGAGAGCTAGAAGATACACCCGTCTTCTATCGCGTTAACAGTTTTGAATTCGACCTTGCGCATAATTTACACGCATTCTTGGCGGCTATTGTCCCTAAACGTCTGGCGATGATCCGTACCATTCGCCTTATAACTGGGGACTGCCAAAGCCATTCGTCGGCAGACTGGAGCGGACAGCCTCAGGCCACACCGTACTGGAGCGACCGGACTCGCAAACAATCCAGAAACACTATTGGCCACATCCTAGCACTCTTGAGTCGATGCTGTGATCTTAGAGAACTATTTCTTATTTTCCAGCAGAACGTCCATCTCGACTTGCAGCCTAGACTCTCTGGATGGGATGCATTGGCAAATGGTTCTCATGAAGCACCATCTTTTATCAACCTGCCTTTCTTCGATGTCTTCATGCGCCTTTCCCTTCATGGAGAAGAGCTCCATCTGGATAAGGCCCTTGATCATGTAGACTTAAAGCAATCTGTTAAGGCAAAGAGTCACATTTCTGGCATCGTTTATGGTCGTAAGTGAAATTTCCATTTTCTTCACCTAGTCAGTTTACTTTGCCCTTGTTTACCGACCTCACTTTGATGATTTGTTGTCTTCAAAGCAATTTCCTTAGACCTTGGAATTTCTTAATAGAGGACTCTTTCCTTGCCCTAAATCTGGTAGATTTTGCTAACCTTTATATGTTGTAGTGAATGCACGTAAAAAAGCTTTTGCACGTAAAAAAACTTTTGCACTAAAAGAAAAAAGCGATGATGAGAAAGACAACCGTCCTCAGTGGCTGAAAGACATGGACAATGAAACTAGGATCAATGCAGCTATTGAAGCTTCAGAGGTCGACTTCACGGGTCGAAACCGTATCGAACAGGATATGCATCTCATGTCGGACAGAGTTTCATCCCGTACCAGAAACAGAGACAAGGTTATAGACTCTTTTGGAGTTGTACAACGCGAGGTACCGAAGTATAATGCAGAAGGGGTGGTAGCATGGTCTTACCGTAAGATAACAGGGATCCGTTGGAACGATTCGGGAGAGGTAGAACTTGAATTGTTCTGGGCATATCCTACTAGGGTCCCCAAAAGCTCTTGGGAATCATTCCATGCCTTCCCAAAGGACCGTCAGAGTGAGGAAAGTATCCTCAGCTTCTTCAAGGATATGACAGTACGGCGATATATACACGATCTGGAAGTCCATACCCAAGCCATGCGTTCCATTCCTTCTCCTTCGGACATCGCCATGTTCGCTGGCGGGTTGGATCAGTATCTTGACAAGGGCACCATGTTTGCCGAGACCACAACCCAGACAGTCAGAAAGACGAGAATCCGCGTATGGAATTACTGGATGAAAAGATGGGACCGGTACATAGTTGGTCTGGAAAAGAAGCTTGCCAGGGAGAAGAAAGAAGCTGCTAAGGCAGCATAGGATGCGACTGAGGATTCGAAGGAGGCAAAAAAAGGTGACAAGAAAGTTACAAAAAGATAAGTCAAGTGAACCATGTTATGAATGTTGGTTTAAGGGCCGTATGGTCGGTCATTGGTCTCTTAGAGCACGTCACACAAAGGAAAGCAACTGGAATCTGTCAAGTCTAGTGACTATAACACTGGCAATCATAGCAACCACTCAACCCCCAGTGATGATTGGAACAACCTGGCATCTACCTCTTCAACAGAGGAAGTAATGAAGAACAAGCCAAAAGGAGAAGAAGTAATGGTGAAGGAGGAGGTGGTGATAGGGAGAGGACGGAAAAAAAAAGAGAAAAGAAAAAAAAAAAAGAAGTAAAAGGGAGGGGGTAATTGGAAAAAAAGGTGACGAATGGGGGGTTGGCCATATGTTGCCTTGAAAAACTACCAGCTTTTTATTTTCTTTTGACCTCTTCTGCAGAGGCGTTAGTCGGTGTTGATATTTCGATTGTTTACTTGGCTACCTCGTACGTTATCCATTGACGTCGATGTTTTCCCTCTCCTGCCACTTGCGAGAGCGGCTGCCAGCAAAGGATATCTTCAGCCGCCCGCCACGAAAATATGTACCGTTGATGGCATCTATTGCCGCCTGAGCCTGCTCTGGCGTCACAAAATCAACGAAACAGAAATCATGATGGCCAGGCTTGGCACGGATTGATTCATGGGCAGTGACCCTTTTGCTTATTGCTTCACTGTAATTCAGATAGTTTAATGCGATTGCCTTTTAGTCAATGAACACATCGGTTTTGAAATGATAGACTTACACTTGAAACTCTTTGAATAACTCTCTGATTTCTGCAGAGTTGGTTGCTTGGTCGTGCATCCGCGGTAGGCCACCGACGTACAACCGCTGGTTGCTGAAATCATCCCTATGTCTAGTAAATGTAGACGACGAGCCTTCCTGCTCCCCCTTTCCAATATCCTGTCCTAATGATGCTTCACCTCCTTCATCCACAGTAGTCTTCTCTCCTGTCCAGTGGCCCCAGCGCTTGGAGCCCTCGCCCTGTCTCCCTCCAGATGCGCCGCCCTTTGGTATGCATGGACGGCACTTGACCTCCCTACTAAGCAGCATCTTGCCCTCTAATGTAGACATGGCTAGATCGGCTGACTCGCGGTCTGGGAACTCAACAAAGCAGTAGCTTGGATTACGCCCCGTGAAGGGGTCGATAGAAATATGGATCGACTCAAAACTTCCCAGGTCGTTGGCTTTAAGCAGATTCTCGATGTCGTCGGGCTTTGCCTGATAGCGTAGGTTTCCAATATAGATGCGCCGGCCTTCGGCAATGGCTTTTGCGGCGCTTCCTTCGTCTTCTTGTCGCTTGTCTATTGTCCGCTCACGGTCAAATGGACGACTTTTCGGGGTCCAGATCTTGCGCGGCTCTTGCTGTGGACTCTGGGGCCCTGCATTGCTAGTGACATCTCTACTTCTCCAGGACGGTGCTCCTAATAGATTTTTACGGGAATCACGAGACTGGGAAGAGCTTTTGACTGTTGATGTGACTGGGTCCCGGGTCCTCCAGTTGGACAAGTCTTTCCAGTTCTCCGTGCCAGACATTGTGCTTACAAGTGATTTTAGTGGAACAATATTAGATCACGATCTCCTTGACTGAAAATTAAAAATAACATAGGTAAAGCTACTGAGGAGGATTGTTAAGTATTTAAGCGAAAGTAGTGGAGCTGTTGGGAAAACTAGGTATACTTTTTGGTTGGAAAAGACTGGTCTAGAAACAGCCACCGAGCTATCTAATTCTAATGCGGACACTCGCGCTTCTGGTCCGGGTTAAACCCAATATTAACCTCCACTAGATTAAAGTGCTGAATCACGCTTTGTGATCCAATGTGAATGTTATAGAGCATTGCAATTATTAGATAAGATAGATGTTTAACTTAACTAACCTATAAAGCTTCCCCTTTTTTAACCTAGAGAGACTTGATTTTATTTCGTTGCAAGAACAATAACGTCAGCCATAAGTTTTAATGAACATGACATATGCAATTAACTCATACTAACTGAGTGTTTCTGTTAGGATATAAATAGGCCAGGGGTAAATGCAGGGGTAAATTTAGAGGTAGATCTATTAGGATCAGGTATACAGCGCCCTCGAAAGAAGATAAAAGGATAGGCATTGATAGTTTAATTCCACTATCTATGACTTTAATCAAGGGTGCCACATTTGATAGTTTCTATTTTCTAATATGTGAGGGTTAAGTGTTAAAGGTGATATTTAACTACTATGTCTAGGTAACTAACTAACTTGCGGTTACCCCCAGGGTAGTATAGAAGCCTAAGGTTTACACCTCACCATACCTGATATTTACTAGGTATTGTAGCCTTAGTGAATATTAGATAGCTTAAGCTATGAATGCCTCCCTCTCACGAGAGCACTCCACACATCTTATATACCCATTCCTAGTACTTAAATCTACTCCTAAATCATTTATACCCTAATAAAATTCTACCTCCCTTGTCATTTATTTCTTGTTTCATTTTGTTCTTGTAAGGCGGGGAAGGTTTGCACAAGGTAATAAGGCATATATCCAGAATAAGAAATCTTCAATCGCATCTGATACAATATCCTAAGGTAAACCTTAGTCATAAACCTTAGGCATTTCAAATAACCCTTGTAGTTATCTGACAGGATGTAGGTTCAAGATATTTTCTATAGCATTTTCGTAATTTTTAGCTCCTTTGTTCCAGTCTCCCCTCCTTTTCTTTTTCCTTTTTATTGGTAAGAATATGAGAGGGCGCGGAATGCATCTTGCAACGACGGATAGAAGCCAACATCTATTGAATGTTGCTCCCTGTCATGATACCAGGAAATATACGCATTAAGGTCCTGAAGGGCTTCCTGATATTTAGCCCCGTCCATGTCGTATTCGTCTGCTTGAAAGAGCACAGTAACTCGGTTAATAAAACCCGCCGAAAGAATAATTAGTTCGCTTGCATGCTGCCATAGATGGGGTTGGCCCATGAACTCTGGCTTAACCCAAATGGTTAACCTTTTTAGATGATGGGCATTATCAATGTCTTCTGGCCAGTGTGGATTATTATGTGGGCATTTCTGACTGACGACTAGCATGTTTCGGGAATAAAGCAATGGGGTCGCTTCTGCATTGATTTTCTTGCACACTTCTAGTAGAGAAGTTTGCAGAACCTTGCTTGTTGGGTCTGGGTCTGGGTCTGGGGCTGGGGCTGGTGCTTTGCTAACAGCTTCGGATAGGTTGCGTCCAATATCAGATCTGCGATAACTGCAAGCTTCCGTTGGGAAATGGACTAATCCAAAATTAATGTCAGGACGGATTCTGAACCTTTCCTGTCTGCCACATAGCATAATAGGCCTATCTTTCTGGAGCACTAGTCCAAAGATCATTAGCCTGATCTCAGTAGGCAGGTCAAGCAGCATGGAATTATGATTGTTGGATTCTTCCATTTCGAACTAGTAATTGATGCTAAAGCTTACTGAACTGTATGCTTGGTTAGATAAACTTGCTGTAGTTTTAGGAAGACCACTTGTTTATTTATATTGGTAATGGACAGGGAAGTTTGTTCCGTATCTTTTTTTAGATTAAGCATCTATTTACAAATAATGAATTTGTTATTATATATGTTGCGATTCTTTTCTGAACACATACAACAGCCTTGAATTTGAACATATATGATGATTTATATAATAGTTAGTATTTAAAAAAAAGAATAATTACCTAGTTAAGGTTTATTTTTAAGAGGTTTATTTTAACATTTTAATTCATCCGTGATCTATACTCTTAGAGAAGTGTTACTTTCACAAGAAGTGCAAACCCAAGATAAAATAGCGAACACTAATTTAATTTGCAGATGCTTTTATCAAACATAAGTCGATGAACGATACTTAGGTACCTCGGATATAGAACTTGTTCGTGTGGATTGGGTACTTGGGTACTTAGCCCTATGATCTGCACTACGATGCTGAGGCTCAATCCCCACTAACGTGGTTGGAACCTTATGAAAGTACCTGACGCAGGTACAAAAGCAAACTCCCTGGTAGCGCTTTCCCAGCTGTTGTTTTACAGTTGGTTATGTGGGATAGGCAACTGCGGAATGATCGCCGGGTGATTTCGCGGGGTACATGCCTTATTTCTATCCGTGCTTCTAACTGATATTTCCCTCCAAACTCAAACAACTTCTTTTTGCCATAGTTAAACCTTCAACTTTCTTCTTCTTCTTCCTCTTCTTCTTCTGCAACACATTGTGACGCGCCGCAACTCTAACACAATGGCCCCTCCTAAGATCATCAAAGCCTTGAATGAGTCAGAGGTCGTCTGCATCTACGATGAGGCTAGTAATCCCATCGTTCCAAAGAAGACCTTGAGAAGCATCGGTAAAGATGTGTTAGACGTCTTTCTCCCAGCCGGTTACCCCCATACTGTGACGCCTGACTACACTCCTTACCAGATTTACGTACGTTTTCTTGCTTCCTGATTGCGAAATCCATACATAACTTCACTTATATGTCTATTTACTAATATTTGCTGCAGGACTCTCTCCAAGCTTTTTCTAGCACAATTGCCGGTCTCCTCTCGTCCCGGGCCGTGCTCCAGGGTTTCGGCGTTGGAGATTCCACTTCTTCGGCAACTGCAGCTGTACTTCTTACTGTGCTGCAGGAGTCAACCGGCAGACTCTCCACAATCTTATTTGCACACCGTCATGGTCGAGCTATAGAGCCAGAGTGCAAATACTACCGCTTCCTTGCTGATATCGTCAATGATTCAGCTTTTTTTCTTGATCTACTGTCTCCAGCTCTACCCACGTATCCTAAGATCCTTGCACTCTGTGGGGCCGGCATTCTTCGCGCGCTCTGCGGAATCTCTGGCGGCGCTGCTAAAGCTTCTCTTAGCGCTCACTTTGCCAAGAACGGAAATCTTGCAGAGCTCAATGCTAAGGATGGAAGTCAAGAGACCGTAATCTCACTCCTAGGCATGCTGGTCGGCAGCTTATTTGTTCATATTGTACACGGAAAGATAGCCGTGGTGGTTTCGATGATCATTCTTGTCGGTGTCCATCTCTGGACTAACTACCAGGCTGTTCGCTCTGTACAGATGCGTACCCTGAACAGACAGCGACTCACTATCCTACTGGAAGAGGCATCCGGCCCTCGTGGTGCCATTCTTCGTCCCGACCAGGTAGCAGCAAAAGAGCGAATTCTTACTTGGGTTAATCCGCGTATCACATTCGCTACGACATTCCCCCGGCTTCGCGAGATCAGTCACTTCAAGAATCAGAAGTACCGAAATCGTGGCTACGTCATTGTTCAACAACCCACAGGTCAAAAGATCTTCCTAAAACAGGGTACCCCCACAGTAGCTGCTTTAGAAGCGTGGGTCGAGGCTCACACGGGATCACACTGGCCGGCAGACAGCGTATTCTGGAAGAGCCTCAAGGCTGCTGGCTGGGACCTCCAGACAAATGCTATGGAGACGGGTCCTTCTGTCCGGATCGTTATGGGCGATGAGAATAAATTGGCTTAGTCGAGGGACTACGGAAGGAGGACTGCGTATCGGATTTCTTTTTCTTTGATAATGGGGTTTCTGGTAGTTTAAGGACAATCGGATGTAAACCGGATGATACCCCAATATGCGATGCTTTTTAGGCCGGAGTACTTATTACAAGTAGGAAACAGATATACAATGGAGCCTTCAATCAATATGACTGGTATAGTGCATGTGAATATTGTATGTGAATAGCGATCCTTTCTATAACCAACCTAGGCGCCATGCTAATCATACTTATACGATAACTCTTCACTCATGTCTTATAATACATTAGTATCTATACAGGTAACGCTCACAACTATTCCCTTTACGCCAGGCCAGTAGCTCGCATAGCTCGCATCTTGACACCTTCCCAAGAGTTTAGTTTAGGCCGCACATCTAGATAGAAGGACAGTCTTCCATCGCTGGTCTTACTATTTCGCCCAGCGTAGAAATCGATAATATACTCAATCTCCTTACCACATCTATCCACAACCCAGTCGTGTCGATCGAAGGGGGCCTGGTAGCCGAGTAGAGTATTTATGCGGGCACGAGGGGACATCTGGGTGCTCAGACCAGAGAAAGAATGTAACCGTGGACCACCGCAGCTATATTCCGTGCTAATAATTAGTATCAGACAGTTCTCAAGCCAGTTATGTAATATATAACGTACGTAGAGCCCCTTACATACGGCTCCTCCCAAGCCTTGATCTCCGCCCACGCGCGCTCGTTGACCGCGTTATGAATCGGCACCACAGCACGCATATCCGCGGCTTGCGGATCATGGCCCTTGCGCTTCATGGCTTCGAAGAACATGCGCTCCGAGGGATACACCCAGTTCCCCGACGTGGCGTCTGCGCCGGTCTCCTGCTCTGTGTTGGCGGGGCGCGCGGTCTCGGTATCGAGGGGTTTCGAGGACCGGGGTATTGTGGAGATTTCTCGGGATGTGGCTAGGGAAGGGTGGTTTGGTGGTAATGTGGCTTGTTGGGAGTGTGTAGAAGAGGAAGAGGAAGAGGAGAAGAATGGTATGCGTGGGAGGTAGGATGTCCATGAGGACGAGGTTGGTGATGGTTGTTGTTGGGAGGGCGGAAGAGGTGGGGGAGCTGCTCGGGCAGCTTGTTGCAGCCATGCGTCGCGCGCCTTATGGTCTACGGGACAGCTTTCTATGTTCTCTTTCGAAGCGGTACTCGGAATAGACGGATGGTCTGGTGGTAGGGATTGCGATGGTATGGATGGTACTCCCTCCGTGGCACCGGCGGCTCGGGCTTGTTGGAGCCATGCTTCTCTACTTTTATGGTCGATTGGACATTCGGATTGAGATTGGTCTGACATTGTGGTAGCAACTTGGACTCTAGAGTCTCGTTATAATTGTATAGTATAGTATAGTATAGTATTTTCGTGTACAATATTCGTATAATTAATTAAGGCGAATTCAGGCCAGAGAAGCTAGTAATCATAGTTCTAGTGTTTCTTTACTTGAGTGAGGTTCTTTGGTGAAGGTTATCAACTCGACTAAGAAATTCTTGGATTGCAGTCGCATTGAAACTTTTTTTGTGGAGACTTTCACCTGCCAAATCGGAATCTGCCGATTGCCGATTGCCGATTGAAAACCGGGCTGAGGGATTCAGGGTCGTCTAAATTGACATATCACATGTATTAGGTACCTACTTATATTAGACATCTATGTAAGTTGCCGATAGTTATATTTTTCAGTAGTATTAAACAGTTTCTATGCCCCGAATCTGAGATCTCTTCTGTCATCTTGTATCTGCTGCAACCATTCTATATGCTCATGTAGCCAATCCGTGCCGCCACTCAAAGCTAATAATAAATGCTCACCACGAATCCCGAGGAATTGAACTTGGAACTTGGGTATTTCGTATTCAAGGGTATTCAAGGGTATTGTTGATGTAGTATTAATGGTTTATACTAAATGTTGGTCGGTCTTTATCGGTCCTTCGCCCACGCCAGTCATTATGATCCTGCTTACGCCTTCTTTAAGCAGACTTGATGTAGTCTCATCTAGCTGCGTAGCCGCCGAGCTGTACGATCCAGCATCACCCTTCCAGCCATCCGTACTTTGTAGTAGGTTGTAGAACGTTCCTACAACAGGGGCGCTATCCTCCTCTAGATAGTATACCACAGCGTTCGGGCCGGCGTCGAACGTATAGGCGGCCACGGTCTTGCCTGCAGCAAAGTTGATTGCTTGCACGGCCCTGACCGCGGCCCTGGACACGTCGTTCATATAGTAGATGGGAGGATAGGTATCCGCACAACACGCGTGGAAAGAGTTGGAGTCCTTCATAGTCACCTCCGCAAACTTAGCAAAGTCTCTATTCTTAATGGCTGCCTCCATGGCATCCATATGGGCCGGGACCACGTTTGCAATACGTCCTTTGAATAGATCAGACGTGGCAACAGTCTGTTGCATGCCTGATGTCGAGCTAACCCCCTTCTTAGCGGCGGAAACGACTAGAACAAGGGCTCTCATGCTCGGCCAGTGCGACGCAGGTGCAACCTCCACCGCCTTCGAGTCTAGACCATCGTCCTGCTCGCCAGCCCTCCAAGCCACGTATCCGCCGAACAAACTGCGGCAAGCTGAACCACTACCTTGACGGGCGATTAGGGAGAGCTCAGTTGGAGAGCTTGGCAATTCGTATAGATCTGCAATGGCGCGAACTAGGGCGGCAAATCCAGCAGCCGAAGAAGCCAGACCGGCGGCCGTCGGGAAGTTATTCTCGGAGACTATACGGAGGGGCATCGTGGATAGCTTGGGCAGAGATGGGTTCTCGGCCTCGAGGGCAGCTCTTCGGGCACGTAGCTCTCGTAGACAGGCCTGCGTGCGAGCTCCCTTAATGTCGGATGGTTCGCCATTTAGGATAAGAGAATCTTCCTGACCTTGATAGGTGACGGAGCATGTAGCGGTTGTGAGGGTTCGTAGATCTGCTTGTGACAAGGTAACAGATAGGGAGGAATTAGTAGGGAGATTTAATTTAGGATCCCGCTTTCCCCAATATTTTACTACAGCAATGTTCACCGGAGCAGTAGTGCTAGCTTTGTAGATTGTTTCTGCCATTATTATAAATTTCGCATGGGGTTCTGCTAAGTAATAGGGAAAAGACGGTCAGAAAGGATGTTTTTGTTTTTCTTTTTTATATAGGTGGAGATTAGAGGTGGGAAGGGTTGGAAGGGATAGAAAGAAGGTGGAGGGGTAGATGATCGCCAGGGGGGGGGAGGGGGACACTTGAACCATTCAGGGGATTCAGGGACTTCTCCACAATATTAAAATAAGCCTAACGCAATCAGTGAAGGGTGAAATCAACGCCTTTATCTCAACAATTACTTCGTGAAACCACACAACTTATAAACCTTTACTCTTAATAATACCTAATCCCTTTTCTGAATCCCCTCGGAGTTTACCTCGAAGCCACTCACATACATATATGATGCTTAGATCACTTGCTTCTATGTCGGCTTTTACTATTAGAGAGGATCGTGGGAGCGGCCTAACCATATTACATACAGTCAATCATATGTATAGTACATAGTACATTGATCTGATGATGAAGTGTACTTTATATAATTACGTGGTTTGGAAAATGTTAAGTTCTATTCCTTATTAACACTATTAGTTCCTCGTCTCTGCGAAAGGATTAGGGACTTGTGTATCTGAACCATTTGCCGGTTTCTGTGTCGTATGTCAAGTTTGATCTCTTGACCGTGCCACCCTTCAAGCTACCAGTTTCTACATTCCCAACAGCAGGAGATCCGTTGGTTCGATGTAGCCGGTTCTCACCGGCGAGAACTGTAAAATTTGCCAGAGGAATCTCATATCCGTTACGGAGAGTAGTCGTTGGGACGCCGAAGAAGGCGGCATCTACTTTCTCGTGACTGATAGACAGCTCGTAGTACCCACGGTAGTATAGATCCTGCCATTGTAGCTCTTCGTTTGCGGTTGTGAGCCACTCCGAAAGAGCAATAGCGGTATCTAATGTTATGTTCTGTCCTATCGGGGACGGAGAACTGATAGCTGAACCAGCAAACTCGACCCCCATAGATCCAGATCCGGTAACTGGGTCGTACGGGTGTTCATCGAGCCAAACGAGATCAGAAACCCAGGACGCATGCGAATCTCCGGCTAGGAACACATTGTTTCCTATGTTATTCTCATATATAGTTTGGAACGTCCGATTGCGGTTTGCTTGATACCCATCCCATTGGTCATAATTGAACGGCAAGTTCTCACTAGTAGCCAAGCTTTCATTCATTCGACTGAAAATGATCTGGTTGCCAATGATACGCCACGTAGCACCTCGAGTGGAACTTTCACGTAGAGTACGATAAAACCATACTTCTTGTCGAGGACCCATTAGTGTTCGGCTAGCATCATTATGTATGTCGCCGAGATATTCGGTATTCCAATATAAATCAGTAATAGTCCGATCGTACTGTCGAGTATCAAGCATGACAAGGTCGAATAAGTTTCCGAACTTAAAATTACGCCAGATTCGTAAATTATCATCCATGTCAACTTGTCGAATAGGCACTTTGGAACGATATAGTTAGCGTTGGATACCCATCATGCGACCTTTGCGAACTCACTCCACTCGAAATAGGCACGAACAGCGTTCATCTTTCGTTGATCAACTGATACGCCACCGTCCATTATGAACGATTCCTCAGTATTGTTCAAATGGGCAGAACCGCTTTTCCAACTGTTATCAGCTACCTCTGTTCGCGGTTACGGTTAGCCCCGAATATTACACGTCACAATATGGCGAACGTACCATGGTCGTCCCAGACAGGTATCCAAGGGAAGTTCTGATGGTTTTCAAGTAGGTCAAGATCAGTTCTGTAGGTGGCGATACGTTTTCGGTAATCATAAAGACTACACATACGTCAGATCAGTAGCAAGGTAGAGTTCTTGCAATGTCACATACGTGAATATCTCCTTATTAGGAAGCGGGATTCGATCGTAGGCATCGCCCCAGCCATAGTCGCCATTTGCGTATTCGTATATATAGTCGCCTAGGTGGACCACATAGTCGACAGAATCTTTTCTGACCGTATTGCCATATGCGTTAAAGAAACCAAATGCTGCACGGTGGCATTAACCATTAGAGTGAGGATAGGAACCAACAAAATTGAAACTCACGATAGTTGCTACAGGAGTACACTGCAAGTCTCACTGGCTCTAGTACTTCATCATTCGCAGAAGGGATTGTCTTGGTGCGACCAACAGGAGAGGCATTCTCCGAGTTACACACGTTGAATTGGTAGACTAACGCCACCCAAGTTAGTGATGTTCCAGCTCGATGCTTTCGCCTGTTTGGGAGGACTGTGTCGCTACTTACAATAAGTTGTGAAAGGTTTCAATTTCTTTGCTTCAACCTATAGCAAATATTAGCTTGTTATTAAAGATGTGCTCGAGTATAGTCTCACCTTGACTGTATAGTCGATATCGGAACTAGTATATGCCCTCCCAGAATCTACGATGTCTTCCAATGATGAAGAACTACTTATTTTCCAATCTACACAGACCCGCGTGTTGCTCTTTGCCACGAATTGTTCGGTCGAGTGATCGTAAAGAGAGACGTAGCCCGATACAGTTACATTGCTCTTGTCATTATCGCTAGATGGGGCGACCCTAGTCCAGAGAATGACGCTATCGTCGTATGGGTCGCCAGAAGCAATACCGTGAGTAAATTTCAGCTGGCTCGGATCCCAATGTGAGTTCGCCGCGGTCCGTTTAGCTACTTTACTGATCGATACGCCTAGTGATGCATGATGCCTCGAGGGGGAAAAGTAGTTTAGATTGCCGGTGAAGGCGGCCGAAGCGACACCAACGAGGAAGAGATAACGAATACTATAAACCATGATTAATAGCGATACCTGTTCGTGCTCCTTACCATTCACTTGAATGGAATGGGGAAATGTTCTTTTTAAAAACTACTGTCCATCGTATTTACATAAAGTGTAGATGTATGTATGCACTGGCGAGCTGACATCACTTATACAATATACTGACATGCTTGCAGATTAAACACGAAGGAAGTAAGAGCTGAGAGTAATCAGAAAAATATAATTGGATAGAGCTCCAACGAGCTCAACTTCCAACTCTATCAATTGGAGAGCTTTTTAGATGTACCTTCCGATGAACCTGCAAACCTACCGAAGTATATACCTACATGTAGTAGGGAGCCTCACAACGTGGGTAATTTTTTTATTCTCATTGGGTCGTCACATATGTATTGTCAGACTTAAGCCGGATTAAGTCATACGTTGGCTGCATGCGTGGAAGATTAGAAGATTTCCATTTGGCATTCGGATAGATTACCTAATGTACTATAAGGGTACTTTACCTATTCCAAATCACCTGCCTTAGGTACCTCTATATATGATAAGAAATAATTACCAGTAACTAGATAAGAATACTGATTAGATAAATGAAAGTTTACCTCTTAACCCTGGCACGCTAGGTATATGCATGAGAGTTGAGGTACCTGTATTCCTTCCGTACAGTGTGTTAAATTATGTTGTTACGTTAAGTACCTAAACTACACGGGCAGTCTGGATCTACTTGTTTATGCTATTCTAACGCTACCTACTGTATATCTATCTATGTACATTAAATAAGCTTTTGGATTGCTTTTACTTTTCTTCATCTCTTTGAAATCTCATAGGTCATTATATTATTGTCTTTATTGTTTACCCTTTCCACTTTAATATCAAAAGGTTGTTCGGCAATCTTCCCTGCGAATCGAGTCTGGGATCAAGCAGACAATTATCATGTGCTGGGTCGCTTCAGCTCCGAGCACAGTCTGGAATTATTCAGAACTGTTTAAAAGTTAATATTGTCGGAAAGAAAATAAAATAATCGGTCAGGATGCGGGATAGGATAGAAACAACCCCTGATTTATAGCTACTATAGCCCGTGGATCATGATATCTCCAGCGGACGCTAACTTGTAGCGTGGGGTACAGAAAGTTCCTCCCCCCACGAATGAACCTATCATCGTCAGATCTGGGTAACACGATGATTAGCATGAGGATTCTCTGCTTTAAATCGGGGTACCTAGGTACCTATATATAGGTATGTGCTAGCACAACTTAACCCTTAGCTCTTAGCTCTTAGCTCTGTATGGTAAGAACGCTTCATGCGCTCATACTACTTTGTCTTTACAAGCTATTACCTTAGGCCCTATCCGTCGTAGCAAATCTTTGCTTACTTACCTACCTAGTTAGGAATCCCTCGTCTTATCTCTTGGTAGGAAGCACCGAGAGATATGGCCATTACGTAGTTGGTCAATCGCTTATTAGCGGGACTCTCATTTTCGATCGCGAAACTTATTGTGAAAACTCTCTCGGGTTGCTGTTTTTAACATTTACGCCCATTGTTTCGTGTTGATTTACCTAAATACTAACAATTGTTATCCTCAGTATATCTTCTCTTCTTCACATACTCGAGTAACACGTATATACATATATATCCTAAGTATACGATTGCGCTCATCTGAATTTCTTTGCCTACTTATGTCCCTTTCGTACAGAATATTTCAATTTAGATCGAACTAGCACGTGGAGGTGCTCGATTCAAATATGTCAACGGAAGAAAAGAGAATCGATGGAGGGCTAGACGATCCCGGTATTTTTGAAAGAGACATTGGGAATGTCGAGGATTCTACCGTAGACGACGGCATAGAGGTTCTAGCGCTTCAAGACTTGGATCCTGCTCTTAACGCGAAAATGCACCTTGTCAATAATGTGAGACCAGTCCCACGAGTGTCACCGGTAGTTGACGACTAGATCACTAACACACTTTAGGCCATTGATGAGATTGGTTGGACCAATTATCACTGGAAATTGTTCGTTCTAAACGGGTTTGGGTAAGATCTTATCGTCACTCGAAACCAAAAAGGCTATCGAATACTTACGCGACCTCATAGTTATTCTGTCGATTCCCTAGTACTCTTACTCCAAAGTAACATAGCAATTCCGGCCTACAAGGAGTTTGGCCAGGTCGGATATGACAATGCCCAGACGATTGCTACATATGTTGGAATGCTGGTTGGGGCGCTCTTTTGGGGTATGGGTGCTGATATTATAGGGCGTCGTTGGGCGTTTAACATATCTCTCTTCATCTCCGCCGTAGCAACCGTTGTCTCAGGCGCAGCTCCGAATTGGGCCTCCCTAGGCTTCTTTACCGCCATGGTCGGATTTGGAGCTGGTGGAAATTTGATATTAGACACCACTGTCTTCCTCGAGTACCTCCCCAGCAATAAACAGTGGGCGCTAACTTTTTTGGCCTGCTGGTGGGGTATTGGTCAAGCTGTTACGGGCTTCATCTGCTGGGGTTTCTTAGTTCCGTCTCAGTGGAATTGTGAATCTGCCGACAATTGTCCAAGAGAATCCAACCAAGGGTGGCGATACGTCATGTACACTTCCGGAGCCCTCGTTTTCGCCATGTCTATTGCGCGCGTCACCGTTGTCCGTCTACAAGAAACTCCAAAATATCGCTTGGGAACCGGAGAAGATGCTGAGCTAGTCGAGACGCTACATTCGATCGCCAAGAGATATAACCGACGCTGTACACTGACCTTAGAAAAATTAGAAGCTTGCGGGACAGTAAGGACTGCACATAGCGAGAAGCGTTATTCGCTCCAGGAGAGTTTTATTCATCTTTCTGGACTTTTCGTTACGACAAAAATCGGCATTTCGACCTTGCTCATTTGGCTATCATGGACACTGATTGGACTTGCGTAGGTTCAAATTGGAGTCTATATCTCCAACTAGAAAGCTAACCGTTGGTTTTTAGTTACCCTCTTTTCTACGTCTTTCTAAAGTATGTCCAAATGCCTGCTAAGTAGAGGTCTTATCTAACTTGATATTAGCACGTACCTTGCTAGCCGTGGTGCTTTAGATGGCGTTGGAACTTTCGACACATGGCGTAATTATACACTTACAAACATATCAGGCATCTTTGGGCCAATCCTAGCAGCATATATGTGCAACCTTAGAGTCCTCGGCCGAAGGTATACAATGGTGATAGGCGCGCTAGTAACTATGGTCTTCTTCTTCGCCTACACAACTGTGTCGACTCCAGCGCAGAACGTTGGATTTAGCTGTGCTATTGCATTTTGTCTCAACATCTACTACGGAACCTTATATGCAGTAAGTAAAGTCATTAGGTTGAAAGGTGCAAGAGAAGGGAATTCGTTATTTGAAGCTGGAGTCTTACTGTCTTGCAATGCGCAACTACTAACTCAATGTTTTAGTACACCCCTGAGGTACTACCGAGTGCCCATCGTGCGACAGGAAACGGTATTGCAGTCGGCTGTAATCGTATAATGGGTATTATTTCCGCGGTTGTCGCTAGTACTGCTGACACTGGCACTGTCGTGCCGATTTATATATGTGCAGCTCTTTTCCTTGCTATGGCGGTTGTCAGTGCAATCTTCCCATTCGAACCGTATGGGCGGAGGAGCTCATAATATTCTACGATTGTCACAGATGATACAATTCACGCGTAGTGACGCCTCGGCTCCCTAGGCGAACGCCGGGGTTCCGGGTTCACAACTACGCGATAACACGATACTCAACACCTAGAGCTGGATCCGTATGGTCCAGAATATCCTGGGGCGAGGATTCGTAGTAATGACCAATGACCTCCAGCAGGGTGCTAGTTCAGCTGGTCATATATATATGTTAATACCCAGGCCGATTATAGGCTAACATCATTAAATACTAAATACTTATTATGATTATTATGAGTTTTCATATCTTCTACCTAACACTGTTGTCCTACTCGTGCTGCAAATCTTACTACAGTAGTATTGCCGCTATAGGCGAGACGTATATTATGTTGATATATAGAAATGTTTCATCTATAGATATAGAGGTCGATGGGGTAATAGCGAGTACTAAGCATATTTTGGATTAAACGTCGTATTATGCTTGTGTAGATGTAAGACCAGGAGTTTTCAAATACCGGAAGTGTACATGATGCACCGTATCCTTATACTTCTTAGATTTCAATCAGAAAATGATACTTCAGGGCAAGGCTGTCAACATTCTCGAAAATAAGTCCTGGAGTAGGCATAGTGTAAAATAAAGAATAGTAAGACCGCGTCATCTCTTTCCTCTGTCAACCATGGAAGAAGTCGATAGAGAAGAATCTTATCCGCGAGCATAAATAAGATAGGTTTCTTAGATCTCTGTCGACTGTTATCAAGATAAAATTACACGTTCTGAATGTGAAGTAGAGAGATGAAAACAGCTTACTCATTGATATACGGTCATTATTGGCTTATATGATGTTAAGATTATAATCATTACGTGGTCTTCTAACTGCAATATTGCATCAGCCCGAGGATTTTATATCTAACCATATAACATCCACGCGATACTGATTAGCAAATACACTATGAAATCTATTATTAATTCATACTGACATAAAAGGGATTAATTCTAGGAATTATCCGTCGATTAGCCTCTGCACCAGGCAAGGTAATCTCCCGCATTCCCTAGCCATTCTCAATGGAGCAAACACATACTCTTCTCCCAACTCATACATCCGTCCCCTCCTCGCTTGCAAACTCAAACTTACTACTCTCCCTCAACCACGCTTCCAAATTCTGCACCCTGGGTTCCTCAGCCCTCAACGCGTCTATATCAACGCCATACCCTTCCGCCTCGAACCAGCGAAACATAGACCCCACATTGCGCGCCACCAGCCCGCGCACCGCCCACCCAACCAGAGTCCACGCCTGCGGGAGCGAGGCACCCCCGGCTACTCGCGCGTATATGGAGCGCACCTCTTCGAGCGTCAACTCGTCACCTGCGAGCCCGACGGCGCGGTTGCGAAAATTTGGGTCGGCGCGATGGAGGAGGGCTTTGCAGGCGAAGAGTCCGATATCTCGTACGCTGACGAGTTGCAGCTTGCGCGACGCAGACATGGTGCTCCAGAGGCTGGCGAATACCATGCCGAATGTACCGCCTGGGTTCACTGAGGGGGGGGTGGTTAGAATGGTGGCTGCTTGAGCGATGGGAGATTTATGCGGGGTAGGTAAAAGGGGGGGAGGGAGAGTAAAGAGTTGTGTACTGGTACAGTACAATAACCCCCCTTGTGAGAAGTTCATGGGATAAGGAACGAGTTGGAAGTTAAGTGGTTGCAATTTTAAGGAGAAGTAGTCACTTACAATTATCCATGAAAGCGACAGGCCTTAGTATCGTGTAAGTTAATCTACCATCCGAGCCCTCTGCGACGGTGCGCAGATGCAGCTCAACATTGTGTTTCTGCGCAAAATGTGGGACATCAGTAGGGGTATCCCACGACTTCGGTTCGCCGCCACGATCTACGCTCGAAAAGACGAAGTGCGTCGGTTTCTCAGGTGTGGCGTGCGCACACGCTGCATCGATGAGGTGCGTAGCTTGTGGTTCCTCGTCTGGCGGCGTCGTGTAGCTAAACACTGTATCGATGTCCGAGTGCGCCTTGAATATGGGCTCTGGATGTTGGACGTCACCCTCTACAACGCTTAGGTCTAGGGAAGGGTACTTGGATGGTAGAGCCTGTGCTTTGGGCGAGGAAGCTGTCCGAGTTAGCGCGAAGACCTTGACCTTGGCCTCGGGTGTGGTCGAGAGCTGCTGAGAAAGCTCGGCGAGCACTGAACCCCCTTGTTGGCCTGTCGCACCAACAACGAGGATGGTGCATGAGACGATAGACATGGCGGCTGCTATTACCCGAACGATGAGGAGCCAAAGAAAATCAAGAGATAAGAATATTAAGGATAGAAGACAGGCTGAAGCTGAAGTTGGCTAAGAGGTGTAAGTTGTTCCTGGAAGTGCAAACGGCCTGTGGAAATAGATATTAATAAAGTTCTGGCTTGTCCGGATATCCCTAGAACTAGCCCAAGCCACCCAATACGATCTAACTCTTCAGAACCTTTGTTTAGTGGTGATTAAGATTTTATTGATACGCATCTTCCGTGTACGCTTTCTAGTTGTAAATACAATCCTCAAGCTCATATTATAACCGGGCACAAGTGACACCGGCCGGACAAAGCTGGCCCGAGTCTTCAGGTTATATGTGATAACTTATGGAGGCGCAGCGTGAAACAAGGGGACAACATAAACCTATCGATGAGGTCAATGATCCAGAACCAGCCGTGCCACCAATTTAGCTTGATTTTCCGTTTCGGTCCCGAGCCTAAGTAGGGTGAATCGGGAACTTACATATGGTACGTTTCATAGATTCCGGTAAACGAATCAAAGCAAGAATAGGTTACAAGCCACACATCGAGCACGTCGAACACGTCCAAAGTTTGCTGTAACTCGGGTTGCAAATGTTTACTCTGCCGTCTGAATACGTATCGACAGCTTCTAATATACCTTGCATCTTTAACGCTTGCTTGATTTTAGAAAACATCTTTGTGTATGATGTATGATGTATGATGTATGATGAGGAGAGGTGGTCTTGGGTATATCCCATACCAGCCCTGTCTCGTGGAATATCGTGTGGTACTGAGTAAAGTCGAAATCCGGTTGGAAGAAAAAAAAAAGTTCAAATCTAAGCCTTTCGCTCTCTCCGCCATGCATATGCATCAGTACTTCCTCGTAATAAATGCATGCAGCAGCGCCCGCTCCGAGTCTATGGTCGTTATCAATGCGCCACTAAATGCAATAGTAATGAAACTGGTATCATTAATCATCCTTCTGCAAATATCCTCACATGGACGGCCCATCCCACGCGTCTCTCCTAAGTCGGCAGAGCCATGCTCGCTTATGCGGGAAAGATATTTCCCTTTCTTTCGCGAACCCTCCGTTCTGAAGGTGCTGAATGAATCTATGCACGTATTAATAAACCGGCGGACATCCGCGTTGGTGGTGGTAAGACTCACTTCGTATTGTCAACCCTTGGTTCGAGGCAGATATTCATCGTACGGTAGTCTGCCTGTAAGCACCAGTGAGCGATGCTCGATAGCCAGTGCTGAACTCTTCCTCTCGCCCACTCCTCGCCAATCAACACATGGATGCCTCTATCGAAGTCCTGCGCATCGTTGCCCATATAACGTCCTAAACTATCCTCCTTAACCCAATAAATTTCGAAGTATCCAAAGGGCACGCCGTCCCACATCCCGATGGCCGGGAATGAATGGCGTGACTGGAGAGCGTTCGAGAGAAAGTTGGGTTGATATCCGCCCCAGAAAGCCTGGACTCTGGGGCTAGAAAGCCACATCTGAAGGAGTGAGGTGTCAGATAAGGTATTTAGGTGCGTATTCTCCCGTTCGGCAGGTCCCATAGGTCCAAGGCAAGGGATGGGTTTCGGTGAGAGAGATGCTACGCGAAATGATAGGTACTTCCCCACGCTAGGTACGAAGCGAGTATAGAAGACCTCTCCCATATGCGGTGGCTTCTGTCGCAGCGGATGCCGGACATTGTTCGTTATTATGTACTGCAACGGTGCAGGAGGATAGAAGGTTGGGAGGTGAGAAGATGAGTGATATGGTCCGATGGGGGAAGATGGCGTCTCAGCAGCCAGCTGGTTGGACAATGTTGCTAGCTGGCCTGCATCGCTTCTAACAGGGGAAGTAGGCCGGCTGCTACTAGGCGATCCAGGATACGATGAGCTGTGCTTCAAGGGCTGCAAAGTAAAAAGAAATAGGCCGCTGTGGATTTGCCAGAATGCTCGTCGAGTGATGAACATTTTGTCCCATCCATGATTGTTCTCACTAGAACTCTCTCCGACAGCAGAGTCCAGGCTTGATATCAGGCCCATTCTCTCTAGTTTTGGTATCATGTTCCGCGTGCGTAGGACACCCTCCCGTTTAATTCTAATGCGCCACTCACCCCTAGGTCTTGCTTCTGGGGGAGCATACTTGGACTGTTCTGTTAAAACGTACGGTGATGGTTCAGGCTGCTGGAAATACCAATACAGCGTCACCCACAGAAACATGGCTATCTGTCGGGACTGGCTGGCATGAGGCTTATATTCGCTACTCGGGGGATTCGAGATGGATGAAATGAAAATAGTGTCATTTTGCAAGGTTGGCTTGCTATATTTGTGAATATGGCTGCGCCTAGAGCGGGGCTCATTTGCGGCATCTTTATGGGTGAGATCCTGAAGGTGATCTTCAGGATGATCTTCACTATGTATAACGACAGTCCAACCAACAGGGAATGGCCCGTGGTGGTGATTAAGCTCGTTAGACTTGAAGAATAAGCCAGAGAATACAGGTTGAACTGTGAAGCTCTGGCCGTCTGGTAGATGGACAATAGATGGGGCCATTTGCTTTGAGATAGGTTGGAGTGTGAAACTTAGGTAGGTTGAGGTTGATACTATGTTGGAATTATGTCGAATGTGAAATCTATGTGAGGCGGGGGTTATCCCTCATTTCGGTAGAATAGATTCGCTGATAACGCTTAAGTACTAAAATGGGTAGCTCAACAGACGTCGTGTTCATGTGATGGATGAGTCCGAGAAGAGTCAATAAGATTTCATCGTGAGAATATAAGAGGCTGTGGAAGCCGAAAGAAAAGATAAAAATAAGTACCTAACCTAATCGATGTCATTGATAGTCAATGTGGGACGACGTCTACATAATACCAACAGATTACAAACGGCGACTCCGTTTCGTTCACTACATACATATGTATTAGGAAACGTCATACCACTTGACTTGGCGCGTGGAAAAAACAACAGTATAGGTATATTTGGTAGTTAGTGGGGTTCCCTGTTAAAAACTTGTCCTGTCATGAGAGGGGGAGAATCAGGGGATTGTGGTGTTAGTGGTGTTAGTTTTAGGGCTATTCTGAGTCTTGGGTGTGGTCTTGGGATCATCTTGATCTGGAACTTCCCCTTTCCCCAGATTCTATCCCTCCCCCGACCCTGACACCCTGACCCTGACAATCCTAACAGCCGCATGCATCTATCGTCATGACTTATACGTAATGTACCTAGGTATCTATAGCCCTAAGAGATAAGAGAAACAATGGCGTGTGTCATACCAAGTTATAGGGACCCAATGAGAAAATAATTATTGCTAAGCATGTATTACCGTGGAAGTACCTAAAGCGTATCTTAGGTACCTTAGGCATCTTTTCATAACGGAAGATTTTAAACCCTCGGGTTATAGTGAGGTACGGTCTTTTCTCGTCGAATTGTAGGTGACCGGGTAGGCTAGCAACGTACCTTATTAGTTAGTTATAACTAGAAGATAAAAACTTGCAGCCGACACTACCTCCTACTAGGATTAAAGATGCGCGAATTAGATACTCACGGGATAATTTATAAAATAATTCCTACGTCTATTTTTTTTTTTAAAAAAAAAAAATCCCGAAGCTAGATCATAAATTGATGGTTGGTATTTGCTTGAAAAATAAAGTGAGGAATGAACCAGGATGGAACTTTTCAGCTTACCAGCCCTATTTCAATATCACATCTACGCATAACCCCGCTATAGTCTTATACTTGCATATCTAAATGAGGGGTCGTGGGGAGATAGGGGGAAATGAAGGGAGATGATATATGCAACAATTGATATGTGAGGGGTGAATTAATTTTTACGTCTCTCGTTTTGATAAGAGAACCCCGACTTCGAAGCACCTTCTTATGAGTCACTTAACTATTTTATATATGAACGCGATTTGATTGATACTATCAGATTTAACTTAAAAATTTTTTTGAGCGAGCAGCAGCAATTATGGCGTCTAATACCAAACCCGGCGAGAACATGCTATGGGGAGGCCGCTTCACTGGTACGTGTAATACCTGGTATTCGTTGTTTATTATCGTGTTATTGATTATCGTGCAACATCTTCCACGGGTGACAACAAAGTTCTCGCAAGCTCCTCCGCAAATTTTGTGGCAAGGAGAAGAAGCACTCAATTTTTAATTTGGCATTTTTCGACTGAGTATACTGATTCATGTCCCAGGTGGCCTTGACCCCCTCATGGTGGCTTACAACGAGAGTATCCACTTTGATAAGAAGCTCTACAAGCAAGACATCTTGGGTAGCATCGCCTTTGCCCGGGCTAACAAGAAGGGTGGTATCATAACAGAAGATGAATTCAACAAGATTGAGGAGGGCCTCCAGGCTGTTATGAAAGAGTGGGATAATGACTCGTTTGTCATTGTACCTGGCGTAGATGAGGTATGTGCTTGTGCTCCTGCTTAGAAGGGAGAGCAGCTAATTGCTTATAAAAAGGACATACACACTGCCAACGAGCGCCGCCTAGGCGAGATCATAGGTAAAGGTGTAGCCGGCAAGCTCCACACTGGGCGTAGCCGCAACGAGCAGGTCGCATGTGACATGCGTATGTGGCTTCGGGACGAGCTGCGCAAGATCGAGGGCCACATCGTGACCTTCCTTCAAGTCGCTGCCGACCGCGCCGAACGTGAGGTTGACCACGTCATGCCTGGCTACACACACCTGCAACGCGCCCAACCCATCCGTTGGAGCCACTGGGTGATGTCGTACAGCTTGGCCTTCGCCAGCGACCTAGAGAGACTACGTGAGGTCGTCAAGCGCGTCAACAAGAGCCCTCTAGGGTGTGGTGCCCTTGCTGGTAACCCGTTCAACATCGACCGTGATATGATGGCCGCGGAACTGGGATTCGAGGGTCTGCTGTGGAACTCAATGGGCGGAGTAGCGGATAGGGACTTCGTGGCAGAGACCCTGCAGTGGGCGTCAATGCTCATGCAGCACGTGTCACGATGGGCTGAGGACTTGATTCTTTACTCAACCGCCGAATTTGGCTTCGTGCGGCTAGCCGACGCGTACTCGACCGGCAGCTCGCTGATGCCGCAGAAGAAGAACCCGGACAGCTTGGAGCTACTGCGGGGTAAGAGTGGCCGTGTGTTCGGTCAGATGGCAGGGTTTATGATGACCCTTAAGGGTCTGCCTAGCACGTACAACAAGGACCTGCAGGAGAGCTGGGAGGCCATGCTAGATACAGTCAAGACGGTTAGCGACAGCGTACAGATCGCGACGGGCGTACTAGCCACACTCGCCATCAAACCAGAGAAGATGCGAGCCGCTCTCGACCCCTTTATGCTCGCCACCGACATTGCCGACTACCTCGTCCGCAAGGGCGTACCATTCCGCGAGACACACCACATCTCCGGTCGTGTGGTCGCCCTATCTGAGCAAACCGATACTCCCATGAACGAGCTCACATACGATCAGCTCAAATCGGTTGATGCACGTTTCGAGAAGGATATCGCCGAGTCTTTTGACTACGAGCGCAGCGTCGAGATGCGATCTGCCAAGGGCGGTACTAGCAAGGAATGCGTTCTAGAACAGATCAAGGTCTTGAGACAAGTTCTTAATGCCTAATCCTGTGAAATTCCTACCGGTCAAGCGGTTTCTATCTGGTGAACCTGAACCTAGGAGGACAAAAGTCAAACCTTTAGGTTTTTCTCAGGGGTAATTCTTATGGCGGATGACCAAAACAGGAAAACAAAATAGGTAGGTATAGACAAAAATTGTCTTTCTCATCCAAATCTTGCCTTCTGCGCGCAATAGATTACATAGCACGAGATTTTCAAACTTGATCTCGATTAGAATAAACTACGTTTTGTTCTAACTACAGGTATATTCTATGTGTATTCGGCGGGTATCATGACTCATCACTTTTATCCGACTTATTTCTCGCATTCTCCTTGTCATCCTTATCTTCCCGCTTGCGATCGCCCTCGCCCTTCCTCTCCTCGTTCTCGAGTACTTCCTTAACATCCTCCCCGCCGAGATCCGTCATCTCATCCCAATCGACGTCGTACTCCTCCGCTACGGTCCTAATCTCCCGTCTCAGCGCATTCACATCGTGTAATAAAACTTCCCACTTCTGCGGGTCGAACCCGCGCTCCTGGTACAGAATGTTTTGCCTCCGCGAAACTGTAATCTTGAGCGCGGCTTGGTAGCTCAGGTCCCGGCTGATGAACAGGAACCACAGATAACCGCCCATCATAGTACTATTCAAGGATTAGTAATTGGTCCTAAGTAGAAGAGTAGAATTACGTGCCTCAAGCCGGCGAGATATGTTACAGGCTCCATCAAGTCCCAGCCAAGGTCAGTGTGAAAAGTGAGGAAGTAGACGGCGCCCCACCACCCCGACAGGGCAACGAATCCGGCTTTTGCGATTCGATGGACGCCGCGATGGGCAAGCATGTCACACTCATGCTTGATCTTGGAAAGCTCCTCGATCTTGTGGGACATGCGCCGCAGCCGCACACGCATATAGTGCGTGCGATCGTTGAAGCTTGGCACACCGACGCGCATCTCGGTATCGTGGCCGGAGATCTCAATAGCGAATTCGCGGCCACGCGCGGCATCGCGGATGAAGTCGCCGATCTCGGTGGAGCTGCTCCATCGAACCCAGTCCTTGTCTTCGGGAGGAGTGTCGGCGCCCTCGCGGCCGAGTCCTGAGTACGATGCGATATTAGATTTCTCCTTTCCTATCCCGATTTTCCGCCCGGTCTCGTCTCTTTCGGAACCTTCCGCTAAGAAATACACGCTGGGCATCTTCTCGCGGCCGTCGCTGTCGCGAATTGGTGGGAGTTCGGCCTGGATTAGGCGCTCGAGGTAGGATAGGGGTTGTTGAGGGTGGACGAGTAGGGCTAGGGGTTGGATATCTTCGTTTTGAGCCAGAGATCGGAACTCTCCTTTGTTTCCATGCTCGTCGTGAGTCGCATCGACGGGGAGAGGTAGAATTAATTTCAGGAGTCGGGTTGGAGTGGTTAGTAGTTTGCCTGGTCGATTGTCAGTCTATTGGATTATTTGAAAACCAATGAAATATTGTCTATACCCTTGGTCATAGTCTTATTCATGGTCCGCCTCGACTCGCTGACGGGAGGCTCGTCAGCGCCCTCCCTCTGCCAAGGACGTTTGATCTGCTGCTTCGTAGCATCTTCGATTCCAGACTTTACTTCTTGTTCATGCGCCTCTTGGTCTCTCTTGTTTGTTTCTCTTGTCGTCTCGTCGTCAAGCTTCTGTTTTCTCGTGTATTGTGTAGTTGCAAAGCATCTATACGACAAAGGTACCACTAGATTTGCTTTCTTTGGCGGTATTAAAGTTGATAATGTTGAAGTATAAGTATTACCAAGACAACGACCAGATAATTGCCGTATACTCGAGGCTGTCAACTGCGAACACGCTCTAAACGCATAGCTCATCGCGCTCTATTTATCACAATATTCTCTCTAGTTAGGTAGTTAGGTATAGTTAATTATTATTTTTACTTTAGTCATAATTACTTTATATAGATGAGTTTACTTACATTTTTACCTTGCGCAGCTCTAGAAAGCTGACGGACTAAATGCTCCATTGAATGTTTGACGTCGCAAAAGGTCCCTTGTCCACTATTTCGTACCTGTTTCGCTCATGACGTCACAGGGCGTTATCTCTTAACCAGTCGTCAATGCAGCACGTGGTTTCTCTTATTGTATACATACCTAACATAAGCGATAAAACCAAGGCCATTTCCAGATTTACAGCGGGTCTACGAAGACGAATCTAACACTTTTTTTTTTTTCCTTCTACAACTAATTACGCCATTAGAACCCAATCTTGATACAAAAGCTATAATTGACTTACATAACACATTGATATTTGAACAACCCTTATTCAGAAGGAAACTTCTTTCACAATGGTCCTTACTTTAGGTATGTGACCAAGTGAGCAAATGAGGCGTGCCACATATAAGACTCAACCTCCATCTGATCTGTCGTCTAAGCCCAGCGCCACAACGATGCCAGACAGCAAACATTGGTGAGCTGGTCTTGTTATATTAATCTTCCTCCTTAACAACATTTGTTTCATATAACTTAAGTCCGGGGTGTTTTTTTGCTGGCGACAGAAAATGCTGTGAAACCGCTTGCGCCACTTTGTTCACCCAGTATGGCAGTTAGAAAGAGACCACTAGCCAAACAAGTATCAATCCTAAATCCACGCGTCTCTTGGCTTCATTAAGCTACCTAACTTACTAATTCATGAAGTTTCCATCTCCAGTCTAAGTCTAAGTCTAAGTCTAAGTCTAGCTCTGAAGTAAGTTCTTCTAAATAATTATCATATTAAACAAATTAATAGGTATCTACGAATTTTATAAAAGCGATGATACATCTAAATGATTAATTAAATAGTTAACCCAAGTAACAATTTATTTGTTTTGTCTTCTTAACCCGGCAGCGCTTCCCAAGCGTCTATTTATAGGACCAGCTGATCCTCCTCCGTACATAGCCCTACATTGTACCTACACCAATTGAAGATTGGGCTGTGTCTCACAACAGAATCAATAAGAGCCAATCATAAATATCCAAACGCGCGTTTCGCCTAGCGCTATATAGACGACACTGCTACCATCCTACCATTCCTGTTCTAGGGACATACCCGCTGTCAACTCGGTTGTCTCGGATACATGTAGGACTTTGCTAATGTAGTTATATACGAGACATACACTTCGGGGGCTGCAAGGTAGGCGTCATTAGAACAGAATTTAACTTATACATAGGTAGACTATCGCCCATAGTTGGTTAGCTACCTCTTGTGATAATCAATCTCATCTTTGTTCAAACCTGAATTCTTTGAAGGTATTGTACGCTGCTTGCTTTATACCCGTTTTCATTATACAAAGAGCCTCGAATAAGGTCCAAGAGGCATCCACATCACTGCCTAGTTAAAGCGGTCTTGCTGACACCTTATATATCACCCATTTATCTTATTTATCACCCAACTTCATTTGTATCGTTTTCATCATAGCACCGCTACTTAGTAGTCTCAACTCTCAACTCTTCTTCAACCTTCACCTATAAATCCCTGGTGGTCCCGAATATATAGCAAGATGTCAGACGCAGCGGGTTCGATGACCGTTAATGGTAACTTCCTAAAGGACTTCATCATCGCCGTCGCAGTCGCAGCCGTTTCAACTGTTGTACTTTTGACGCTTGTCTGCCTTCTCGCACAATGTGGACCGCGACTGTTCACTAAAGTCCGTAGGAGGGAAGAGTGGCTTTCTCCAACACTTGAGGAGGGATACCAAGATCAGTCGCAGCCAGAACTTCCCCTAGTACCAAGAAGTTGGCAACGGAAAGAATGAATCATCCATCGTTCGAATACTCCGAAACCAAAATTGCCGCGCCGACTATTTGTCAATGAGCGTAAAAATCCCGTCAACTGATTAACACGGTGGGGATATAATCTATCTGCCTTCGTCTACATATCTATACGTTATACAATAGGTCAGAGGCCTAAAGACTAGACGTCGCGGACTACTCATACAACGCCATACGCAATGTTAGTTCGACCCACCTCCCCACATATGGGATTCGAACCCAATACCAAATCCTGTCATCAGTCTCAAACAGATGGAGACGATGTTTCAGCTAGTATACATCAGTTAGGCTTGGTCAGAAGGCTTCAGGTAGAGCATTGTGATAATACACGCTTGCTATGGGGAAAGTCTTTCTCAGTATCTACGTAGACGCCTGTCGATATGGAGGTCGGAGGGCCATACCGGACCATACTTGAGAATGTCATCTATGGAAATCCATGGCGATTTGCCTTGTTAAGGAGAGCGTATTATACATTTACCGCGGGATCGGATATATACCCCTTTGAATAGATATAGGAATGGTTATGGCATGAGCGGCGCATTTATATCGAGACATAGCATATAGAATTAGATAATTATCTCAAAAGCTCAGGCATGACTTCCTGGATGCGGGGAATATGAACTACAAGTATTTAATCATTATTTTCTCCATATAAACAAGGGGATCATAACTGTATTATTAGTGATTTGCCAATTATTTGCTCGCTCCTTCTGATATGGTTGAGAAGTGGGTGTAATCAATACCTCTAATAGCCTGTCTTAAAGCAGCAACATGAAAACATTTCAGGCCACATACTAAAAGGGGAGAGCCTATGAAAATTGAATCAAGATTTATACTCTACCACATCCAGGGGATATATTCTTTTCATATCTCGACCGACACATTGACTGGTCTTATGGCAATGCTATTTAACTCATTTCGGAACTGTTTTTTTTTTTAAGATTGAGTAGTACATATATTACGCGAATAGTGAGATAAGAGAAGTCATTGTTTAAGGCAAGAATATTCTGAACTCTAGGTAATCGTCTTGAAGAAAGTCTTCATTACTAATGCTTCATGACTAATAAAATAAACCCCTTTACGGAGTTTATGCACCATACTATTAACACCAATCGACTTGCTATTTTGGGTCATGGCACCCGCGGACTCCGAACTAGATAACGACCATCATACTACAAGAGTCATAAACTTACATGATTTAAGAGCTGTAAATATCATGAATACTCTGGTTAGAGAATATTTCCGGAGTATGGTGGCGGGTTATTGCGGGCCATTGCGGACGGAGCCTAGGACGTTGCGGCTCTAGCGCTTTATCGCCGGCTCAAGTCGTCGCATACATGTTAAAAAAAATGACTGTCTCTAAGTTGCCATAGTATAGGCACTAGGGGTATTTTCATCATCTTGAGGACCGGATATTAGATACAAATACCTGCTTCCCCCTTCGAGTTTTGTGTCCTTGATGGATAGTAAAGACCGAACCTCCAGCAGGTAGAACATTAATCTTTGGTTTTGGACATAGTTTGAAAGCAACCTCTCAATCTAGACCTTGCTCACGCCATATCTCCTCCTCAAACGCTTCCGACTAGCCAACTAGGCAAGAATGGTCCTCTTGTTCCCAAGCTTGGGTTCGGCTTGATGGGCCTAAGTGTTGGAGTAGGCGAAATAGCGTATGTTGAAGTAATTCAAGGGCAATACCAACTTATATACTGACCATATGTAAAGTCCCGATGAAGAGCGATTCAAAATTCTCGACAGAGCCTGGGAGCTCGGGGAGGTATTTTGGGATAGCGCATTTGCTTATGGCGACAACGAGGATCTCGTAGGCAAATGGTTTAAGCTGCACCCAGAACGTCGAGGCGACATCTTCCTAGCTACCAAATGGGCACTCGAGTATGGCGGCGACTCCAACCCAGTCATATTCGTCGATAGTTCACCCGAAAACTGCATTAAAAGCTGCGAACGTTCTTTAAAACGTCTAGGAGTTGACAGCATAGACCTATTCTATTGCCATCGTTTCGATGATGTAACCCCTGTTGAGAAGTCCGTAGAAGCTATGGCAAAGCTCAAGAAGTAAGCACCCAAGGCTGTTTAGCTGCTGGCTAGGGTTACTAATTTCATAAAACAGGGAAGGCAAAATTAAATATCTCGGCTTGTCTGAGTGTTCCTCCAGTACGCTTCGACGTGCTCATGCTGTGCACCCAATCTCGGCTGTGGAGATTGAATATAACCCATGGTCGCTCGAGATTGAAAGCGAGGAGGGTACCAACTTGCTTGCTACTTGCCGAGAGTTAGGGGTTGCCATCGTCGCTTACTCGCCCCTTGGTCGAGGTTTCTTGACCGGGCGCTACAAGTCTCGGGACGATTTCGATCCAAATGATTACCGCAAAGGGTTTCCGAGATTCAGCCCGGAGAACTTCCCGAAGAACCTGGAGCTGGTCAAGAAGTTCGAAGCTTTCGCAGAGAAGAAGGGTCGCACGCCAAGCCAGTTGGTACTGGCGTGGATTATAGCTCAGGGAGATGATTTCTTCCCCATTCCAGGTACCAGGAATATCAAGTATCTCGAGCAGAATCTTGGCGCATTAGATGTCAAGCTCACCGCCGAGGAGAGCCAGCAGATTAGGGACCTCATCGGAAACTTGCAAGTTGCAGGCAACCGAAACTTAACACTTGCAAATGTCCCACCGCAGCATCTACAGGACACTGCACCCTTAAAATGAATTTAGTGACCAGGACCCAGCTCGTCGTCTCATATTTTAGGTAGCCAGGATAGCTAGATTGCGCACGTACTCTTGATTTATTATAATTAGCTAGTCTTTCGTATCATAATCGGGCAACGAGGATTGGCCTACAAGATACTGTTTTGACTTGGTGAAAATTTTAGTAGAGGCCGTTAGGAGCGATCTAAGTAGACTGGACCGATAGATAAAGGCCTTAACGGATCTGCCGACAGTTAATCCACGTATTAGCTACTAAAACGTGATGCTTCAGTGTTGAAGCCGTCGCATTTCTAGGCTCATCTATCCCGAAGCCTTGCTGAAATAATAGACCACGGTTTCCCATCATTACCATTATGTATTATGCCATTATTCCTCCTCTCCTAAATCACCATCTTCCTCCATCTCATCGTCCTCCGCAGCGTCTTCGTCGTCATCATCCTCTTCGGAACTCGTTCCTGAGCCTTCGCTCTCACCCTCAGACCCTGGGTCATAATCTTCTTCGTCTTCATCTTCTTCATCCTGTAGTTGCTGTTCGGCTTCCATCTGCGCTCTTTCTAATTCTGTCATGCCATCTTCCACAGCCTGTCCATCAGCATCTTCCCCTTCACCTTCAGCTTCTTTCTTCCCCTTGGCATTTTCTGCCAGTTCCCTCTTGGCCTTCCGCTGATCGGCCATACTTCGATCCTGAAGCCTGTGCCGCATGACATAATCTTGGTTGATACCTCCATAATCCTCCTGGTCTAACATCGAGAACTCTATCTCCTCAGTTGTCTCGTCGTCACCACTTTCGCCTGTGAATACCTCAACTACCATATTAAATGTACGCTGCAATACGCTTGTGTAGCTGATAGCTGCAATTTTGTCCAGTGGTATGAACAACAGCGGCTTCTTGAAGCCCCATAAGATCCCAGTTTCTAGGAAAAACAGGTAACCATCCTTTGAGCCCCTGAATGCCTTGACATGAACCGCTGCTTCCTTCGGCCGATGTGGTTGTCGAACTTTACTGTGAAATTTTGCAGGATCTGCTGCAACCATTTGCACATTGTTTCCGGCAGCCTGAAGACACTTATTTAGGGCCCAGTTGAAGAGGGTGGTATAAGAGTCGGAGACAGCAGAAGCTGCACCGGCATTAGGTCCACCAATCGAACCTGGTTTTGGTGCACCAGCTGAGACGGTAAAGAGTAACGGATCTTCAGTCGGTGTGCCTGATTTAGAAAGGGAGAAAGCATTTTGTGGGAATAAGATGTAGTTGTGCTGAATCTGAGACTTCTCAGGCACAGGAAGGTAGAAAGCATACTCTGTATGATTATTAGTATTGATATTAGATCGTCGTAGAATATATATATATAGCACATACCGATATCTTTCCATGCATATGCTATTCCAGGCACAGGCACGGTTGCACCAGGGATTCGAGCATATAGGTGTTTGGGCGTGAAGCATAATTCGAACTTCTTACGCTGCGGGATAGAGACGGATATATCTTTTATTTCCAATAGGATATTCTCGTTTGATATGTCTTCGACTGTGGTCTTCTCTGTGGTCTTCTCTGTGGCATGTGGTAGGTTCCCATTGTGGGAGGGTTCGATATCGACGCGGCGCCGCTTTAGGGATGAGCCAGCTGAATGGTCACCTGTTTGTTCATATATGAAATTTGCAATGTTGTTGAATAATTGGACTCGCAATGGAGAATCTATATAGCTTAGTTAGAGAAAATAGGGACGATATCTGACGCGAAAAGATTAAAAAATACCAGCAGCCTTGTGGATGTCTTCTAAAATGTCAGGTCGCGACTTGAATACGGAGTCCAACTTCTGGGTATCCAATCCATTGGCCATGATGTCAAAAAAAGATTGGTTCGGGTGATTACCCCTATACGGAATACTAAGAAAGATGAAATAAGTCGCAAGAGGTTGCAAGGCTCTTGTTTACTCTAATAAGAAAGTTGAGGTTTCGTAATACTTCATGTTGTTTTTTTTTTTTTTAGAGTCAGCGAATTGTTTTACGCTAAAGTTTGCTACTACTAAAACATATGACGTACAGGGGCCCCTAAAAGATTCCCTTACTTTTCGCAAGGCTGTAGGTAATGAGGTAGAGTTAACAGCTCAGGCACCAACCTTATCGTAACTTATCGCAACTTATCGCAACTTGTATGGAACCCGGCAGACATCCATCTAGGTTAGGTACCTAATTACATATACCTACTTCTCTGACCCCACATAATATGGTTATCTCTCCAACATCTTGCCGCGCATTCAGCTTCCTTTGTCATATCATCATCAAGTTTGCACATTATATTGCACATTACATTGTACATTACATTATACATTACCTATTACACACTTCTTCTATATACCTATTCCCCCTTAAGGCAAAGAGAAATCATGTCTTTCCCAAATACTTGGAATCATAGAAAGGTAGCAGAAACCTCAGCTAAAGCATGCGAGATATGCTTCAAGCCTAGTGCCAGCGTACTCGTAACCCCAGACAATAAGGTAGGCTGCAATTCTATCATAACGCTATAAACACCTTTCCCTGATTTTCTGCTACTAGGACTTCTTTTATGTATGCCCTGGTCATTTGAAAGATAGGGGATTCTGCACCCCTATCATTGACCACGATGCCATCGCAGCCAAGAAGAGAAAGGAGATGGAAGATGAAATTGAACGGGTGAAGAAAGAGTACGAAGAGAAGCAACGCAAGAAAAAGGAGAAGGAATCGGAAAAGTCCAAGAAGGAAAATGATGAGAAGGAAACTAAAGAGACCAGGAAAGATGAGCCAAGCCCTCAAGCCAAGGTCAGTTTTCTATTTGCGCCTTAAAACCATATTGGCTTACGGATATAGGAGAAACCGGATGAAAAGACTCCACCAAAAGCAGAAGAAGAACCCCGGGTATTTTCATTGCAAAAGTCTTTAGTTATCCCTCTGTTCAACCACTGATTGTCGATACTGATGACATGCAGGACCTTCTACCAACAACGGCTGGATAGAAAACGCGCAGCTGAGATGGCCAAAAGGAACCGAGAACGCCTAAGCAACCCCAACTACTTCCCTTCCGTCCCTAAAGACCCGTTGTGAGGTGACCTTCACCTAGAAAGATGACTTCAACCCGGCAAGTAGGTCGGTATACTGAAACTAGCTCGGCTTATTGGATCTCAACAACGGTTCTAGGCTTTGCCCTTGCTGTGCCTATGGGCATATCGACCAATGGGAGCTTTATGAACTACCCAAAGGAGCAGCAGCTTTTAAAATGGCTACCCCTCGATGTTCGGTATATTAACTATTAACAATGCTTTTTGAATTTATGTCCTAGTCGCTACGGAGCTAGATACGACATTCGACCGAAGTACCCTCAAGGTTCCCAATACTCAAAGGTTCATGTTAGTTGAGTATTTGCTCAATCGATGCGGTAAGCTGGAGTGTCGTATCCTAGGCCAACTATTGCGGCAAAGCATACTACTTTCTATAAGCACCCCATTCTTCACCCTTGGGGATACACCAGTCGATTAGCTATGCCACATTTGCCTAGTTCTGTTTAGCTTGTCCGGATAGCTTCCTCACCGCAGCACGGGGTAAAATTATTAGAAAGCTGACAACTCGTTGGGTTGTCTGCCTTATAAGGCTGACACTACCTCTCTGACAACAGATTTGGACTGGCCATTACATCTAATACTATCCGATTATTTCGCTCGGATTTAAAATCCAATATAAGTGCTCCGCAGGTTTAATTCTTAATAGTTCTTACCCTTCCGCCCCCCCCTGTATCTTACACTGTTGGCAGAATATTGTGCAAGCTGCATGAATCATTGGAAATCTCCCCACTGAAGCCAACAACCTCGTTGCTCTCTGTAGGTCCTGCAAGAAGATTAGCGCTTACATTGCATCGACAACGCACGGCACCAGGTCTGATGATACCTTCTAAGCGACGAGGCAGTAGAAACGCTGTGACACCTAATGCCCGAATGTGGGTTGATCTACTGGGTATCTCCCGTGTTTTGGTGAGTCGATGCATCATTAATGCAACCGGTTACTTTTCCAGCAATGTCACGAGGGATACATTAGCTATGCTTGCATCCGGGGAATTGTAGTACTCCTTCCAGTAAAGCTTCAACGCATAACCTGCGTGTGTCTGCGTGTGACGAGAAGAGGGGTTTCACCATGTTTCTACAACTGGACTAGACATACCCGCGATGCTTCAAGAAGCTCTGGAGTTGCAGGAGAGGTAACATTCAACATGCAGCAAGGTCCCAGGCTCGCAAACTGATGTACTTCGGCCATACTCGGACTCTCTCCCTAAGCAAATAATACAAGAGCACAATTCTGCGTCAGCCTTATGATGGGTAGTACGAATTGGTGGGGTACTTGGATATTGCTCGACCGTTATCAATCTTCAGATACTACGTCGTGGGTACCCGGATCTATTACGGCGATCGGCCACGGGGCTGTCTTTGTGTAACCGGAGAGAGGCTTGGGTGACAAGCAGCTTATAGGTTTCATTCTTTGCTTTGTCATGGCCGTCTTGTCAATTACCTCTAGGTAGGTGATCAGAGTGAATACCTAGGTATTTACCATGGTTACAGCAGTAACTCTGAGATAAGCAGCCTCCCGTACGTAAGGTTACTTACTAAAGATCAGTTCCCTGCATAACATCACTCAGACTAACAGATACATCAAAAGTCCATTGCCGGATGCCGCAGATCGGTGTATAAGCCTGTACCCCAGGCTAATTGCACGGCCTGTATTACTCTTCTTGGACATTTCGGTTATTGTTATTTCTTCAACCTCAAGAGAATGCTCGTCTGTGCGAGTATCTTCGGTTCGGCTAGTTAACCGGGCTTATCCTATTGCCCACTTACGCGGGGCCGTCTAACATGTAGATGCATGTTAGCGCTGACATTCTAGATTAAGGTAGTATACGCCCCCTCCGATCCTTCATATAATCCGTTCAAATAATTCGTCCACGCCATCGTTATTAACACGCCATCGAACAAGGATCTACCAAGTAGGTATAAGCTGTATACCTCGAGCTGCAGTTGGCTATGGCTGCTGATTACGAGCGATCCAATGTACTTACACGGTTTAATCTCGACACGGGAATCGTGCAGAATTAGGTATCTAAGCTTGACAGAAACCTAGGCAAGTTAAACATGTTGCTCAGATTTGCATAACGACAAAGCTGACTGACTGTGGATGACGATAATATTACGTATAGGAAGTTATTAAGCTCCTGCATACATATACGACTTTAATTCAGCTACCTCCGTTAAATAAAGGTTTCCCTTGATATTTACCGATGCCGGCTTATAAGATCGTCACACCAAGCTTTGGACGTAACTAAAGCATATGTACTTCGTAAAATCGAGATCTACCCTTGTTAGCCAGCGGTTTATAAAAACCTAGTCGATTTTTAGATCGCTTACGGGCATGTCCTAGTGCCACTCCCAGTGGTATGATTAGAAAATGTACACAATCTACAAACGTATCCTCGATCGACAGGCTACTACAGTGCGGGTATTCCGATATATTACTTGAACGGGCGTCAGGTCCCGGGACTTTCTCCGCTTTTCGGATCCGCACTTCATGTTACACGAGAACCGAATCCGAGTATTCGGCTTCTTCCGTTGTTCCTGGAGATAAATTAAGCCAGTTATTTTAGGCATCAGAGTAGGACTTACAGGGCTGAGTTGTATGCAAGCCGTATTTTCTTTTTATAAAAAGTTATTAACCATTAGTACATACATGTAAGTACCGTAAAAAGCAATATTATCTTAGGTCTCTCGTATCCTCGTACCCTTTTATGACAATGATTGGTTCTACCCGCCGCGCCGAGCCGAATCTGGGCTGCATAGGGCTGGCGCCTAGCCCTATGACCTAATGGGATGGCTGGATAGCAAGCCACCCTGTCGGTTATAGTTTTAGAATCAAGAATCAAACGCTTTGATTTGTACATGCATAGCTCTCCATAAATATTTTATACTTTCGGATATTAATCACATAACTAGGTTAACTATCATCTGGCGGATCTTACTGCATGTCTTTTACGGCTTCAAACATTAAGTATGGTGGCTTGTTCCCATTTTGAGGTTATATCTACCGATCCGTAGCCATAGAATAGGAATAGTCGCACCTTAACGCCGAGCTCAGGATCGACTTGCCAACGGCGATAAGGCGGGTAAGGTAGCACAACTTTAATCTGCTATGTATGTATAACCCGTAAAGCTCGAGAGGGTTTATGTAATCTGATATTTTTAAGAAGTATTCTCATTTTTGAATTCTGAATTCTGAATCATGAATCATGAATCATGAATCATGTACATCACCCCCCAACCGCAACCCTTACTCCGTGCTACACGAATAGGAATCACTCCACAGTCTGCTCGTACGTATGAAAGCAACATGCCAAAGGAAGTAATCTACCAAAACTCGGGACGACCGAGTATTCCCTTTAAGACATCAAGACTCGTCCCCATAATATTTGCAATAATAATTGGTACTGCAACATGATCTCGCAGCCCATCTGTCGGCATGTCCACCTACCTACATAAAAGGGAAGACATACAGACATGCTATGTTACATACATAACGCAGCTTACTCCTTAAGATAGTTTCGTCATAGTGCTTTAAATTTCGGACTTAACATATAGGTGCGCCCCCAAAGTCAGATCTTTCAAGATCCTAAGAATGCTAGCCGAGCCAATGAGATCGTGTACTCAAGAGTAACGACCAGTTTGAGCTTACTAGGTGCCGGTTACTTGACCGTCATTTGTTACACTGAGGGTCCTTGGCCAAGAAAGTACAACCGAAACGACGAGGCTACCATTACATCAACTTGGTCGGCTCGGTCGAATTCTTCTCGGTGACCTTTCGGACCTAATGTCTTTTTTTTTTTTTGCTGGTTACGTTTCTCTTAATAACGCCGCAAGACTACTTGCGACATGCAGTTTGATGGAAATGAAGGACGAATTACGTATTAAGAGTCTTGCCGGTTACTAACTCCCCCATTGGGCCTCTCGTAACCACTGAAAAACGGGGGCTCAATCGCTAAACTAACCTCCTTGTCGTAACCTTCAAGTATCGTGATTCACTCAAGGCCGGTAACCCGGGGTGAAACTAATATTACGTATAGGTACTTGTCGACGACGATAGAGTAGGAGGGGTCTCTCGAGCAAAAGAGCATGATACATGATGCATCTGACCCCCAACTCTATATACTTCTCATTGCCGATAGATCGTCTTAAAACATCAGCTTTAGTGCCCGACTATTCGGCAATCTGATTCTGGGGGGTTTATCACGGGGACATAGATCCTTAAACAGCTCTCCTGAATGGGCTTTTCCCGGGTTGACCGCTCCCTTTACGACGCCTGCATAATCAAATCCTTCCGATTTCCAACACCTATATCTCGTCACGCCTTTCGTCCACTCGAACCCCGGGTATTCGTGTGTGTGCGGTTGGTTCCGTACGATGACCGTATCGTATCTCCTAGTCCGTGGCTTCTGTTGTGCCACTTTACGGATATCGATACGCGTTGCTGACTGCAGCGGCCGGAGTCTTACCGGTCTACTTCCGGCCGCGCGGGCTAATCTCCCCGGATCGCTGACATCGAAATAGCCCTAATCGTAGCGACTGTGCCACCCTTGTTTCCTCTCCGAGAGGGAATCCCACACTGCAACATAGTCACGAGGAAGACAGGCCCGCCCTGCGACCTGAAAGCCAAACTCCACACCCCATACCCAATCGCTATGTGACTTTATGTACGTAGTAATGCTATATTGAAGAGGCTTCACTATGGATGGCTTGGCACGTAGAATCTAGCCTAGTTAGGCTGTATTTTTCGTAGTCATTGGATGACGAAGAGACGACGACGACGACGACGGGGGCTATAACACGTCGGCGTCTTTTCGCATGTGGAAATTGAGTAGTACATATAGCGACGGACCACCGTCTTAAGAGAACATACGACGGCCGTCTCATAGTATGCCTACGGCTGTAGCGCTTAACCCTTACGGGACAATATGCGCGAACTACATCCATACATCCATACATCCATACATCCATACATCGATATATACGCACATACAGCCTGCGCGTCATTGCACCTTATGCGCCAAACCCTTACATAGATCCTCGTCTATATGTATGCCGTGGGAGCGTAATCTGGCTTATAACTTATAAGGGAACTAAACTCTTTTTGCGTCCGAACCGTGAGAATCTTCATTTCGGGGGGTGCGGGCGTCGTAAGACGCGGGCATTGCCCGCCTTTGCTACCTAAAATCTCTATCTTGTCTTTTTGTGCTTAAGTCCGAAGCGATCAGTATCATTAGTTTTATTATCTCCTACCGCACGTACGCAAACAATAGTATCATCATCATTATTATCATCATTATGATGAATTAATACTTTCAACTACCCGCCAGGCCGGTCGGACCAGGGGGAGCTAATGGTAACGGAGGCCCACGCCGCCTCCTTGTTCGTAACACTGACCTGTCACCCCTCGCCGTTCCTGCATGAATGGAGGAGCAAGGTCCATGGGCATAGCACATGTAGGTATCTATCTGTAGATCTAGTAGCAGGGATGCTCAATATTCCTTCTTCTCTTTTTTTTGCTTTCTCCGGAAATTTTGCGATTTCTTAACGTTACCATTATTAAATGTGCTACGCACGGGCTTCCTTTTCTTCCATCTATCGAAAGGAGTACCGTAGCGTAGAAGTGAGGGAATAAAAGGCAAAGGAGATTACGATGGCGATAAAACAACAACAGTCGGCTTTTAACGATAGAGACCGGCGTTAGGAAGGGACGTGATTATGAAGACCTTGATTCGGCTAGGAATTATAATGTCCCTATTAAGCATTCCTCTGCAATAAAAGTTTCCTTCGATTGACTTGATTCGATAACGTAACAAGGTCGGCTCCGTCAGCAGAGCTGACCTCTTTGTTATCAGCTGCTACGATCAGTTTCGTGGGGAGCTTCCATGATTGTGGGATTTGTAGATAGATAGGAGTTAAGTTAAGCATTGAAGAGAGCCAGTGAACAGTATAGATTATCAATAGGAAAGGTATCACTGGCGTTTTGACTTAATGGACGTCATTTCAATGCAATGTGAATAAGACATGTGGTTTTGATATACCGATTCGTTACGATGCAGATTATTTTGACGTCAGCAGAGTTCTCCGCCTCGATCTACATATGATTTATCTCTGGAGGCCCTCATCGTTGTATGTAAAGCAGGAAGAACCGATGGCTGCGTGGGATGAATGCCCCCGCGTCACAAGAGATTTGTGATGCGGTGTTACTGTAAGGGGCTGACGCGAGGCACAGCGGTGATTGAATTGAAGCATCCCGCCTATCCACACCGACAATTCTGTCGCGAACAAGCTGACAGTCTCAATCAAGGTAATCTCATCTCGGGGAGGTTGCACATGGCCAAATAGAGCTCTGTAAGGGTGTGGAACTAATCCTGACTTGATTAGCTTACAAGAGGTGTGATCGAGCTGGGAATGCTAGCTTCGCAAATTGACTGCGAAACGCCGCAGGCCTACGGAGTAGGGAACCATTAGGGGGTTGCTAGTAACGGTTGTCTTAGGGGGATTTTAACGAGATCGCAGGCTAGCATGGGGAAACGGGAGTGCCCTTGAGTTCGGACGGTAAGCAAGGTTGTAACCCCAGGTCTCTCGAGAAAGGGGTAAGCCCTATGCCTGAAGCGTATATTCGGTAAGGTTAGTGGCGTGCATCTGACACTATGCCGCAAAGGAAAGCAACCTGTTCAACGACGCGCCCTATAATATAAGTGATATCTGATTGGGGGTACATTTCGCGAAGTGCGGTTTATGAATAGAGGCGTGTATGGAGGAAACGAGGTGTCAAACAATACGTTCAGCCCCCGTAACCCTGACTTGATCCTTGGGTTATTAGCGGCGGGTTAGGTAAGATAACGATTAAGGGGGTGTGTGATTGAGCGTCAGCATCTGTTGGCTCGTGCTTAGAGCAACAATTTCTGGTAGCTACTATGTAGACGACGCTTGTGAAAAATCAACACCATCGTTGTCTCGACCAATAACGATAGACCGCTTTTACTTGGTGGATATATGGGTAGGAGTCTTATGAAAGCAAGCAAGGATGACAAGCATTAATGAGGCTCTTGTTAAAGTAACCCTTGCTATAGGTTCCCGTTTCGACCAGGTGGTTGCCGGATTGCAGGCGCATCTGTGCCCCGGGGAACCACCTCGTCAACGCGGCTCCGGTTAAGCGAGAAGGCCGGGACTATCCATTCGCTACAGCTGCATTTCAAGCCTTGCCAGGCAAAACGACCAACCGTGGCGCCACACTTAACATTTGGGCAGGAGAGACGCCCCTCTAGCACACCGTCTTCTAGCGCTGGCCGCATCCAGGAGAGCGTCTCGACGAAAACGTGAGCACAATTTGGAGGTTCTGGGCCCGCAGTAGGGACGTGAGGCACGATAAACTTCGGCGTCGCAAGAACACGTCTACACTTTTTGCAACGTATCTCCTTGCCGATATTCTTGTCTACGCCGGTTTCGATACCATCGTTTCCTAAGTCCACCTCATCCTCGAACCGGATGTTTTCAGCCTCTGGAGCTTGATGTACATCCCTAGATTCCTTCAACATTCTTTCGTACAGCCATTTCTGATATATGGGGTGTCGCTCCACAGCGCTGTCATCATCAGCTGGGCATCCCATCTCCCACCAGAGCTCGAGCTGGCGCATAAACCCAGAATTGGGTCCGGCACGCTCACGAGACTGACGAACCCACTCTAAAGCTCTCTCTACGGCCTCCTTGGAGGTTTGCCGCCGCTCGGCTGCTGAAGCGACTGAAGGAGTAAACTGCTTACCCCCAAAGCGGTGAGGGTATTGGTACAGGAGATAGGCGATAACACAGCTTACGGAACGCGATACACCCATCGCACAGTGTACGAATACCCCGCCCGGGGAATTTCCGTCATCTTTGGCTTCTACAGATGCGTTTGCATCGGCGCCGTTGACTGGCGGATAGAGCCCATTACGGATAAAGCGCACAGCAGATGAGAGATGAACTAGTATATCCGAGTCTTCGTCATCATCAATATCGATGCTCATGTGCTTAAATCGTTTTCCTTCCTCGGCCCATTTGTCAAATGAGAACTTGATAACAGAGAGCACATGAGTGACATTCTGTTGGTAAAGTTTGTCACGGTGCCCTTCGATATTCAGAGCCCAAACCCTGTATGCTTATGTCAGCTCATATTTATCTAGGTAAATACATATACATGGTGATCATATATGTAGTGTGGGGAAGAGTGAGTAAGGGTGTAAACTTACCCTCCGACGTGAAGGTTATCGGGTCCGGGTACCCTGGAAAACGACATGATGCTTTCTTTGGGTCTCAATTTTCTCCGCGGGTGCCAAGAATAATGGGTGAGGAAACAGTTGTCAAAAGCGATAGCTGACCCTGGTCTATAGTAGAAGAAAAAGGTAAGAGACCACCTATATTTCCCTAAATTACGAAGGTATCTATGTAAAGGGGCGGCAAACTCTTAGACGGATTTCTGCGGAATGCCGTATTTGTGCCGCGGGCAACTACGCAGGCAAAAAACGGGTCCATACAGCAGAATACATTGAAATTATGGAAGCTTGAGCCCCTCGAGTGGGATATGTATATATGTACTTTGTACGACATATATTAGGTACTTGTGGCGTCAGCGGCTGTGCAAATGTTAACCTTAGTTTAGACTTTTCTTTCCTTCCGGTAGGGCTGAATCATGTGACCATGCTGATTGCCTGTTTTTGACGCTAGTCCGCTAGCTGCTAGGTTGTAAGCTATTAATAATGCAACTCGGGATTCCAAATTCCCATCCAATTGACATGGGACTTTGAAGACCTACATACTTAAATATTAGTCAAATACTACCTCCCGTCATGGTGAGCAGAAAGAAAAAATTATTTTTCTACGATTACTATGCAGCTACTGTTTATTCGAAAATTTAAATGAGTTGATCATTAAACTTTTTTTACTTTAACAGGTAACTAACTAGTTACATTAACTACGTCTTTAAATATTTAAGTCTTTTAAATCTCATAATTACAATTTAGTGCTATTTTCTATGTCTATTTAGTTCAAGTATATGTAGACTTGATGCTATTATTAAACAAATAAAATTAATATAAGCCTTGTTGTTTTTGCTATAGCATCCGCGGTATCCTATGCCCGCAAGGATTGTAGCGAATCCCGCGATGGAACGTCTTATACGCAGAATATTATTTCCTTTCCCCCGCCCTCCAAACCCCTTCTTCAAAATACCCTACCCCAAAATAATATAAAAAAGCCGAAATAGATGTCTTAACCAAGCGAGCTTGGCGTTCAAACATAATGACGCATCCTCGAAAGACGAATGTCCGAGATGAGTAAAGAGTAAAGAACTCGAGTCACTATAGGTAATACACTAAGGTGTCAGCAATTATGTGCATTCAGCTTACACGTTCGCACTCGAAAGGCATGGATATTACATCGTCCCCTCGAACGCTTAAATGTACTTAGGTATATGTTATATAATGCAAATAATATATGGGTCTATGTTTTGGTTGCCCAATGAGTCGTTAATTCATTTCTGTCCGAATTTTATCGCTACCTATGAATACTCAACTGTTGATGGGCTCAAATCAACGCAGGCGAGCCGCACCTCCATAAGCTCTATTGAGCCACAAATACCCGTTGGAATGGAACGGTGCCGTCAACGAGCATATACGTCTCGTAAATTAACCATTGACAACGTGGAATCCCACCCTACTATATCCCAATGTGCCTTAGTGGCGCCCAGTCGCCCCGGCTGGAATATGGAATATTTGTTGTTGGAGCCAAGATTTTACTTTCCGGTTTAGGCCTGTTGTATAAGGCATCGACTTGATAATCGTGCCGCAACCGACCATTTAATTTATCTCCGCGAGCGTGCATCCAACGGGCGGGAGATCGGCAAAGCAAACCAACCTGCTCCTAGATGAGGTGAGACTCCGAGGCGCACCGCACGCGATTGATTGTTTGATTGATTACTCTTGCTTCGACTGATCCCTTTCATCCCACCGCCCAATTATAGGCCGGTTGTTGTGCGTCCATAGACACATTAACCCCCCAACCAACGAAATCCGAGTAATTCGCATCCACAACTTGTAGATTCTTTTTTTCCCCTCGAAAACCCCGCGCAGTATTGCTACCCAACCCCGTCGTTGATGGTCAGTTCAATTCGCTCATCTTGACGGTTGTGGTGGCTCTTCATCGAGCATGCATGCATTTTCTAGCATATTAGTCCATTTACCACTGGTCCCCGCATGGCTGTGCTTTAGATGCTGTCGAAAATGATCTGCACGGTAGAATTTCTTGCTCGAGTTGCATTCGCGGAATTTATGTACCTCTTGAAGATGTTTCAGTCGTTCATCCCAATCCTGCTCTGTTGGCTGTCGTGGACGCCCAACACCACCGTGGCGCTCAAATTCTTCTCCGCAGTAACCACACGTATCTGCTTCACCAGGTCGGTTGGTACTTTCGTGAAACGCACGATCGTAGCGCGAGAGAAGTAACGCAGAGCACGACCAGCTATGTCGCCTTACATGCAGGCTGTTTTGATGGCGCTCTGCTTCATTCTTGTTCTTAAATCGATTACCGCAAAACGAACATTCGTATTGCTTTTCGGCCTCATGGGCGCTACAAAAAAAAAAAAAAAAAAAGTCAATTATCCGTAAAAGTAAGAAGTAGTGTATAACCCCTGAATAGGCTCGAATGACCACTTACCTTAGTTCTTCTGCTGTCTCAAATTTTTTGGGCTTTTTGGGACAGCATTCGCACATGAAAAAACCACCAGGTATCTTTGAGATACCGGTTTTAGATACTTCACTCACTTTACGGGGTGAGGCAAGACGTCTGGTTTCGCTACTTAGGTTACGCTGATGGGGGACACGTGCAAGTGAAGCGCGTGGCGAGTGACCGAGAGAATTCGGGATACTATAAGGCGAGTTTGAGATGACGTCAACGGGCGAAAGTCCTCCACTAGATAAGCCGCCAGGTGATCTCCCAGTGAAAGAATTGATACTTGACAGGTTGGTCGTAAGTGAGGCATTTGAAGCAAAAGACCCACTTCGCGTAGTGGATGGAACGGAAGGAATAGAGCCGGGAGGGATGCCGGCGAGACGTGGTGTCGGTGATGCTCTGGATGCGCCCTCACGACGTCGTAATGGGTCGCATAATCCAGACATGCCCTGCATTGGAACGTCATCCCCAGGCGGTGAAGACGCCCGCCTCTTCTGCCCAATGGCCTGGTGTTCTGACCGCAGCATGTAGTCCTCAGTTTGTGACCTATCCTCCATCGTGAAGTCATTGTCGTCTGTATTGTCGTAGCTGCTGTGCGTGGATATCGTTGCATCATCAGGTAATGAACCACTGTTATTCCTTCTCGTTCGCACAAAGGGCGATCGATCTAGATCCATAGGTTCTATAGGCGAACGATATTCACTACTCGAAGCCCCGTAGAACGAAGGCCCACGTGGGGAGAGTGCAGACTGTGGGGGAGTATCCGTATAACGACCGGGCGAATCGATAACTAACTTATTACTCGGTCGAATAGGGAGGGAAAGAGGTGTTAGTTGAGTGTGTAGACGTTGCTCGTGTGCAGTCAAGTTCGACACGGAAGCACTAAGAGCAGACCGTCGAGGCGGAGTCCTGTTGTCAAATGTTCGTCTGGAGTCCAACTTCTTAATTAACGAGCTGTCGTAATCGTTACTGTTCGGCCTGTTAAACTGGTATTGGTCATGAGACATGAAGAGCTTCTTGGGGAGAGAGTCCTGGGATCTGAAGGAAAGCCTAGCAGTTAGCACTTCGTTCCGACTGGCATATCGCCGTGTATTTGATAGACTATCCCTACCCTAACGACGAGATGGTGGAGTTGAGACTATGATAGCCTTCGTCTCTATGAGGCCGTCCTATCCCACGATCATTATCAACCCTCCCATACGGAGGCCGATCCTGCTCCAATTCTTGTCTAGTACTATCCCAGCTTGCATTGGAATCAATCGAAGGAATACGGTCGTGTCGAGTAGGAGCTGGCTGCCCAAGCCCAGGTAGGTATTTCGGGGGAGGTAGTGGCGGCGGTGCATCGTCTTCAGCAAGACGGCGGCTGTTAGATATCGGCATAGGGGTAGAAGAGGCTAGGGAGGAATGGAATCTCGATTGCATATGAGACCGGCCCGAGCCTCCATAGTGGTCGAAGTGGCTCGATCCCTCGATGTATATGGCCGGCGGCGAGCCTCCCGGCTCCCTTGGTGCGCATCTTGGGATGTCCATCTTGTGTTCCCCCTTCCGAAGACTCGAACAAACGAAGCTGACTTTGTTCGACGTAGGCCAATGACAGAGTTGCCACAGCTTAGTAGTAACAGTGAGTAGCTGAAAGTATGTGGAATCTAGATATTATTTTGCCGAATCGAACGAATAGCGGTCCGAGAACGGGTTAGAACATCTGATGGGCTTGTGGAGCTGGCAAAGACGGTGTATGGGAACCGACAATGGCGCAGTCTTGAATCAAGAGGCGGGATGTAGTAAGGATGGTGGTGGCAATATTCGTGTCGGCAGTGCCGATGTCGTCTATGTGAAAGGTTGCGAAATATGTGTTGTTGGAGAGTCGTACTTCAGAAGCAGATGATCGTGCGAGGGTATTCTAAGATAGCAGAAAAACGTAAAGCGTCATGATAATAGTAAACATGCAGATATAATAACACGATGGTAATACACCGAGATGGGCTCAATGGAAAAGAAAACCGAAGCTAATACAATGGGTTAAGCCTCTAGAGAAAATAGGCCGAGGTTCAAATCGGGAGACGAGATTCTTGTTCTTGTCATGAAGCTTAGCACAGCTCAGCTACAACCCGAGGTGGATGACAAGAGAGGAGGATATAGCTGGATATAGTTGGACGATAGTAAAGCTGGGCTAGTAAATCGTTTTCTGTCGAAGGAGCTTTGGCTTGACCAATGTTGACCAATGTTGACCAATGGATCCGAATTTCAAATTTGGCCCCTTGCTCTTTTGAAGGTACTCCCTACGGTGACTATACGTAGACGCAGAGTTCGGGCGACTATAAGAATCGCATAGGGGTGGGCGAGAAGAAGACGTGTTTCTAGGAGCGAATAGGGACCGAATAGAGAGACGACGAGGTAAGTGATGTAAAAAAAAAATTCGGCCTAACACTCGCAAGAATCCATCCACAACCTTTCTTTTTTTTTTCTCACTTCTATCTCTCTTTCTCTACTTCGTACATGTATGAAAGGGTTACCAGAAAGTGAAGAGGGGCGACTTAGGTGCATATTAAAATTAGATTCGAGAAGGACTAA